ATTATTATTATTATTATTATTATTATTATTATTATTATTATTATTATTATTATTATTAATCGCAACCTAAGAATAATTTCAGGAATCGCTTACTTGTTGATAGGGTCGATGCGACCGTTGCCTTCGCTACCTAAACCTTGACCTTCGCTCCAACCAAGCTTCTGCAACATCTGAAATCCTAAGAAATCGAAAATTCGTTATCGATTCGAATAAAGGTGGTTGCTGTAAAAGGTGTTCCGCCAGTGAGAAATTCTTTTTACACACCAATGTTATCTTCTTTAAGCTTGTATTCCTTGTAATCGCTAAGGTCGGGTTCCTTTCCCTGTTTCACCGCATTGTACTGTTCCATGAATTTTTTAAGCTCGTCCGGTGGTAAAAAGTCGCCGATGTGATGTTTCCCTTCTGCCTGAGCGGTTAACTCTTCCGCCCACATTTGAGTGGCCTCCATCTCGGCGGACCTAAGCTTGTGTTCCCAAGTGCCACCTTCCGTTTCTTCGTCGCTATCGTATTCGTATTTATGCTTGCCCTGCGCCTCCAAGCGTTTCAATTCCTCCCTTTTTCTCAATAAATTTTGATACAGAAGGTTTATCTGAGTAAGAAGCGATCGGTCAATGTACATGTTCAAGTTGCGATCAGAGACGCGACACAAACGAATCCAACATGACCACGATTACGATAATATCTCACCTTGTAATGATCCTCGGCTTTTTTCCATTGTTCTTCGGTAAGATCCAACGTACCGAATGTTTGTCGAGCGTATTGTAATAACGCAGGATCGTTTCTAGAAATTTTCGTCAACATTGGATTCTTCGCTTTCGGATGTTGCACCTTCGCCGATGGAATTATAACGGCTGGCTGTCCAATTTGTCCGGGAATTGCGATACCTGGCTGCGAGAGACCGGTATTTTGTTGTTTCCGTGCGGGTAAGCTATTCGTTTCCGCTACGGACACTTTATTATCCGGATCGCCCCAACGACTACGTCTTTTTCGTTTACGTTCTTCTTTGTTTTCCTCCTTGGTCCTATCCGTACAATTCTCATCGTCCAACTCTCTTTCGCGTTTTCTTTCTGTTTCCATAGGTAAATGCGGCCCAATCGGCCGACAGTTTGATAATCGAGTAACAACTGTTTTATATTTTCAGTTTTCGAGTAACGCAACCAACCGATCGCGCTTACCTTGCGAACAAATGTGTCTGTTCGTTTGACTTTGATCGGCGGTATCGTCGTTGTCGCTGAGAGCTTCCTCCGGACAATACGGTTCGGCACCGCTATCTTTAAATTCACCGACAGACTTTTCAGCACGGAACTTTGCCACCAATCCCCTGTACTGCAGATACGCTGCACTTTGCTTTTGGTGCAGAAACCTTGATTAAAACAATACTTAAGACTCTGACGAGTAACATATTCTCCTATATTAGCTTCCTTTGTTAAACGAGAAAAGAATCGATGATAATACAGAGAGAAAATGGTGTAGAAGGAAAAAAAATGTCAAGTCCTCGAAGCGACAGCACGACAAGTATCGTAACTTTCGGTAATCGAGTTTTCATTGAAAAATATCGCAGCGTTGCTACGAATAATTGTCGCGTGGTTGGTGTTTGAATCGCGTAAAAGAGGTAAAAAGCGATCGATAGGGAACGAATGATGTGTATGTAATGGGTAGGTAAAATGTAACGCTACGCTACGCGACGTGTCGAGACACGAGACAGGGACCAGTGAGGACAGTAGTTACCATAATTTAGGATCTTGGGCATTCTTCTCTCGCGCTTCCTGTTCGATTTCATCCCCGCAGTCAGCGACGATGCGTGCCAGCTGCTCAGCCTCTACGGGACACACTTAGAAGCCTTTGTCAGACATGCGTAACAACGCTAAAACTTTTATTTGTGTTTCTGTAGCGTACAACCTACTACGCGTATGTCTACACGGATGCTCGACAGATATGTTTTTACATATCTCACCTTCTTCCACGTGTCTTCTATTCGGCGTATCGCGCGCGTGCTTGTGCGTTCCCGATCGATCCAACGAATTTCACGATCATTTTGACAAGAAATGAATAATTTCGATTAAAAATCACCGATACGGCAAGGCGATACGTCGAAACGAAGACACGAATGGTTGAAAATAATAGACATATCGTACCTAGCTGTTCGGTAGCCTGTTGACCGGTCAATGGCCTCACCGGTGGTGGCACTTGAATGTTATGCGGTCCCACGGGTGGTACCTGACTCACTTGATTTGGAATGGGATAACTGGTTGATAATAAAGAAGAAGGAGGGGGAGGAGGAGGAGGAGGGGGAGGAGGGGGAGGAGGTGGTGGTGGACCGGCGTTTTGAATAAGAGGTGGTGGTGGCACATTTGGTGGTGGAATATTCAAATTTGGCGGTGGAAGAACTGAATTTATACTTGACGGAACCCCGTGAACGGTAGGGGGTGGTGCGGACATCAATACAGGTGATATCACATTCGGTGGAGGAACATTCGATGCATTCGTTGGTACGGTTACGACGATTGTTTGTGAGGCCGCAGAAATCGACATCATATTTGGTGGCATTTGAGTCATCGTTGCTAACAAATTAGGAGGTGGAATATTTGGAGCAAGCAAACTCGCGGCCGAAGCTCCGCCGCATTGTGGTCGTCTCGACGAAATTACGCGTTGTTGTTGTTGTTGTTGTTGTTGGTGTTGTTGTTGTTGTTGGTGGTGTTGTTGTTGTTGCTGCGCATTTCCCGACGTGACCGACGTTAAGGATAGAGATGCGGATGCAGATGCCGACAAGGAAAATGACGCGGCTGGCGAAGACGATGACGGAGCTTGTAGCGTTGACGTTAACGAGGAGCTCAAAGGAGAGGCTGAACGGGACAAAGAGGTGACAGGTAGAGAAGAGGAGCACGAGGACGACGAGAGCGATGAACAAGATGTAGACGGTGTTGAAGGAGGTGGAGGTGGTGGTGGTAAATTTTGCAGATTTGGTGGTATCGTCCGAGAAATATGCATGTTCGGTGGAGGTACGTTAGTATTCGGAGGTATAGACTGTATGGAAGGTGATGCTGGTGGTGGAGGAGGAGGAGGAGGAGGAGGTGGAGGAGGTGGTGGTGGATGTAACGCGTGCGGTGGTGATATTTGCATTCTTGGATCGGCATGGTGGTGGTCGTCGGATCCTATCCCAGGATATGAGTTGGCCAAATTTTTTGGAGGGGGCATTCTCGATAAATGCGGAGGAGGAACATTGGTTATAATGCTCCTTATATTAGGCGGAGGTACGTTTGTGAGATGCATTATAGGCTGAGATGCATGGGAAGGAACGAGTGGTGAATTTCCATTTCGAGGAAAATATTGTTGCTGACTGTGTTGCACGCGTTGTCCATTAGAAGGTAATTGATTAAAGGAACGTCGAGCTTCCGGACTTTGTGATGCTGGCCGTCTAGTAGGAGACGGGCTCGATGGAGGACTATGCCTCTTGTGCACGGAACTCTTTTCCCAACGAGAATCACCTCTTCTACGATCCCTTTTACTCTCCCAATCTCTGCTTTTATCGTTGTGTCTCTTACGTTCTTTGTTCTGCAAACTCTCTTTATATTTATCTTCCCTGGTCTCTTCCGATTTCAAAGAAAATATTGCCTCTGTTTTTCCTGTTCCTTTTGTGTTGGCCATTTTTTTAAATTGATCCAAAAAACTGCCATCGTTGGCAAACAGATTAATCGTTTGCGATGCTGTTGCTGCTGGTTTCTCTTCTTGTTTTCTGTAAACAAAGGTGTTTCTTTTGTCAAATTAACGAGTCCATACGTAAAACTATAAACGATCGATATTAAAACTTGTAGCCAACGTATCGTTAACTAGACGCTTATGTTGCAGTTTCGTTGTTCTAGGCACGAGTACGATTATATTTGTCAATTTTGGCAAACAACCAATTGATTAACGCCAACTATAAAACTTTGAGGAAAACGTGATCCTTTTCTCACGTGTACGATATATCCTGACATTTTCGCGTAATAACGAGCAATGCCAACAACGATGTGAAAAGCAACTTAGCGATTACTCACTTGGTAGAATTAGCTTTATTCGCTGTCGAATTTGGAACTAGCGCATTTGACTTTTTTAAATTTTCAACAGCTTCTTTTGCTTTTTGCTCTTGCATCTTCGCTTGTATCTCGAGCTTCTTTTGCTGAATTATTTTTTCTTGCTTCGACATTTGCGCGAAACGTTCATTTCGTGATGTTTTCGAAACGAATGGATCGGAACCTTTCACACCACGATGCGCCATGTTTGTTGTGTGTCGCAGTCGTAGGGTCGCAGACAGGCCAGACGGCAAAGCAGACAACCACAGGCAATCGCAGACGACTACTCTCGACTACAAGATTGGTACTTGGAACTTTCAATTCGATCACTTTCAATGAAAATCGAGTAATTCGAACTCGAGAAATGATTACACCAACTCTACACTGTTGCGTATCGCTACTTTTGATAGAGATAAGTTAATTCCCATGTCACTCCTAGATGGCAACGGAGACCCGTTTGCCCGTTCTTATGGAATGTGAATGAGCCTTTGCGTTTGGCAATTCTGTTTCAAGTTAGTTTAGCGCCAACTACGATTTTCTTGAATTTACGGTATTTCGATTTTTTTTGTTTCTATTTTATTTCAAACAATTTGTTAATACTCACTCGCATAGCGACCGTTAACTAGTATAGACGTCTATTGTAAAAGTTTGTATTTAAAGTAAAGAAATTCAACGTTTGTGTTAAATTAGTTATATTTAAACGGTTATAATACAGTTAAAATTACATTTCTTAATTTATCTTAAATTAACTTATTCCTGGCTAAGTCGCACGCAGGTTTAATCATTTTGTCACGTGCGCCGTGAACGCCAGAAAAACCCAAAGTCCTTAAAAATAAAACCGCACGGACTCGCAACAACACCTTGCAACCAGAGATGGGCAAAATCCTAGACTTTGAATAAATCTGAAGTTTGCCGATTTGTTTGTCTCGTTTCTTTCTCTGGGATATGTTCGAAAGAGGAAAAGAGACAAACATATCGGCAGACTTCAGATTTATTCGAATCCTAGGGTTTTACCCATCACTGCTTGCAACATACAAACAAGACCAACCAAAAGCAACACGTAAGCATATCAGCATTGGTAATTCTTGTTACGATAACAGCGAACCCTGGCGACAAAATTCACCAACCATTTTTTATCTGCATACCTAACCCACACGTTCTAACTACAAATTCACTACTACATACTGTATAACGCTATCTCTGTGTCACCGTTCCATTTTCCACCTGATATAGAATATAATTCGGTATGGTTCAGTAACAAACACGGGGTTCAAGCGTACAAAATTTTTAGCGCCACGTGGGAAAAATTCACGCAACTAAAAGCAATTTCTCCGATTTACTTTCTTTTAAATAATTTAAAAAAGCAACTTAAAAAAACCCGCTCGTTGGGTGAATTTTTCCCACGCGGCACTACAAACTTTGTACCAACTTTTAATATGTGAGCTTGGATCTCTTGGTAACAAATGGTGATAGGTTGATAGGAGATAGTAGTGTCGTATATTAGTATCCATGCCCATCCCGATGCCAGCGACGCAATGCGACAATATAATTTGCTAGCAGCTCATAATACTGCATGTAATGAATTTTTCATCAAATATCAAGATTGTCAATACAAGGTAGTTTGTTAATAATATGTTACACATGCTCGCTTCATTAGTCAAGAACAAATATAATGTACAAACTGATTTATGATGTAGCATCCATTTCGTAAATTTTTTGGTTACTGCAACAACATTGAGAAACAAATGATTTCGTGCATAAAAGAACAAGTAAGTTTTATACTGCAAGTTTTATACTGTTCAGCCAACGCAAACGTACATAAAAACGTACATAATATTTGATTACAGCGAGAAATTAATAGAAACAAAAATAGCCAGGCCGCTAAGGAAAGACAAAGTAGGTTACGTCTTATTCGAGAGGAGGAAGAAAAGAGTAAACGAATAACATAGATTAATTCTATGTGTTTCTCTCGAATAATTTAGTTTAAAATGTAAATGATAGAAATCGATATCAAATAAAAAATATTCGAAACAATTTCAATGGTTTAACGGTCAACGATGAACATCGATTCGTATAACGAACCAATTTCAAAAAGAATAAAATCATCCGATGATGCGTACAAAATTTCGTCTAATGTACATAAACGGTCGCAAACTACGAATAATGTCAAAGAAGAAAATAATGCAGCAATGAATTTTGAATATCAAGAAAGTTCCGAAATAATGGACAACAAAGACAAAGAAATGTTGCTAGCGAGTAATGACCAAGACGATCATTTATTTCCATTTCCTCCAGACGATAACATTTCGGACATGTTGGAAGGAGTGAAATACAATGGATTGTTTCCAACGATTACGGATCGATACTTTACTGCTTATTACAAATTAAATGTACAAAATACCGCCGATGATATTTGCATTTTAATGCATAGTAATCGTATTTGTATGCTCGCTTTAGCTCCGAGTCATGTAGTTTTACAAAGCGATACGCAAATAATGAAAGTTGACTTCAAGGTTAGCAATAAACTAGACAGAGTTCTGAACAAAGTCTCAGGCAAGAGTAAACATGGTGCGCAACCATTGCAAGCTAACTCTAATATCTGTATAATTACCTGTTCCAACGGAAAAACATATACTATTAAATGTTGTATAATTGGCAAATTGATAGAAGCGAACGAAGCGTTGTTACAAAATCCGAAACTTCTATTGCAACCTCCGCATAGAGGTGGTTATTTAGCTATAGTGCTCCCAAATATAAAGCATTTAGATAAAATGAAAGCATCTTTGCTTACTCAAAAACAATACGACTTGGAGATGTTGGAGCGTCAGGGTACCGCGAATAAGACAAATTATCGTAATAATGAAGTCACGGCTGGAACGGTATCCGTGGCAAGTTAATTTAGCATATAAAAATGTTAACGATTGTTGTTGTTTACATGACTTTTTTCAACTGTATACCGTTCGAGGTAAAAATAAATACATAAACAATAAGAAATGGCTTGTTTTGTACTCTTTCTGTTATAATTAATATTATGTACTACTATCTTCAATCGGTGTTATTATCACCATCATAGTATAGCATAATCTTTGGTGTGATCTTAAATTTGTAAAATTATTCTTCTGTCGGATATATAAGTGTGTTTCGATATATATATTATTTGTTCCAATGTTTAAATTGTATTATTCACAATTTTGAAAACAATATATAATATATTGTATAAATTAAAACGAAAAATTAAAGTTCTTGTATGGCACACGGGTATCTAACGATTGAAACTAGTTCCTGTAATGAGCTGGAACTAGCCAGCTTGTCGCATAATTTTCTTCTCTTTAACGTACTCACAGTTCTGCACGTACAATAAAAACTATCCAATTGTAATTAAATTGATCAAAGTATTACATGGAGAAGCGACGAAACTAACGTTCGACTTATTCAGCGGAAACAGATTCGATTTTCAGATTCTGTTCTATATCGTCGTCATTTTTACGTAAAGAATCTTTTGCTAGATTTCCCAACACGATTCCAGCAAATAAAATCATTCCAACCCTATGATTAGAGATGAATCTTTCAGCACAGTCTGCAGGATTGTCAATGTTCAAACTGTAGATCTAAAAATATATTTATATTAAATTTTATTATAACTGTAATATAGGTTATGTATATTTCTATTTGTTATCTACAAAAGAAAAATGAATAAAGACAAATGTATTCCATTTGAACGAATACGAATAAATAATACTAATCCAACTAGATAGATTTCTTCGAGAAAATTGGACAATTATAACGTGGTTCGCTATTATACCTGATTACCAAGATGAGAACCTACTAATCCAACTGCAGTGTAATACGGCCAAGTTTGTGCAGTTAATATACCTGATGTAAGTAAACCAGTAATCATGGTTGAACTAAATCCGGACAAATACATTTTTGTTCTGTCTCCAAATTTCAAAGCTGTCGATTTTATACCTATTATAATATCATCCATTTTGTCCTACGATGTAAAAATAAATGATAAGGTAGCGTCAAATGAAAAGTAAAAGTTTTCTGTACCTGATGGGCGTATATAGTATCGTAGAATAGTGTCCAACAAATTCCACTGACGTAAAGAGGTAGACATACGGACCAGTCACACGATCCTTGGACAGCGGACCAACCCAGAAGTGCACCCCAATTAAAAGTCATTCCTAGTATCAATTGTGGCCAATATGTTATTCTTTTCATAACGGGATAAAGTATCACTAAAACTGTAATAAGAAAAAGTTTGATGATGTAACAATATTTTTATGATTATTTTAACAGCATTTCGAAATTTTGTATGTTTTGTCAATATCTTAAAAACATTCAACAATTACTGATAAATACTGTTTTTTCTCATCACCGTCTAGAAAAATACCTATCGAGCTTGCACCCAGTATAATACTGTAAAGATTTAATTGTAACAATACAAGTAGTCCCAATGTTAGCTGGCTTCCAAGGAAAACAAGCGATTGAAGAGGTGAGATTTCTCCTGTAACCAACGGTCTATCTTTTGTTCTGGCTACCTGTGATTAATAAGTTTTCATAATACCTAATCGTGAATTATTCTACGTGTTGTCGTTACCATTCCATCGATATCTTGATCCCACATATCATTTATAATACATCCTGCTCCACGCATGACCAATGCGCCGATTCCAAAGAGAGTCAAAAGTTGAAAATCTGGAAATGCACCCGGTGGCGCTGCCATGGCTATACTCCAAGCACAGGGCCAAAACAATAACCACGATCCTGTGTATATTGATTATAAATGAAATTATTCCCTTGATAAATTTTACTACGACGATGCCTTTATAACTCTGGAGTTTGTATTTATAATAAACATTGTATCGACACACATTTATCAATGAAATATATTGCTCGTTAATAGAGTTACCTTACGGTTAATTATCTCACCTATCGGTTTATCCATTCTTAATAGTTTCAGGTACGGTCGCACTTTAGGTGAGGAATTTTCAACCATCTTTGCAAGGAATGTCGGTTTTTGCGTTGGCTGTACGTTTGTTATTTCATCGTTTGTCTTTGATAATACCTCGATGGACTTTCTACTTTCATGTTTGTTATACGTAAAGGATGAAGTGTGAATCGTGACGTGAGAGTACAATTGGTTAATAACGCAATGTCTTTGACTAGAATGCACATAGGTCGTCAACAATTTTCTGAATTCTATTAATCGCTGATATCTTTGCATTATTATCATCATTGTTTCATATTTGATCTATTTACTATAAATAATGATTAGAAATTCGGAATAACCTCAACTATGTACAATTCGATGAATTTGATCGTAAATAAAAGTTTCCGCGTACGATTCTGTACACTAAAGGCAACGAGTTACAAGTTGCGATTCGTAAGTCATTGTAATGAAAAATTTATCGAAATTTCTTGGCATTCTGTAATCAAACCGGTAAGCCTTACTGAGAGGTTAAGCGCTTATACTTTTTCGAATGTAACTGTTGCATAATAATAAATAGTAATAAAATATGCGCAGTGATTAATTGGGATTTGATATAGAAACATATCAATGAATTGTTATTTAAAATATTCGTGTGCCTACTAATAAATACGTTTCATTAACTGAGACATAAGTGATAAGCAGCTGATATGGCAGAGGAAAATAAAATTGATAAAAATTATTCTTTATTCTCCATAAATACATAATTTGTACGATTCTGTGCTTTGCAACACCAGATTCTATTAGTTAAAATGTCAAATTTATCGTTTTTCTGAGCAGTTATATAATGTCGGAATAATTATCACCGCTTCGATTATAGTGGTGCCATCTTGGAGAAACGGTGGGAACTATTTTCACTAGAAACTTGGGCGATTCCCCACCGATGGGGCCATCATGACGGTTAGAGGGTTCTGATCGAAAGTTTCAGTGAGAATTGCGGAAAAAGTAGGAAACTCCCGGACAAGGACAGAAAGGGCGATACAAGAATTGCAGGAGAGACAATGCAGGATAGGGCGATTAAGCTAGCATGAGTTTTTTCAAAGATATTGAAGCAAAGAAGCATCTGTCCTTGTCTCGGAGTTTCCTACTTTTTCCGCGACTGTCGCTCAAGTCAATTCGAAATTCTTGGTTTTTACTCCTGCGCACGATAGTGATATTTTATGATAAATATATTCGCAGCTGGACTGCGACTTTTGACGATGTCTGCAATAAAAAAACCCGAGGTATTGTTTGTTTTGGGGGGTCCAGGTGCTGGTAAAGGTACTTTGTGTTGGTATATTACAAAAGAATATGGTTATGTACATTTGTCGGCTGGTGACTTGTTAAGAGAAGAACGTGCAAAACCGAGTTCTGAATACGGAGAACTGATCGAAAATCACATTAAAAATGGGACGATTGTGCCCGTAGCTATCACTTGTAGCCTTTTGGATCGAGCAATGCAAACGTCCGATAATCCGAATAAAAGATTTTTGATCGACGGTTTCCCACGAAATCAAGATAATGTTGATGGATGGAACGAGGTACATGTATAATATAATAATAAACCTGCTATCTATATCGAGTGTCGAAGAAAATGAAAAAATCTTACAATTAGCATGTTACATTCGATATTAAATGTTCCTAATGTGTATACGCTAATAAATTTGTTTGTCGATAGGCAATGTCTGACAAATGTTTGGTGAAAGGAGTATTATTTTGCGAATGTAGCAAAGAAGTGTGCACGCAACGATGTTTGAAGCGTGGAGCTGACGGAAGCGGGCGAAGCGACGATAACGAAGAAGTTTTGGCAAAGCGGCACGAAACTTATATTACCAATACCATGCCTATAATCGAGCATTTCGATAAAGAAGGCTTGTTGTACAAAATAAACAGTATGCAATCACCGGATCAAGTATTTGCAGATGCTGTGAAAATTTTATCCAAAATAGGATGGTAATGCGATTAATAAAAATGTTTGCATAAACAGATTCCAATGGTCTAGAGGGGATCGAGATTTACTCTATTTGTGTCTAATTATATTTTATCGAATAATTTCGTTTCTAGCAGTATAGCAAACACTTTGTATCGCATTTAATTGCATTTATAAAAATATTAGATTGTTTTAGTCGAAAGGTATGCGGTCTTATTTTGGGTGAATGTTTCTGTGAGAAGACACAGAATTTTTGATAGAAAATGATGCGTTTAGTTGTTCCACTATATTATACATAGTTTATATCGTAGATTCGCAAAACAGTTATTCTATGCGAGAGAGTTGTTGGGGATAGCTGGAATTTAATGCTAGTTTGAAATAAGTGTAGGAATTGTAGAAATTTAAACAAAATAAACAAAAAATAGAAATAACTTTGGTATTTGAAATATATTTTTGATGCAATAATAATTTGTTCTCGCTACTTGTGCCTTTGAAAGTCTGCATTTTAAACTATGCTTCTATAAGATAATACAGATAATACAGATAATAAGAGGACTTTGTAATTAAATGTACATTACAGTTGCCAATGTTATATAATATATTGCATATGTAAATGGAAACATTTAAATACCTTATGTAATAAAAATTTCATTTTAAAATGTTCGGAAATTCTGTTTGTGTTGATCGCAATTAAAATCCTTGTATTACTTTCCGATAATAACGTATCAAGAACCTTTTTTGTTCGAATCTTCCGAATCTGTTGAGAGAGGGAGAGAGAGAGAGAGAGAGAGAGAGAGAGGTCAATGTCCTGTTATCGTCGTTGTGGTAATTCCAAAGATAAAATGGATATATTTTTGTGTCGGTATCGATTTTATACTCCAAGTAAATCGTAAGATTATTAATGTTCGATTATTCGATAAAGTGCTGCATCGAAAACATCGTCAGCGCGTCTTACCAAAAATGATGTACCTTCACCGTCGAAAGATCGACCTGTTTTCAACTTTCTCATCGTACTAACCGAAATCTGTATCGTTAATCATTAACCGGTAGCCAGTAACCAGGCATCGCGTCATACGAGAAAATAATCCGGTAACCCAGAGTTTGGTTATCGATATGGTTATAAATTGCTAAATGATCGATTTTCAGTGTTAATATCGTAGTTTGTAGTAGAAGATACGCGACGTTTCGATTGCCTTTATCGGAAATTATTTAATTGTGTCGTATTACGATCAATTTCTTAATTGACCGTTTACGAAATGTTTTCCATCTAATGTTATGCATAGAGTTTTACAATTAATGACCGCACTCTGTTCGATTCCTTTTATTGATTATTTATCGGAATGTTTGTTGGAATAGTTTGTAACGTGATTCTCTTCCGATTGCGATAACCTTTATCGATCGCGTTTCTTGCGATGATCTCATTGTCGGTAGTTTAATTCCAAAATAATTACATCGAACGTGGTTCTTCCCTTTTTAGAGACGTAGACACGTGAAGGAAAAAAAGAAAACGAATTTTTTGTTCGTGTTCATTTATTTCGAATTTGTAAGGAGAATTAAAAGGAGACGTTTAAATTGAAAGTTGCATCCGAGTTAAGGTAGCAACTACACTACCGTATATCGGAGATTTTGTACTCGTATGCACGGCATTTCGGTCAGCGAACTTGTATCTTCCGTAGAATTTTCCTACAATTGGAGACAACGCAATCACGAGACATGTGCTTCTGACACGAGATGAGATGACAGGCGTTTACGTAACGCTTAACAATTTCTTGGCTACCTATACGTCTTTATCTTGTATTTCATTTTCGAGACTGTTTTCCTCCTGGGAATACAAATTTCCCTTCCCCTCGAACGACGATATTTTCTCATCTGTAAGTAGAGATATATTACTTGGCGAAGAGTATGACCAAGAGATGAGTGGGGCGAGGATGGGAGCGGGGAGAGGAGAAAAGAGAAGAGTGGAGTAGAGAGTGCGCGGCATCCTTTCTCAACCCTTTGATTTCTCGTTTGAAGTTGTTGTCGTTGCCAATGTACGTGTATTACGACATTGTCCGAATACCTTGATTCGTTTATAATTATCTGAGGAAATTCGATACGGCGCCGACAGAGTTGAAGACGTTCAAGACGTTGTTGCTTTTGATGCGATAACGTTTGACGTTCTTTTCGTACTTTAATCACGAAATTGGATTTCAATTAAGAAAAGTAGGATATTTCCCCTATATTTCGAATCGAATGGGGGACTTTTATTTACAGATTTCTCGATAATATACATATGTTGGATGCAACAAAGATGAAAAGACGCCGAGATTCTGTTATCGTTAGTCGTAGCCAATAGTTGGTGAAACGAAATTTTTGACAAAATGTTCCCATGAAAACGAGTATGGCATGGTCGCTATACATTGGTAGACCGATCGCGGTGTAGTACATGGATCGGTGCTGGACCGGAAAACAACTCGACTCGAGGCAGACTCGGTGACAACGATCAGTGATTCGTGATCGTTTCTCACCGTGACGAGAACCGTTTGGTGTCATACGCGTACGGGCGCTCCCACTCTTCTTCTTGGACAGAAGACACATTACGCGCAACGTGTAATCCTCGCTTACATCGCATCGCATCGCATCGCATCGATAAGAGGTGCCCGTCCGAGTCGAATGCTTTTACCCCCATCATCATCCTAGCGCCTCCGGTAATATATAAATGCACCAGCGATTGACAGAACGTACAGTTTACGGTTTAACGTCTCGTACTTGTCGTTCCTTTTAAGCGCGCGCACCTAGCTTACGGCAGTGAACACGTGACGAAGCGAAGCGGCTGCCACGTGCTTCGACCCCAAAAGACACGTGTGTAGCGTGCTAGTGCCCACCTCTGTACCGTCGAGCCTCTTCCGTCCATTTCCGTGTACGACAACGATGCGATCTCTCCGATCCTTGTCGATCCTTAGTTTTATACTCGTTCTCTTCTCACCACCGATCACTGCCCTCGACAAACCAGAGACCGTGCTCCTGAACTTGCTAACCAAACCCTTTGCACCCTCCGAGGGTGCATCCGAGCAATGCCTGAAAGACAGCGCGAATTATTTGACGGAAATTACTCGGTATGCGGCCTGGGCGCTTCAGAGTAAGTCTACGCTTTCCACTTGTCCTTTTATCATCTATCATCTTTCGACCGATACGATACTTGCCGTAGCTCGCGACTTTCCTCGCGTGGATGTCGCGATGTCGATTGAAAATAGATAAATGAACAATTTCCTCTGGAATCCAACGATTCTTGTGTATCTTAAAGAAGCTGTCGGCGCAACGCTACGAGCGATGGCAATAGTTTTGATGACAGGCGGAAAGAAGGTGTCTTGTTTGACCGTGTACATTTGTTTAGCGATTCAAACGGAAAATCTATTCTCTTTGATTGCGATGCGATGCGATGCGATGCGATGCGATGCGATGCGGTGCGGTGCGGTGAATCGTGTTAGTGATGGGTAATAGACGAGCGTTTTTTTAAAACACATATGGTTCTCGATTGCCTATGATGATCGATGAAGCGGGACACGGTTTCGTGGATTGGTCAATTGGTTTCGCGGGTCAGTGAACCCTCTGCCGGTTCTTCAAAATAGAAAGTGAGAAATAGAAATGGATTCCTCCGGCGTAAAAATACATACCGTTTTAGGCGATCTCATGAAATGAAATGGTTATTGAACGCGCAGAAAGGAAAATGGAGAAATGTGTATGAAAAGGAGAAAAATTGGAGGAAATCGCAGCACGCGTTATGCGTCACGCGCAAACTGGGTCAATAGGGAATAACGTTGGTGCCGATAATCGTCCTTGTGTCGATCCAAGTCGATCTTTTTCTCGACCTACCGACCGATCATCGATCGATCCTTCCTCTTTTCGAGGAGGACGCGTGCACCTCTGACCACCTTGGCCTTTTTTCAACGCAAACAAACCGCAGTCAATCTCGATTCCCATCATTACATCGCATCGCATCGCATCGCATCGCATCGCATCGCATCGATAGCAGAAATGTTGTTTACGCTTCTGATTCTGTTATTCGTTTGTGGTAGCACAACAGTGAAACCATTGCTTCGATAAGTATGCCGACAGTTTCGATCTTGTTGTTTACGACACAACCAACGACCAGAGAAATGTTAACATTTCTTTGTGTCAACTACTTTTTTCTATCGAGCCGTGTTTTCCGATTTATCGGCGGTAATATAGACAAGTGGACAAATGGTTATTGTTATCGTTACCGTTATCTGTATTTATTGCGGAAATAGTTCAAGTAGGTCGTTGCGAAAATGCGTTGTTGGCGTAATTATTTCGATACGTCTCGTAATGCCAAATAGTCGTACACTCGAAGACTAGAGTCGGTCGTAATTAGGAAATAATGCGATCGACGAAAGTAAATTAGAGAATAAAACTGCATCGGTGGCATGAGCCTCGAGCCAACGTCGATAATAATTCTCGGAGCAAACGATCTCAAGGTCTCGAAACGAGGTAAGGTAAGGTAAGGTAAGGTAAGGTAAGGTAAGGTAAGGTAAGGTATAATAGAATGTGGAAACCACTCCAAGTTGATTCGAGACTGTTAGCCGTTACCTTTGCTCTCGACATCGAACTGAAATCCTTAGGTTACGGTTATCCGTTGCGTTTCTAGGAAATAAATTCACAATAAATAAGTCTAATTAGAATAGAATCACGAGATATTGGAAGAAGAAAAGTGAAAATTGTACTTTTTCGAAATTTTAGTGTACGATGCGTCCGTGAAAATTCCGTCGGGTATAATCACGGGCAATTACAAGCTACTAGGCAATTACGATGAGTGTCTGCGAGCGAGAAGCGAACACGGATTTACCGGGAAGGCCTGCACCGCCACGGTACAATTTGACATCGAAAAGGACAACGGTACACCTCGGGAATACGATCTGGGCGATCTGCTACTCGATGTAGCCGTTGCGTCGGTAAGTGAATCTCGATTCAATGATAAACTCTACTTTAATATCGAAGAAATGAAACCTGACGAGCAGCAAACAAATATGCTACGAATCTTGTAATCGATGTACAAAAATCGGATAACTTGCTAAAATTTGAATTCGAAAGATTTATCCTTTCGTCAAACGGAACAAGTTTTATTATTATAAATAGGTGGAAAGAAATTTGTAAGTTGATCAAACGAAACTATATCGATCGCCGTCACATCGCGTTGCATCGGCCGAATGGACGCTGCTAATTCCTTTTGTTTGTCATCGCGATAATGCTAACGAACACTTACCGGATTCGTTTAATACCTTATCGGTCATCGTTTGGGAATTTTAGCAATCAGTGATCTTGTTAACGGTTACATATCTTGAACGTCGACTCATCCGATACGCGCGGGCGCGCATAAATGGTTAATTAAAATGCTTTCTTATCGAAAGTTTGAACGACATGTATCTTTGTGATCTTTTCCACACTTGTCACCAAAATAGAAATAGAAATAGAACTAGCAATAGAAATAGCAATAAACGATGAAGTAATGTCGATTTGCGTTCGTTTTTGTTTAGGGTACGAAATGGTCGTTTGGCAAAACGGTGGCATACGAATGGATGTGGTGCGTTCCTTCGAGTTGCAACCATACGGAAATCCAGAAGGCATTGGAGATCGCCCTCGACCCTCTTAAGATAAAAGGTCGGGTGGATATGACGGTAAACGTTGACGAAAACTCCTGTCACACCGCAGAAACGGATCGACCAGTCCTCGATGTAACCGATTGGATTTACATGTAAATTCTCTCTCTCTCTCTCTCTCTCTCTCTCTCTCTCTCTCTCTCTTTCTCTGTTTTGTAATTTGTCAAGTGACGCAACGTGGACCGCGAAATTGCGAGACCGCGTCGTTGTTTGCTCTCGAGTCAACTAAAATATAAGATTAAATTGTGCAAATCGAAGCATCGATCGTGACATGACCTATTCGATTAAAAATTCATCGAGTTTCCTACGTAACGTTTCCTCGGTATAGATCGCGTTCAATTTTAGATCGATCCTTGTGACATTCGCGGTGACGATTATCGCCAGCACGAGTTACGATATCGTCAACCAAGGCCGTCCGAGTGCGTTGAACCGAAAAGGTGAGTTAATCTCGTTGTTGTTACGTAAACGAAGCAAAGTTCGCATCCTTGTTAAGAAAACTCATCGATTCGATACCGAAATGAAACATTATCGAATCCGATTCGATCAAACGACGCACGGCGAGATCGCGATCGATCGCGACCGATAACGATACACGATAACGATAACGATAACGCGATTATTCTTAATGTGCGAGCGATTATCGATTCGTATCGGTTTCGAATCTTTGATGACATGATTCCTTAATCGTGTTTTTTTTTTGCGATTTAACCGTTTCACGTTCAACTTGGTATCTCGCACGTACGTATAGAAAATTCTTGTAACGAGTCAAGCTACGGATACAACTACGGTTATCGTTACCATTCTTTTCCCGATGCATGCTTTTTCTCTTCTATTCGTTTATTATAGAATCCCTTGTTCGCGTTGCTCGGGATCCTCGAATTAACGTGCCGAATGATAGCATCGCGAATAGCACGGCCATTCCGAGTAACGAGTAACGAGTAACGAGTAACGAGTAACGAGTAACGAGTAACGAGTGACGAGTAAGTTTCATTTGATCGCGTGCATCTGTTCAGATACGAGAGACGTTCTTCTGACTTCGTTCTCGATCTACACAAACGGAAGAAATCTGTTGAAAACGGACAGACATAGAGATTCTATCAGATGTCTGGACGGTTTACGTTATTTGAGCATTTGTTGGATAATATGCGGTCATACGCTTTATTGCGAAGTCGTCAGCGTTAAAATGAATCTGAACGAGGTCCCATCGGTAAGTAGGTATTACACCATATTTTATCTCTACGAACAAGATGGGCGATTTTCTGGTCGATCGTCGGCGTCGATTGTCGACTTGGAAATTGGAATCGAGGTATGAGATATGTACGAGTAGTAAGAAATGTTTCGAATAAAAGATGCACTTGAATTGGGCCAACATGTTGCTGCTCAATGGGAATATAGTCACCGATACGTTCCTCCTTCTGAGCGGAGTGCTGATGGCTTACACGGCGATAGCTAAACATCGGAAGAATCCGAACGGACGTTTAAACGTGATCGGTCTCTATCTGCATCGATACATAAGGCTGACTCCAGCGTACGCGATGATGATCGGTTTCTATGCCACGCTGTTTTACAAACTTGGAACCGGTCCGCGCTGGGATCAATGGGTCGGAGAAAATCGAAACTTTTGTCGGGAAAATTGGTGGACGAATCTCCTTTACGTCAACAACTTTGTTAATCTACCAAGAATTGTACGTAAACAAGCACAATGATATACCTTGTTATTCCCGTATTACAATTAGCAATTAGAATTTACGTATCGTCTCGTCTCCGTCTGTTCTCAGTGTATGTCTCAATCTTGGTATCTGGCGACCGATATGCAACTCGCGTGGCTCTCACCGATTTTCTTGTATCCTATGCTCAAGTTTACGCGAGATATCTTCTTTTGGTTAATTATTGTCACGAGCCTCGTCGTCTCTGTCCTGGTACCATTTTTAATAACTTTTATCCAGCGACTACCAGCAACTATGCTTTATTACAAGGAGTAAGTGTAGAAATTGATCAAAGATTGCATCTCCTCCTGTTTTATCGACCCTTTTGCCGTTTCTCTCGATCGCGATGGCGATTTTTCGACTCGACTCGGCCGCGCCGCGCCGCGCCATAGCGAATAGTCGGATTTATTTCGTCGGCGATCACTCATTTAGTCATTTCCCTTCGGTGTATCCGCTCGATCCACTCTATCGCTTAAAGTTGACAAAGTTTGATGGCCGATCGGTAGAGTTAAACGATGCTAAAGTGGAAAACTTGAAACGAGGAGATTATCATTTTTCATTTATTTATTTATTTATTTATTTATTTATTTATTTATTTATTTATGTTCTAACTAGTCCCCTGTCAGTGGCCGACGTTTACGTGCAAATCTATACAAAGGTTTACACCAGATACGGGTCTTACGTAATCGGATTGGTTCTGGGTTACATTTTGCACAAGACACGGTCGCGAGCTGTGGAAATACGTTCGGTAACATCTTGTCGCTTCGTTGTTAGCTCGAATTGAACGAGCGATGGTTCTGCTAAACGAAGCATCGCTCTTTTAACCCTAACATGCTTCGCGCTAATACGGTACATCATCTACCTATGTATTTCTTTTTTAAGGTTTACGTGATTGTTGGTTGGTCGATTGCTGCACTGTCCGGCTTGTTCGTCTTTCTCAGTCCTCGATGGATGTACTTTGACGAGCATCCTTACGACAAGGTGGAAGCCAGTTTTTACGCAGGTTTCCACAGGCAAATCTTTGTCCTGTCCATTTCTTGGATAATTTTCTGCTGCGTTCATGGATACGCTGGTAACTAGACCTATAATTTCTATAATATTATTATATATTTCTATATCTAATTTCTCTTGCACTTGAAACATTTATTTCTTGCATTTCTTCCCTGTGCAGGTTTCCTGGGTGATGTTCTCGGCTGGAAAGGATGGGTTCCCTTGGGCAAACTGACCTACAGCGCTTACTTGTGTCACTATGTGTTTATGCTGTCGGAAGCTGGCACGGCTCGAACACCTGGCGTAATTTCGCTAATGTCAATTGTAAGTAACCGTCGACATCGACATCGACATCGACATCGGCATCGGCATCGGCATCGTCGCCGTCGCCGTCGCCGTCGATAAAATAAGAATTTTCATTGCTGAAAATGAGAATCTCTGGAAATTATTCTCTGACACGCTAAGAACGTTAACGACCGTATACACGTATACACGTATACACGTATACACGTATTCACTCGAGGAACGTTCCAGCTCCGGAGCTTCTGCAGCAACCTGTGCCTCGCGATGCTACTCGCCGTCATCTGGAGCCTTTGCTTCGAGATGCCCTTTATGACTCTGGATCGCGCGTTGCTCTCCCACGGAAAGAATCGGTCGACGAAATCGAGCCAAACGAAGACGTACAGTTTTGCCGAGCCGAGCAAACAGAGCTATCGTTCCACGAACCAATTATCGTCCACGTTTTCGCAGAGTTCCGATAATGGCTCGGCGGAACGGAAGCCCGGTAAAGAATGCCTACACATTTCGGAGGGGAACGTCGGCGTCGTTGACGGTAATACCTCGTACGCCTCGCAAAACCAACCATCTCTTTCAAAAGACGACACGCATTCTTTCATTTTTGTGATCGGTGACTCCAAGGACGAGCATTCCTGGACCAACGCGAGGAACGTTCATTTAAACGACGGCTTCGACGGAGACTCGGACAATTCGTTGCAATCGAAAATGGACACGCGACTGGATCGCGGTCGTGGATACGAGTCGACGCGGACGCCGACTTTCAAGCAAAATTCGATTCGAAACCAACGATCCGTCGAGACGAGTCAAACAAACCACGCGGACGGTTGGTAAAGTGCTATTATATATATTTGTTCATCGAGGTAAAACGAGCTTGCAGGTCGAGTGTTTGTTTACCATATACGAGAATAGAAAAAAAGTAACGGTGGTTAGATTGTATCATAGGATAACGAATATAACGTGCGATGAGACTAGAGTGCTCTGTCAAATTAACAAACAAAGGGAAAATGCGTATTTGTCAAGATTTTCCACGTGGCAATAACGTGCCGTAAAATAGCGTTGTTGCGAATGTCGGGAGGTTGCAGCTTCGAATCTCCCCGAGAGAAACTATTTCTTTTACTTTTACGATACGCGTACGATACGATATTACGATACATCTCGTTCCATTCATCTGATTGTTATCGTATATTCCGTCGCTTTGAAATGTTCCTACGGTTGGCCGTGAATGACGTTTCCTAAAAAATACTATGTAGAAAGCGACGATATCGAAAAGATATCCTAAAGATTATCCTAATTAAGCTACAGGTTTTCGTGAAAGTTGAAGGGGTAACTAGTTTCGATTAGTCGGTAATGGAGTAGGAGTGTTAAATGAAACAGAGTTGGGCGACGCGTGTTACGAAACATTGCGAAAAAAGAGAGCGGGCGACATGTGGGAATTGGGTGACATCGTTAACGTATACGCCCCGATTCGAAGCCGCGCACCGCTCGACGCCGACGCGCGACGGTTTCAAGGGTTGCGAGTATAGTTCGAGCACGCGTTTAAAACGCCCTTGGGACGTTCTCCCTTCCGTGGGAAAACGATTCTCGCATTTTTCACCAACACTCGACAACGGTCGAGTAAGTGGTTGGAAAAGGTTCCGGTCCGCGGATTTTTCCAACTTTTCAGACCTTTCGGACGATTAACAAGTTGAACGGCGAACCGAACCAACGAGTCAGTCCGTCTCGTTTCCAAATAAACGTCTTATTATTTATGATAAATGTGCGATAATCGAGGCAGTGATTCGACAACGCAACCACGCTACGAACCGCATTTTCCCGTTCGAATGTATAGAGAGAGGGTGTTTGGACCGGATGTTTTGCGTGGACCGATGCATTTGGTAATTGCGGAGGCAGCATGGATATCGTGATTGCGTGAATTGGGGTGAGATTGCCGGGCACCGACAGCCATTAACAGCGGAACGAGACCCGAGCCGACACCCCGGAGCGACCAACAGAAAGGGACCGAAACTCCAACGGATCGGTATCCTAACGTAACGTAACGTAACGTAACGTAACGTAATATAATATAACGTAACGGGCATCGATGTTGTCTCCTTTACATCTGCGAGCCCACCGTTTTTACGCAATGAAAACGCACACATTTTCAGACATTTCTCCCCCTCTCTATTCTCTTCCAGGTTTATTTATGTCATTGCCATGAAATCAACTCGTCCACGGACGATCTGGCTCTTTTCCACGCATTATTAGCATGCACAATGAGTCGGCAGGTCTGTCGACTAACAATTCGATATATTTACCGTTGCCGAATTTATACATACTATACATGCACGTATATCTATATAGTAGGGGAAAACGAAGAATGCGCAAACAAATGTTTCCAAACCTTTTCCATCTTTTCTCATCGTAGACGTCGCGAACGTTATTTGCACGAAATCTCTTTTATTTATATGTACATATATATATATACGATATACTTGTTTAATAATATACAAGTAAATGAATAAAAAGAGTCGCAAGGGAAGGAACGAGTGCATAGATTCGGGATTGTGGAGTTGGCGCGATATGTGATATGTGACGTGTGACGTGTGACGTGTGACGTGTGACGTGTGACGCATAGCCACGTTACGTTGCTTCCGTTCGGTATCTCGAATTTCAAGTATACCGAGTCGGATCGCTGTGCTCTCGAGGTTCTCCAATTTCTAGGAGACCGATCGCGGGGCCACAGCTCTTTTTGCGATATCAACGGAATAGAAGAGAGACGAGTCTCGCGATGGGACTGGCGCCGACCTCCCTCGACGTTGCCTTTTCCGGTTTCCCTTAGCCAAACGAACACGTTTTCTTCAAAGGTCCAGCTTGTGTCGCGCGCCACCGTACAACACGTCCGCCGTAGTAAACTGTAATCCGAAGCTCCATCTGTGACAGTTTGTCTATTCCCCGCACAATACGGACACCCAGAACTTGACCTGACCTGAGCTGACCTGGTTCTCGTAATCGCATCCTGGAACCTTTTCGCGTCAAACGAAATACCGTTGGATCCTGTTGGTTTCTGGTACGCGCCTGGGTATCTCTTGGACGTTGGCGTCGACGAGTACGTATACGTCCTTGGACAAGGTCTCGCCAACAGTCGGCTCGTTCGGATGGAAAGCTCGTTATTTTTTTCCTCTAGGAAATCGGTCGAAACGTGTTCGTAAGACACGTTACGAAAAGTTTGTTCCGCGCCGGAACGTTCGCGGAAAGTGAAAGAAGAGGGGGCAAGAAAAGGAACAAGTCGGACGGCTTGTACTAGTGTGAAACACGAAGAGGCCCCTATAAAAAGGTTCAAGTGGTTGCACATGAGAGGCTTTAGGCTTTAGGCTTTTCGGATACCTACGTCAACGTTTATTCTTTCTTTCTTTCTTTCTTTCTTTCTTTCTTTCTTCTCTGCATTCTAAAACGTCAAAGAAAACTCGTAAATTCTGAATGGTGAGTTTCGTTGGCGCCAGACAAAATCGAACCTTGCACTTTGTTGTCCAGCAAAAGCAAAGAAAGAACGGGCCCGTAAAAGAGTTTGCGTATCGATCGAGTCGTTAAAAAAAGTCTGTATCGAGTTTCGTGTAACGTAAGAGATCCTACCGATCGACGCCCACTGCCGCCGCCACCGCCACCGCGCTGCATCGATCTCATCGCTGGTCGCGAGTAATTCGAAACGAAGGCGTAACCGGGGACTTGTTTTCTTCTCGACAAGCTTCCATTTCTTTTCCTTCGATTCTTACGCAATCTTTTTCCTTGATCCTTTTTTAAAATGGCTATCGAGCCATCGAGCATCAAACTATTTATAAATTCTTAACGGTTCCAAATGGAGCTTCTCCCTAAACGATAGTTATCCCAAGAGAGTTTTCTTTGGTTGGGACTTGGGCCAACTTGTGGCGTAAATATACGAGTCGGCACCTGTTTTCCTGTTTTTCCGATTTCACATATAGCTCGTATATCGTATTTTCACGGTCACGCGTCACTTATCGAGTCCACCTAAAGAATGCTGTCTATAAAGACGCTTATTATATTTGATATTTATCCAAGTAACTTTGAATTCGAATTCGAATCGAACGACGTACTGTACGCGGCATCTACGATTAAATAATCGCGTAGATAAGTAGATATTCGTAAAGGATTTTTTCAACGAAAGAAAACATCGATCGTTATCCCACTCCTTCCTTCTTCTTTTTCGGATCTGTTTGCTGATGGCGCTTGCTCGTGCACCTATTACTCTTTCCGTTTTTCCCATCTTTTTTTCTATCGGTTTTTCTAGCAGATAGCGGAGAAAGTGATCGGTCGAGTGGCGCGGCGGGCTGCCAGTCTGGCCGTAAGCGTCGCGGAAACTTCTCGACAGACCTCGAGACGCTGTCAAAGAGAAAATGCCGCGTGATTCGAGAACCACTTATAAAGACGACTAATTTTTGTCTCTTTGATGCCAGGCGACCGCGTACCACGCCTTTTCCAACAGAGCCACGCTTTTGCAGTGGAATTTTCTTGGATCTGAAAATATCGTCTTTCGATTCGCCCGTGACAATATTACGAGCAACGGTATACATAGCTACGTGTGTATGTATCTTTAGAGATTATATCGTTGGAATTATTAAAAATGATCACGTCACGTTACGAAAACCGAGAAGTGAAAAGCGAAAAGCGAAAAGCGAAAAGCGAAAAGCGAAAACCGATCTAACTTGGTCTACACTCTACACGCTAACGGTATGGATATATCACGTATTTATCACGTTTCGTCGATCATCAGGCTAAAAGACGGTACTTGACTTACCGAAAAGCTATTATAGTATTATAGTAGTCGAGTGTTAAATGGAGAGGGCACATGGTGCGGTTTCCCACAAGCAGGGATAAGCGATTAGAAGGTGATTAGGTGTTCTGGATTGCGTCCCACTACCGCAAAAGCGGCGTGGCGTGGCGTGGCGTGGCGTGGCGTGGCATGGCACGGTGCATGCGTCCACGCTCCCCCACGAGCAGGCTCTTTTACACCCCCGAGTCGAGCAGGCGCACCGATCGCTGATACGGGGCTGAAAGTTGCATCGCCCCTCTTCGCTTACCTCCTATTTTACCGTCTACTCCCGATGCTCTCGCGATTATTACTCGATATACATAGATACCGTTGCCAGCAGCTAGCTTCCGACGAGCATCATGTACATGTACGTACGCCGAGAAATTTCCTTAAAAGGCTGATGAAATAGTATCGAACAAACAGTTGTAAAATATAAAATCGGCGATACGAGTTACGACATGTTTGACAAAAGTAATGCGATTCGGGTAAAGATACTTGAGCTCTGTTTAATAACTGTTTAGTAACGGTAAGTAAATTGATAATTTAATCGCGATGCTTTCCAACGACTACTTAATCGGTACTTAATCTCGAACTTGGGCCTGCGTAATCGCTGACCTACTTGCGGAGAAACAATTTTTTTGAGTGAAACGCCGCGTGCCAGTCTCGTGGCCTCAAATATCCGGGAGCCACGTTCGCTAAAAGTAATTATTATTTCCTCCCGTTAAGTAGGCTATTTTTTCAAGAAAACGACCGACAGACGTAAACAACGGGTCGAGCCATCGGCATCGGTGTTCTGCGCTCTATCGGTACGCAGCTACCGGAATTTGTTTATTTTCCACGCGATGACACGTGGTTCCCGTACCGGATAACGGGGACGGGCTTGTTCGAATCTCGGAATTTCTAAATTTCTCTCAAACTCTTGAATTCGAGCGTCGGCGTCGGCGTCGGCGTCGATTGTATCGGTTATCGCAAAAACCGAAATAAACGCTTTTCAGGCGTATCCGCGTCAGAATTTCGCGTTTTCCATTGCTCGTTGATTCGATAATCGAGATAAAACCATCCTAAAGTCAACCTACGTTCATTGTCGATCTACGAACAAACGTTGCGATGCATATGTGTACGAACGGTAGGTGAACCCTACCTACATCTTCGATTCTCCTCTCCACGGTTCTGGGAGGAAAAAGATGCGAGAAATGCAAGTTTCAGCAGCGTAATTTCGAAAGAGATCGATAGTCGTTAAAAGTTAATCTCTCGGAGAGGAACAGCAGCAGTTAGGTACACGGGTAATCGGTAAAGTTCCATGAAGAGAGAGACACGGAGAAGTGAACTCGGGAACGATGATATTACGACAGAGAGAGAGAGAGAGAGAGAGAGAGAGAGAGAGAGAGAGAGAGAAAACGAAGCAACGAGTAGAGGGGAAGAGAGGAATTGAAAGGGGCCATGTGGCGTTTCAGGAGATATCAAATCATACTACGCGTACACCATGCCGCCCCCTAAATATAGTTTATTGCGTTACCGAGTATTAATGGAGCTTCTATAGAAAGAACGGAGTCCAGACGTACGCCAGGAAACTTGTTACTCGTCGTCCAGCAACTTGGAAAAACCGAAACTTAAACAGCTTTCGATTTTGCTGCTGGATCGCGATCCTTTGAAACTCGAATTCTAACGATAACTATTAGAAATGAATCGCAACCGAAAGGATGCGAACGATTTGAAATGCGAGACCGGGCGCGGCGGCGGCGGCGATTTGTTCGTGCAGGACCACGATCGTGCCAGATTTCGAATGTGTTCCGGTGTCACAAATTGAAAACATAAACACCGACGTCCCGTACACGTGTCCTCTGTATATCATAAAGTCCTCGACGACGGTCGTCGAGAACTGGCTTTTCGACTCGCTTACTACGTCCGCTTCTCGGGATTCATTCATGAAACTCTGACAGCCGTTTAAAGCGCGATACATAAACCCCTAAACATTTCTTCCCTTTTCTTTCTTTTTTCCCTGTTCCTATTCCTGTCCTTATTTCTTCGCTATTAATAATCAATCGATGGAACTTGCAAACGAATGAAACGTGTAGCTTTTTTTTTATGACGACAAGAAACATTTGAAGCGAAAAGAAGCAACAAGAGACGAGTTGTTCGAGGAACGAAGGAAACAGGAGAAGAAAGATTTTCGATTGGCTATTTGAGCTATTCGAGAGGGTGCGACGAGCCGTCGAAGAAAAGGTTACTCTTTGCTACTGAAATAATAAACAAAGCCTTTTTGTTCGTAGCCGGCCGATATAGGTACGATATTGGACAGTAGCTCGTTGTTAAAGGAACGCGATTCCTGATCTGGGTTAATAAAAATGTTAACGGTGTCGCATTTCAAGAAGAACCGACCGCTACACCGGTGGATCCTCCCGTCGCGTCGAGATCACCGAAACGCTTCTTTGATCGCGTTCGAAAACATCCAAGACAGCTACTCGTTATCGGAAAGGTCATCTTTCTTGGAAAATTAACTTTTACTCGTCTTTATAGTCGTATAAAGTTCGCTTTGAACTTGTGTTTGTCGCACCGCACCGCACCGCACCGCACCGCACCCTGTCACCTTGTCACCCTGTTTACATCAACTACGCCAACTAAATAAGAAAAAAACTTGTTCGTACTTGTTCGTATCGAGAGTTTCGTAATCTCGAGCCTGTATCAACAATCAAATTTCAACTCTCCGATCCAAGATTTAGCTCGAGGGATGTCGATTTATCACTTTGCATGAAATTTTCCGACGAAACTCTATCTTTGTCGTAAAATATAAAACGAGTTTACGAGCGTGACGGTCGATCGAAATAGTCGCGTACCGATCGACGCGGTTCTTTTCGCGACTTGTTGTTCGGTGTGCGATCTTTGTTCTCCGAGTACGGTGAAAACGGCGACCGAGGGAACGCATTTAATGAAATGAAATGAAATGAAATGAAAATGGAAATATGTAAGGAGTTGTATATGGCGTAGAAAGCGTTGAACAAAGCGTAGGATCGCGGTATACATATACATATTCGCGTTCCGTGGTTGATAGAAAGATACGATGGCGGATAGGATGGTTGGTGTTTCTGATCGTGCCCTAAACGAGATAGCGCGGCGCGGTTGATTCCTCGTTCAATTTACTAATTGAATCGCGGCGAGGAAAACCGGCATGGGCGTAGACCGTTCGACGCTCCGCCCTTCGACCCTCTCTCTACACCCACTACGCGAGAACGTTCTCGAGTAGGATCACGTATCGTAATATGCGCGCTCCCTGCACGAGTCCTACGCATCACCAAAATCTCCCTTCTCCCTATTCCCTTCTCCCTTCTCTCTTCTCGCTTCTCGCTTCTCGCTTCTCGCTACTCGCTTCTCGCTTCTCGCTTCTCGCTTCTTGTTCTCCGTTTTCAGTTCTTAGTTCTTAGTTCTCAGTTCTCGGTTCTTAGTTGTCAGTTGTCAGTTGTCAGTTGTCAGTTGTCAGTTGTCAGTGGCACTCGGACCGCAACCGGAAACGCATCGTCACGATTCACGGTGACACGCGCGTGTCGTCCGCTTCGCGTTCCTCTTAAAACTTGGACACGGTTTACGTTGCAAGTTGCAATCTCTTTTTCAACCCCCGTTGTGACCTCGACTCCAACTCTTGTCGCGCTTCTCTTCGGATCACGAAACGCGTACAATTGAAACGATTCGCTTATTTCACGGAGAAGATATCGCGAGCGGTCTTCTCGACATGTAAAGTGGTGCAACTTTGAGAGTTTCGAGTTTGTTTCGGACAAGTTTTTTGTTGGAACGGAAAAGGAAAAGGGCTGGTGGTCGAGCGGAAGGATCGGGCCGCCTAAGAGAAAAAAGGATCGGAGGTGAAATTTGTTGTGATCGGTGTAGCGAAAGAAGCGCGATGATGCTGGGAGGCTACGAGGCGCAACCGGATTACTATCCGCAATGGCATCAACCCTGCAATTATGTCACGCAATTGCCTTACGGTAAGTCGCAGACTTGGAACCTTATTCCGTAACTATCGGTCCTTTTTCCAAAAAAATATACGTAGCTATCGAATCTCTTTGATGGTCCGTAATTTTAGTTCTTGAATTCGTTTTCTTTCGTTTGTTTCGTTTGTTTCGTTTGTTTCGTTTTACGGATATCCGTTTCGACGTGTCCATCGGCAACCTTGATCGCGTACACATTGATCGATCTGGAAGGAAATGTTTTCGCTATCGATTTCTCCCTTTCCTTTTGGTTACGGTCTGTCGCGTAACGACACGATATACGTCGCGAATATACGTCGGGCATATTGGATTTGTCGAAAAATTAAACGATTCTCGTTATCTTGCCTCGAACCGAAGCGCGACTAAAACGTCGCCGTCGGTGTTGCGACGCTCCGGAACAATTCGTCTGACCAACGGATGGGACGCGGTTAAAAAGACTTGCTTGCGTACTCATTGATGCTGTTTACAGCAGAATTGAAAAACCGAACGATAAGGGTATTTCCAAAGGGGAAGAAAAGATGAATCGACTGGTCGGAATAGGAAAGAGTCGATGACACCATTTTTTGTACAGGTCCGCTGCACGTGCCCGACGCGGACAGCCAATCGACGTATTGGGGCGCGGATTCCGGGATCTCTGGGGGTAGCTCCGGAGCAGCAAGTCCAACCGCATCGACGCCACCCCTGATCGAAGAGATTGGAGTCCAAGAAACTAGCTACTCCCCTTTGCAACAGTATCCTCACCCCTCAATCGGTCAACATTACTCGAGCATGGTCTATCCGGTTCCGAGCTCTGGTCCGAGTCACGCCGACCTCTCCCATCACCATCAGCATCATCATCATCACCACCACCATCAGCATCAACATCAACATCAACATCAACATCAGCACCAGCAGCAACACCAACACCAGCATCAACATCAGCATCAGCATCATCAACATCAAACTCATAGAAGGGACGGCGATTACTCCGCGGTTTCGTCGATCGGTCAGCTCGACGTTTCGCTTTCGGAACACCTCCGACAGGGGACGAGAGAGGCTGGCATCGTCGTCAGACCAAAGAGGAGAAACACCGCGAATAAAAAGGAACGAAGGCGAACACAGAGCATAAACAACGCGTTCGCGGATCTTCGCGACTGCATACCGAACGTACCGGCAGACACAAAGTTATCGAAAATTAAGACGTTGAGGTTGGCCGCTTCTTACATCGGTTACTTAATGGCGGTTCTCGAGAGCGACGAGGGAGACGAACCACCACAAACCTTTCGCGCGGAGATCCTCTCCAACGCCAGAAGGAATAAAACAGCTCAGTCGAATCAGGTAGACAGTTTTTTCTTCTCTTACTTTTTGTTGCCGCCTAGAGAAAACTCTATGTAACTCGTATGTAAAATTGTTTTTGTTTTTTGTTTGCAGAACGAGTCGTGTTTACATCCAGCGTCGAGTCTCGCGTCCGAGGAATCGTCGAAAAGTAAAGGACGAACTGGATGGCCGCAACATATGTGGGCTCTCGAATTGAAGCAGGAATCGCAGACCAGCCAGATGCAATAAAATCACCGATCTCTATCTATTTTTGACCAAACGACGGCTGCTGCTGCTCGAAAGAGCACAGATATCGAAACCAGGGGAGATGAGACGAGACGAGACGAGACGAAACCAACTCGAACGCAGGATAGATGACCGGAACGAACGAGTAATTTGATCGTAAAATGCCGAGGCAATCCATCGTTTGAACGTTGCATCGAATCGCGATCGAAGATTCTTACCACCTACTACTTGAATCGACGTGAAATGGAACGTTTCTGAAATTTAATTTATTCGTGGATAGGACTAATTAACGTAACACGCCAATGATATTAGGGCACCGGAAACGTTGTAGATTGGATCGGTTTGGAACATTTATCGTTTCAAGGTGTATCGATGGGAATAGTCGATCTCTTGTAAATACGCGTTTACGAATGTACGTTGCACGTGTAAATAAAAGTTTGTTGTTTCATAGTTGATAATTAAACGTTAGTCTTGCACCGGATTTCTCATTGTTTCATCACACCTCTGAAAATGCCTGGACTTTAACGGTTTGCGCGACGATATCGCGACCTTAAATTGTCTCTCGGTCTCCTATCCCATTCGGCGTGACGTTTAAAGAAACTTTAAGCGGATCGACTCGACAAGTGTCGCGTCGAGAATTTCCCTTGTTTCGAAGGCAAAGGCGAAGGCGAAGGCGAAGGCGAAGACAATGATGCGTTTCCCTCGACTACATGCTGGGACAACTGCATTGTTTGGCAGGGTCGGTTTCATATTTCCTGGATATCCTGTCGCAACGCGTTCGTTTTCGTCGCTATGTAGTAATCTCGAGTCGTCGTGGAATTGTTTTCGTTGTGTCGTGTATACATATACAAATTAAAGAATCGCTCGTCGACGACCGATCGAAACTAAATACATTCACGGTGTCTTTGAGATCGAAACGTATGTACGTGTATGTATAGACCCTGACGCTGACGCTGACGCTGACGCCGACGCCGACGCCGATGTCGGCATCGCGTCCAGTCAATAAGTAGATATTTAAACGATTCGATGAGTTGGCGGTGACGACATCGCCATCGTTTGCATCTTGTGTAACGTAAACGGACTGTCCCGTACCTCGATGTGAACGATGCGATCAAAAACTGTCTCGTCTTAATCGCAAAAACATTTCTACTCGACGGATCAAAGGATCGATTATTCGATTGACCGTGTCAAACGATATTGCGACTAATTGCTAAACAACAAACGAGAGATTGCACGGTAAATATGTGTTTTTTCTGAAAGTGAGTTTGGTGGAATGGTCGAGTATCGTTGCAATGCGAACGCAAACGAAAGTTTGCAGATGATTCGGGCAGAGAAAGAGATACATATTTGGAAACTGCGGAGAAAAACACAAGGGAAGAGACGCTGCGCCGCGCCGCAGCGTATGCTACTCGCGCTAGCAAGTGTTAAACGCGAGAAGGTGAATCGGTACCGCTTTGTAAACTCTTCTCTTGACGAATCCCAGAACACTTCCGAAGCCCGAATCGACGATATAAACACTCGGCGGTATATCTACGGAACTCGGTTATTCTCGGTATATCAACGAACAAATGGTTGCCTCCTTGTCAAAATGTTACCGCGAACGATCTCTGCCGAGCGCAAACAACTTTGTACGATTTCGTACTTTTTACTTATTCCGCGATAGCTCTGGATTCACGGTGATCGCGTCGTGCTCGAAACGAATCAAACTACTGCTGTACGCGCGCATGCATACTATACATATGTATATCGTACATATACATAGAAACGTGAAAAGGATTAAGGATGACTCACGAGCAAACCTCCAGCTTCATTTCTTTATTCGAAATACCACGATATTTGAACGCGATAGTTGCAAGTTTGCACGATCGATCACGAGCAGCGGAGATCGGGATTAGCCGGAAACGTGGTCTATTGTTCCCCCGACGTTATCTCTGCTACTCTATCGGGCAGCGATCGATACGTGTCTTACACCCGAAAACGTACCGACCGCGACGTTTAATAGTCGAATATTACTCTTACTCGCTACTTTTGCTTCCTTTTCTTCCATCGCGACCTATAGATATAGACAAACGTCTAAACAGGAGAAGGACAAAGATAAGCAAGAGACGTCGGTTACGTGGGAATATTTTCGGCGCATCGATTCGAGGAGACATACGTACGAACGTGTACGTGTGCCCGACCACGCGAACGACCGTATGACACCCTCACCGAAAAAAGAACATGAAGCGAACGTTTGTTTGCTTTGACGAGTATCGAAGGTCCGCGTACGGGGACTCGGGCCACGACCAACTAACTACGACACAACCACTTGGCCGTCTCTTGAAAAACTGACCCATGCATATGTCGCGAGCCGCCCCTCTGATATCTCTTCCTTTACTGCTCGCTACGAGCTACGAGCTACGAGCTACGAGCTACAAGCGCCAACAGCACGGAAACGGCACGGTAAGGACTGGCTACTCGCATACTATTTATTCTTTACTTGATTCTTCTTATTAGAAGAAAGAAAGTTGAATCTTAAGTAATTCGAATCCATCTTTTTCGATTGCAGCAAAAAGAAGAGTAATAGGACTATGGAAACAGACAAAGGAACCAGGACGTTCGTCGAGTTACTCGAGAATCAAAACCGACCAAAGTATGTATAAATTTACGAGTCGAAAGTATGCTTTAGACTACGCTACGTGGGCCACGATAACGGATAACGGATAACGGATAATCCACGTGTACAATACGGCTATAATATAGCGTCACTCGATGCGCATACCTATCGCATTGGCCAGATTCGTCGAAAGAAGCAACGTTTAGGTATCGCTCGCGAACCAGTCTATCTATAACAAACATTGAAACAACTATTAAAAGAATTCAATTGGCAACGAGACAAACAACTAGTATTTTCTTTGTTTCCGATAAGATATAGGTACAATATACGTGTATATATTACGTTTTAACGCGAATGAAATCAGAGTCTAGCTGTCCCATCGCGCAGCAATGAGACGATCGGCCAATACAGTCGACCTTTTATACGCGTCGCGTCGAAGGCGAGCTTTCGCGCTCGCCTTGATCTGCTTGCTTCCGAAATTGAATTGGCTAATTGACAAGTTTAATCGAGAACAGATTGTCTGTTTGCTCCACACTCGGAGAGTCAGAGACAGAGTCGGAGTCGGAGTCGAAGTCAGAGTCGGAGTCGAGTTCGAGTCGAGTCGTAGCGGCGTCATTGGCGTCGCGCACCCTTATTCGTTCGGCTCGACAGGGGGTAAGAAACGCGGGGGAAACTACATCGATTCGAGAAAAGTCATCGTCTTCTTGTTGTTTCGAATCGATCGTTGCAAGCTGCAAGTCATTAAACGTAGATTCGTCTTTAAAATCATGGATTACCGATTACGGATTCGTTTGTTTGTTTGTTTGTTGACACGATTAAATGAATAGGACACGACGGCCAAAGGACACGGGGCAAAAGGAGGATGAAATTTCGTTTCGATATACGGATGGTTGGCTAGCCGAATGTCTCTTTGTAAAATTAGAAAGTTGAAGGTATTTGGAAAAGTTGCAAAATTTAGAATATTCCAGTCTGATACGACCAATGATAAGATTGTGAAAGTTGTTGCGTCAAGGTTTCTTCTCTCGTAAAAGAAAAGAAAAGAAGAAGAAGAAGAAGAAGAAGGAGAAGAAGAAGAAGAAGAAGAAGAGAAAGATAATAAGTGAAAAATATCCCCAAGGAGCGGAGAAACGAATGTACCGTGTAGCAAAGTGTTGCGGGGGTGCGGTTGCGACGCATCGCGTAGCCAGGAAGCTCATTAGGTATGGACGAGCGTGGATCTCGATTGAAATGAAGACGAATCGGTTGGTGGGCCGACGAGATTGCTCCGGTGCGACGCGCAGCATGGCATTTCATGGCTAAGCGCGACGGGGCGGATGTTTGCGTGTCGGTGACTCGAATCGAATTGAATCGAATCACATCGAATCGATTCGAATCGATTCGAATCGAATCGATTCGATTCGAATCGAAAGGGAGAAAAATAGTCTCGACGGAGGGAAAGAACGAGGAAGCCAATAAACGTAGGCAACCCGGGAGGGTAGCTCGCGATCGTATAAAAGCCACGGATCGCGAGCGTATCGACACCATTCGCCGGTTACAAGTCTCGGGATACCGTTCACTCGAAGAAGCGATGATCGGTTCGAGCGTGTTTCCACCCTCTCGCATCGTCGCTGTCGGCGCTCTGCTTTGCTTGGTTTACTCGGTGTCTTGCACTTCCGGCGAATACGGTACGTTTTCGACTACATATCACCTACGAATATACGACATTTCTGCACGTTACGGCGCATCGTTCGTTGACGTAGCCACTCGAAAATTGTTGTCCCGTCGATAGTTTTTCTTTCGTTTAATGCAAATCTAACAGAGGGGAGAGAATCGTCGAGCGGCGTGTCCAACGACAGAACGCCGAGCAACGAGTTTGGCTCGTGCACCGAAGGGAAATGCATAAAACGCAACCCTCAGGACATCAGCAGCGGCATGTGGTTCGGACCGCGACTGGGAAGACGACGAAGGTCCGATAGGAAGTCGGAAGTCGATCCGGACATGGAAACTCTGGCCAGCATCCTCGATGGCCACCGGTGGCCCGTAATCGCGATTACAGGTATATGCGTGTGCAATTTGCATATCGTAGTCTCTTGATAATAATATACGGTACATAATACTAATAAGGTTGGAAAAATGATTAAACTCGCGATAAGTAAACTGTTTGGCTGTTTGCCGACACCACCCACCTTTTTTCCCGCGAATCATTTTTCCGTTCTCTCGTAAGTCGTAAACATGGTCGAAACGACCAAGTTTTACTTGGATGCGTGCAAACTGCAAAGTCGAATAACTCGGTTGTAGCAACTCTTTTAGTCAGTTTTTTCTTCGTTCTTTCTTTACATTTCTTTCATTCGCTTACATTACATTCCGTTCATTATTCTAAACCCGTACTATAGCTGTAATCCCAACTACTAGCCCTGAGGGCGGATGAACGATAAACGCAACTCCAAGTAAAAAGTTTCATTTCAGGCGGAGGGAAGCGACAATCGACTCAATTCACTCCTCGATTGGGACGTGACTCGGCGGAGGAATTATTCTCGTACCGATTTCCAAAGGATCAAGAGACCTTGTACGCGGAGGAGCAAATCTTTCCAGCTCTTTTCGCGCCTCGTTTAGGACGTCGGCTACCGTGGATACCCTCTCTGAGACTTGGACGTCAGTTGCACGACATGTTTGAAAAATCGAGACGATACGCCGACGAATCGCGCTTTTGAAATCTCCTTTGACGCGTTCAACGAACAAAGACAACCCACGACATTGAGCGTAATTAAGATGCGATCGAATAAAGAACTTGTATTTATTTGTATTATAAAATAACAATACTCGACGTTCTTTTCTTCCAAATCCATATTTAGTTTAGTTTGTAGGCAGCGCGAGATAAACTTGGTCGGATCGTTGAAAAAATGTGTCCGAGATTAGGTAGCACCACGGCCAGCCGCGTTATTCTCGTCTATTCCGATGGTAAACGATTTACTCGAGCAAAGAGAGAGGGGAAAGGGAAGTTAACTTGTAGTATCTACTGGCAGCGTTTTCAAGCTTTACGATTACGAGCAAAGCCTATGTTACCACATGGCCCGCCGCTCTGTAGTTTCGCTCGAGGAATTACACGAGTAAGTAAATAAGTAAGTAAGTAAGTAAGTAAGTAAGTAAGTAAGTAGTTACGCACTCCTTGCTCTCCGATTCTTCCAATCTTTTCGTCGACGTCATGTCCTTCTTTTTCATCTCGCTAACCACACAAATAGAAAATCTATGATGAAATTAAATCTTTTTCTTTTTCTTTCTTTTTCTTTTCTTGTTGTCTGGCTTAAACAACGCTATGTATTCTTTTGGAGCTGGTTCTTTCTTTTTTTTTTTTGTTTATCCTTTTCTTGCTTTTTATTTTATGCATTCGCAAACATTACAACCTTTCTATGCGTACAGAATTCTGGAAATTGCTCGCACGACAACCTCGATTCGCCACATTGTACACACACCCTTGTTACATATCTCACACGTCCCTAGGCAATGCGTTATAGCTACAATATATATATTTTTTCATTTTCATTTTACCTTTCCTTTCACCAACACACGTATACACACACTTTTTCTTCTTACGCGCATCCTATTTATTTACTATGTATATATATAATGCTCTTACGCTACATATGTATATCGTATTTACACAGCCGAGTTCGCTCGACGAACCAGAGTTACTCATTATATCGTTATTTTTTTCTTCTTTTTGTTTTTGTTTTTTTAATGCAAAAAGATCGTCGTGCAGTCGGATCGTAAGAAAATGTCTACCCACGTCTACACCCGTTTCATAGCTAAATCTGGAAAAATACATCGATACATCTTCTTGAACGAAAAACTCGGCCGAGATCGATAAGAAATGTCAGTTCGTTTCGGGATCGGTCGATTCTGTAAAGACCGACGCGAGAATAGATGGTGTTTACTATTGCTACTAGAAATTTCGAATCGAGCCGTTTTTCACGATTTACCGGTCCTCGAGATTGAGCGTCCTGCTTCGCTAAACACTATTGCGTCTACTTCGACCACCTACCATATTTAACCGATACGATGTACCGTAGGAAACGTTCCTTCTCTCGTTTAGCTCGCTTTTAAGCATTTTTCCTATTTATTAGTCTATGTAAATACCATTCGATACGGTATAGAAAACCGCGGTAAACTAGCAACGTTAATCCATTACAGGATTTTATATACATATTTACCAGAGACGAAAAAGTTGAACGGTAAGAAACGAATACAACGATAAAAATAATGTTAACAAAGTGTAACATTGTGTTTCCGACAACAATCAACTAACGATAAATAAGAGATACGGTGCGTTGCGTTGCGTTGCGTTGCGTTGCATTGCGGTGTTTCTCGTTAACTTTTCTCCAAATTTCCAAGTAAATTCGCGCAAACTATGCGAGTACGCGTGAATTAACACAAGTACAAATGAATATTTTACAGCCGAATAGCACCTGAGTTGCGTTTTCATAGAGCGCAACCAACCTATTACCTCTTTCCTAATTTCCTTTCTTCGGGTTATTTGACGATTCGTCGAAATTTTGTATTTTTAAACTGATTCGCAATTATTTGTTATATTTCTATTTCTCCAGCAACCAACGATGACAACACTTTTATTCGCGTAAAATCTATTGGTGTAAAAATGGTAAAAACGATTTCGGACATTGTTTTCCGCAACTCGAAAAATCCTTCGATACCGATTTAAAACTAGCTCGTCACTTTTTGCTCTTGTCAACTTACGTATGCGAACAGACGCAAAGTTACTATTCCGCTCGTTATTTGTCCTGCACGTATAGTTATATACGTACATACATATTGTATAGTTATAACGGTTCCGTTTTCGAAACTGTATTTTCGATAGTTTCATCGAGTAGATACCATCTGTTAATGTTTCACGCGTTGCGTCAACACGTGAATCAAATTTACTACACAATGTGATTACATCTATATCGTTTACTTTACTCGTTCGAGTACGTATATGTATAGAGTAATAAATCAAAGTACCTACATAGTATTCCAAGAAATTGTTTAAATAGTCAACGTTGCGATTTAAACGATGGCACAGAAATAAAAGAACGTGATTCAACCGTTACATGTCGGTGGTGTTGGGGACAGATTTCAATGAAAATTCGATCGATAACGGAAACTCGATTCGGAATTGCCGCAAACTTGATTATACACCGGAAAACAAATACGTGTACGAACGAAAACAACGCCAGCCACCGTTCAAACACGTTGCGGATTCGCAATGCGCGTTCGCTTTTCGGTATACAACCGATCCAACGTACGAGTAGACGCGAATCGCTCAGAGGGAAATCTTTACCGTCTTTACCCTCTCGGATCTGGTTGTGTCAGTCTCGATGATTGCAGTCGAGCGCGATGAAAATTCAACGGTCGACCCTAATAGTCCAGTTTCGCATTTTATTATATGACAACGAGCACAAGTTGAATTTACAAGTATCGGTGGGTTCGTATTCAGTGTATAAAACGGCTTACTCGCAAAGTCTAGGTCTAGACCGACGTAAGAAATATTATAGTTACCTGGCTTCTGTTCGCGATACGTGATTAGCGAAACAGGATACAAAAGAAATTACGAAATCTTTCGTGACAGTTCCTGGACGTGTACATTCGCAATTCTAAAGAAAAGAAGAAGAAGAAGAAAAAGAAGAAGAAGAAGAAGAAAGAAAAATGACAACAACGATATTGTCGCAGCTAAATGTAAAACGTAAAACGTAATCTTTCGGCAGTTCTGTCTACGCATCGACTCTCCATCACAAATAAAATGATCGTTCAAACGGATCTAGGAACTCTAATACGATCATTGCCGGTAACACTCGAACAATCAACGTTGTCGATAATTAGATTCGAATCGTCATGTTTGGAATATTAGTACGAGCACAAATATCTTGAGAAAACTCGACGCATTTCATTAATCGTAACACAGCTGATAAAAGTATATTTTTCTATATCGCATAATCGTAACTCGTTTAAAAAACTAACAAGTATCGATTAAATAATTCAGACTAAGAGAGGATAATCAACTTCGTACTATCCAACGAACGAGTCGCGGAACAAGTATGGAGAAGAAGCGTGTGTAACGCGAGACGCGAATTTTATGAAAATACAAGAGGAAGACAACATTGGGAAGAAAGAAAGTAGAGAGGCGTGCGTTAAGTCGCTCTCTTCTACCTCTTATCATTTATATTAGCGCAACGATATCGATTATATCGAACATATTTTTTCTTTATCTTTAAATCTCTTGGGGGAAAAAAAACAAACAAACAAAACTAAACAGTTCCACAAGAGTTAGTCGAGCTGCATTTTTATCGTTGCCTTCGGAACATATATCGTGAAATGTCTTCCACCTCGAGTGTTTTGTTCGAAAAAGAACAACTCGCGACGTATGTACGATTCTGTAAAATGATTATGATTATGGTTTTTCGCTTTGCTCTGCTACAAAAACTTTCTCATTGACCATTAATAACAAAAAAACTTGGTTTTTTCCTTTCTTTCATTTCTTTTTTCTTACCGAATTACAAGTATATCGCACACAATGTAAGCGAACAGAATATTTTTATATTACAGTTTTGGAATCGTTACAATTTTATACAGAAAATACGAAATCCGCTCGAGCAAAATTCTTATATGAAAAAACATAAATGATTCAGACCACAGCGATGATTAAGCTGACATTCCAATCAAAATATCGCTTTCATTGTCAAATGAGACTTTTGCAAGCCGATAATCGCGTTGACTCAGTGCGTGACTAGTACATGGAAAAAAGAACGAAAAAAGAAAACGGATCTGCAGGTTAAAGATACCACGATTCGCGTATGATGTAATTTAATGGCGACGTTATAACCCTTTCGCCATCAACCAGACAGCACGGTTTATTAAAAATGATCGATCAAGAGTATCGAGATAGTGTGCACTATGAGAATGAGCCAGCCATTCGTATTTCGAGTTATTTTTCTACTGAATTCGATCTTTAGTTTATGCTTCCTCTCTTAAATAATACAATTCGTTTAAATCTACTCGTTTCTTAATCGAGATTACACGTATTTGCCGCGCTCGATGACCAATTTTGCCCACTTACAAATTCTACCTAACCTAATCCTATATATCTAAATAGCCGTATGCTTAAATATACCTCTACGTAACTAGTGAGCCTTAGATTTCAAATTTATTTATTAATTAGTTGAATGCTTTCGTTGCATGATTAAAAAATTCCGTCCAATCGAGAACAGAATTTCAGAGTTTTGTTTCAGTTCGGTTCCCCTACACATTTCTTTCTCAATTCTTTGCGAAGCATCTTTCACAATTTTATTCTTGTCAACTTTGTACAATAGCTTATCGATTCAATATTACTCGTTCATGGAAACATTACAGTTAACTTTGCGTAAACGTATGCAATCCTTTCTTTCGGAAATCAAATTTCTTCTCAACTTTCCGAATCGTGATTGTATCGTGGATCGAAGAAAAATCTCTATTTTTTAAACTGTTAAAAGTTGTTGTTCGTTAGCGATATGAAAACCCCAAATCAAACGACGACGAAGAGACTGCTACCACGATTGCAAACCCATTTCTCCATTTAGTTTCTCTTGGCACAGAAACCAACGACCATGGACACCATTTTCCTGTATTAGTAGGTAGGTAAAGTAGTTTTACGTCTAAAGCTACGAAAATACTAATATAATGAAATCACAATAGCAATTTCAAGTTTCGATAAAATTGTGCCATAATAAATCTATCGTCCTTTTCAAATATTTCACTCAAATTTAATCGAAGCTGGCCAGTACGTTTCGAAAAAATATTTAATCGAAACCTCCGTATTTCAAGTATGAGAACTATAGAATGCGTAACGATTCAAATACACGGGCCAATGAAAATATCCCGTGGTTGCTGGCGGAAAGAAAAATAATAAAATTACGTTGACATCTACGTTTCTTTTCCTTTCTTGTTCAGCTTCAAATATATTGGCTTAACGTTAACGAATAATATCAAAGATATGTATGTGTTTAAAAATGAAAAAAAAAAAAAAAAAGAAATATATATATATATATGTATAATAATAATACAAACAGCTGTATAAATTTTGTATGGGTAAAATATGATATTTTATAGTGCACCGGTCACGAACTGAGCATACTTCATTTGTCAGCATAGGATCTACCGTGACCCGTTCCTTCTGTTATTTAATTCAGAGAATCGCTTCGAATGCTTTAAGCATTTAAATGATCAAACGGTTAAATCGTTCGCATATTTCATTGTCGTTTCCTAAGGAATCGTTTACCGAAATAGATGCATCTTCATTTTCACTTTTTTTTCACAATCGACTCAACGCTTTGTACAAATTAGACAATGTCACACGGAGAACCCGTATAGTTGTCGACAATTAGACGGATGAAAATATATATGTTAAAACACATACGATGTACCGTACTTGACACATTTTTTAAGAATCCAACACGTTTTACCGTAAAAATATTTGTACATTTTGTAGTAACGTTTCCAATGCATCGTTAAATGCTGGTAATGACTCACAACTTTCATTTCAAGAATCAGAATTTTAATTGTATTTCAGTTGCACATCGACCCCTACGTAACTTTTGTTGCTTTGTCTAAGAAACGATAGAAATTTTCAGTATAGACGCGAAAAGAATAATAAACGATATTGATTGCATTAATTTTAAATCATGTTTCTTCTTTCTCGATGGCAATAATGGCCAAAAAGGAACATGTTCACGTCGTATACTATTTAAAGAATTATATTCTATTTTGAGATCCAACAAATGCGTTGAATATTCAGTACCGTTAATTTATCAAACATTTCAATATATAAATAGTGGGATACCTCTTCGTTAAGCTGGAATTTCGACTTGAATTATTATTCGAAATATAGTTTGGCGTTTTGGTTGTTTACGATAACTGTGAATGATAACATAGTAACAAAAAAAAAAAGAATGTTTCACTTCTCACAGCTAATCGATAAATTGCTTTTCATAGAAAAAAAACTGGATGAAAACACGGTCGTGTAATCTGCAAATGATACGTCCAATACCGGCAGAATAACTTTATTTCCTTTGTTGAGGAAGAAATGATTTTATCGACTATATCGAACGTTGCATGCTCTTTATACGCCTATATTTCCGCGTTTTCTCGTTAACTCTGGATCTTGTATCTATTCCCTATGGCTTTCACAAGCACCCTAAACTGAGCGCGAACCAAGCAGAATTGAATTCGAGTGTGGGTACATCCCGAATACGCAAGCGCATAGCCGGATATATCGGTAAATACAACCTTAATGGACTACCTTAAGAACATGTCCATGAACTTTTCTCGCAAGTACGACAATGTGCCTCTCCCATCTTTGCATTCTAGCGTTTTCACTTCATTTCTTTCCTAACGCTTCTCATTGTCAAGGCTGACATTTATTTTTATATACAGAGAGACAAAGAGAATACGCGTGTGTATATGTGCACGGGCGCGCGCGCGTGTGTGAGAGGGGGTAGCGAGAGGGAGACACATGCGACACATACACACACACGCACAGAGAGGGGGAGGGAGAGAGAGAGAGAGAGAGAGAGAGAGAGAGAGAGAGAGAGAGAGAGAGAGAGTGTGTATTGTGCTTGTCCTCTTATACTCTAGTACACATCCCGTGTACTCCTGCATATGTAGTGTTATTCAAACGAGACGTTCTCTTCGTTAGAACAAGTATCCTATTCCAAGGAGGGCGTAACGCACTTATTCGTTTTGGCAATCGAGCAAGTGCCTCTAGGTGCACTTACCCTTCCCTTTTTAAGCCCATCACTTTTGAGAAATGGGGGTGGTCTCGGTCTTGGCTGCTACCAACTTTGTCTGCTCAGACTTGCCGGCTGTCGGCTGCAGTCGATCCCTGACGATATTTTGTAGTTTGCTCGTTTCCTGAGGTCTCGCGAACGAGCCAGAATTCTGTCTGCTACGCGGTTGCTGTTTACTAAGGTCTCGCTGACTACTCGATGAACACGAGGAAACGTCGTTTCGTCTCCTGGAATGACCCAATCGCCCAGAGCCGAAAGAACCGGCTCTGTTTCGAAATTGGGTAAGATTCACCGCGTCCACGCGAGACTTTTGTGCGGCGGAATTGTTCTCGGAATTAGAAGTTGGCAGTGTCACGGTGCTGGAACCGCCGGACAATCGACGAACTCTGCTCGTTGGCGAAGCGTTGCCACCGCCCGCGCTTTCGGAGACGCTTCTGTTACGCCTCTTCGACGCCTGAGATCGCAAATTTGCAGCAAATCCTTGGAGCATTTCGTTTATTTGCGGCTGTAACGAATAGCAATTTAACGAGACATTACGATAATCATAATTCGCCGTTAATCTTGCATACGAGTACAAGCTAATATCGATTATACGAGAAAACGGTAAGAGTCGGAAAAATAATAACAAGAATTGACTGTACGCGTAAAATAAAAACACTTACTTCGACAACCCTGAAATCTTCGATGCTCTTAAATTTGGACAAATACTCCTGCAATTTCGAGTCCACTTGAAGTTGATCAGCCTGTTTGTAATACTTTAAGAACGCCCAGAACTTTTCTAGCCCATACAACTGACCTACAATATTAAAACGAAAACCTTTCCGATATACGCGCAACATTTTATTGCTAAACTCTATTGCTAAATTTAAATCTAACGGTGTATCGCTATGCAGAATACCACTCACGAGAAAAGAATCCTCATGGTATCGACATAACATATCATTTGCTTTCGCACTAGTTTACCGCTTAGCTATCAACGATGGCTATGGCTAAACAACCTATTTGTGTGCTTAACCTTATATCGCATTTATTTCAAGTTTATTACTCACCGCTTTCGTAATCTTGTATCGTTTCGACTTGAAAATCTTTATAAAGTTGATGCCTGAATCTCTTCTCTAAACCGTAACTGTAGAATCTGAAAAGGCACTCGAGACCGTATCGGTAGCCTTCGCAGGCGTCTTCTTTGGCTATAGTCCTAAATTCCTCGTACATGGTACGATTGAAATTCTCCCGTAGAAAGAACGACCAGAAACGAAAGAGCGTATTCATTTCTTGTGATTGTCCAATTCCAAGTCTCTTGCGTTCTAAAACAAAACGGATGTAACTGAAAAGGTTTGTTGTGTGTTTTTAACTGATCGTGCTTTGTATAGATCGGAAAATTGTCAGATCCTCTTTTCTCTTCACGATTGTTCCTCAGTCGGGAAAAGAAGACAAAAATAAAGGTATTCATCATAAGATATCGTTATATTAGTATGGATCATAAAATGAACTGTTTGCGAATTAAACACGATATAAATATACATAGATACGTAGGTGTATTACCTTTTAGGCACCGCGAATGATACTTGTGGTAAACTTGTTGAGTAAAACCATTCTCTTTCAAAAGAGCGTGACTCGGATGCTGAAAGGTAGGCACCGATTGCGGCGCGCTTCCGTAACTACTCGCGAGGTAACCTTCGTTAGGACTCGTTCCTGCGCTACTTCTGAAATATCCGATCCGATGTATATTATTGCAATGACTAAATTAACGTAATCAATTATTATTATTATTATTATTATTGTTGTTGTTGTTGTTGTTGTTGTTGTTGTTGTTGTACGTAAATGAACGTAAACGTACCCTGTAGAATATGTACGCGGTCGATGCTCTCGAACATCCATGATCCAACCGACGTGATGTTCAACGGGCGGGTTATTGCTATGCCGAGTTTTTCTTTTCCGCGGAGTTCTAGGATCGACCGAAGGTTCGTCTTTTACTACAGCAAAGAAACGAGGAACTACCGCTCTTCTACCGCTTCTACTTCGTCCCGGTTTATCATTCCACCGATTTCTATCTGTTCGACGATCCCTTTTCTCTTGACTATCCATAACTATTGGCACCTAATTTCCACAGAAATATTATATATGTATATCAGCATCGGAAGATTGCGTAAGATTCGCCAACCAAACAAACATCTATCGAAAGAAAAATGTATTACCTGTGTTGGGAGCGATTGTGACACCTCCATGTCTTCTATCGCGGATGGAGGTGGAGGAGGAACTTCCGGATTAGTTTTCTTAGGTGCTTTAGGTGCCATTTTTTCAAAATCTTCCTGACTAATCACATTAACCGTTTTGTAACTTCCGATCGACGAACAAGATCCGTACTGCCAAGTAATAAGGGACTTTTAAATTCTGAAAATTTATTTCAACTCGAAGATATATTATCAAATTAATGCTCAACTTACTCTTTGACCATCTTTCGTCCATAAGTCTTCCTCGTAGTAATACAATCCATCGTTGATTGCTTGTTCGAGAACCTGGGTCATTTTCACTCTGGTTGTCCAATCGCCGGTTCGATCGTGACCCTCGTGTTTTGGAATTCGTGTCGTCGAGATAGGCACTGTTGTTTGCGTGAAGATTAAAAGTTTATTTAAATCCTTGTCTGACAATTCGTAATCTTCTTCGTCTTCGGACCTGCATATTTTCTTACTTGTCAATTCGTACATTTTAAGGAAAATCGGTTATTCGTTGTAAACGGGTAACGGGTAACGGGTAACGGGTAACGGGTAACGGGTAACGGGTAACGAGTAACAGCATGTAGGGAAAAATGTTGAAGAAATAGCAAGAACAAACCATTCTGAAAAAGCATTGTGTCGGCCGGTTGGGGGTGGCGTATCGAGTTCCTCGTCAAATTGAAAGTCTAGCTCCTCTCTTTCTTCGTTTTTAACGTTTTTCTCTCTTTCTTCGTTCTTCTCCTTGTGCGACGGTTTTACTCTTCGTCTTACCTATTGTAGTTTTTTATGAACACGATTATTGCGCAAACATTTCTAAATTACGAGATAAGCAATGTCGTGCGATAAAATAAATTACCTCTTTCCAAACGTTATCGCTCGTCAATTGCGACTCGCCGTTGATTTGTACCTGTATCGGTCGACTTGAATTCGAGCACATGGCCGTTGGGGACGTTTTACCATCTGGCTTGAAAGATGCATTGCCGTAGAGAGACGTTGTCGAATTATTAGCCGATAGTGCTGGAATGCTTTTCGGGTTACACGATTTCTCGCGTTCCTCGTTTGTTGTTTGGCATATTTGTTGTTTGCTGTCAGGTAGGATAGGTTCGGTGTTTTTGCTCGTCAATTCGTTCGGTATGAACTCTGGTACATCAGGATTTAAACTGTCGCCTATCGACGAGGATATACTTTCCGATTCGCTGACCCTTCCTACCGTCGAGATAATCTGGTTGGATTGAAGAATACGTGGAACTGGGGGAATAGGAATCGTTGGTAAGGGTCTAGCAACGGGACAAAAGTCGGATTCGGACGTGGAAAGTATTACTTCGTTTTGTGTCGGATTCGAAGTATCGGACGACTCCGAAAAGATAGGATTTCCAGCTGCGTCCAAGATGGGCCACTTTAAGGGATCTGTTTTCGTTCTTACCTGCGACATGAAACAACCATATTAATTTACGTAAAGAACATTTATCAAACAATTTTCAACTGTAGATAATACTCGAGTAACTTTGTAAATATTTCATTGTTAAAGTTTTATTTGTGAGGAGGTCTACTTTCAAACGCCATTCATCGGACTCGAAGCCCTAATGGTGTCAGCGAATCCTCTTCTATTTGCTTTAGCACAAATCTTGAATCCGATACACGTATGAGACGTAAGCGGAGATTACTTGGAAATTGTGCTATCGTATTAAAGATGTTTAAAACGAATTGGTTATACCTTCAATCCATCCACCAATTCTAGTTTGTCAGATTCCATAATTGCTTCGATAACAAGAGCCACGTCTGTCGTTAAAATTTGTACACGACGAAAGGAAGCAATTAAAGTAATGGGTAAAAAGCCTTGTCCATCCATTTTGCGACGCAGGAAAAAGTCTCTTAAAAGATTCTCCTCGCTAAAGTAATATTCTCTGCAAAGTTGTATGTTATATATTATATGGTAAGCGATTACTGCAACGTCGAACGTTGAACGTTGAACGTTGAACGTTGAACGTTGAACGTTTACTACTTTCGTTGCTTCTTATTAAATGAATTGTTACAAACTCACATCTGATTTCTTATATATTCCTTGAGCGTCGTTGTGTCTACGTTAATGTAATTTGTATTACTGAAATAAAATGTTCCCATGTAAGGTATCATATAAGCGGGATCCAGATGTCCATATTTATTCATCTGTAAAAACGTGCTACTTTGAAATACTATATTTTGTAGACTCGTACCTTTTTATCCAACGATTTAACATGTCAGATCTACTCTCGCTATGTCGTCAGCGGTTACTCTGAGAGATTCCCATAAATGTTTCATCATTTTCGTAATATTTATACTTGGTTGCTCGACTAATATACATTCATATACATGTACATATACATGTACATATGTATAATGCATAAAAAGTCCGATATAGTTTTGTATGCAAGATAGGTAATATAAGATATAACGTATGAAATCACCTGCATATAGTCTGCCGAGTAATTTGAATAGTCTTGATCATGCCTGTGTCTAAAGGTACCGCGATACGTGCCCCGTCCACCTCGTCCTCCTCTCCATCTGTAACTCCATCCACCGCGTCCACCTCTCGTACTATATCCCGTCCTGTTATGCTCTCTATCTCTGTACGAGTCCGTTTCTGTTGAAACCGAACAATTCCAGATTGATACCAACCAATAGTACTTGACGGCTCTACATTCGTATGGACGACGATACAAGAGTTAACAAAAAAGTATAAATATGTATATTACACACCTTCCCCGTTCTTTTCCCTTTGGTTATGGTATTTTGGAGAACGATCTCGTTTGCTTCGATTCTTCGTTATATCAATTTCCAGTGGTACCCACTTTTGTTTACTCACTGCAACAATTGCAAATAAACGGTTAAATATCTGTATTGTTGTTTTAGCTGTTGTTGTTGTTATGATGATTCTTAACAGGGAAAAGGTTACAAAAGGAATACCTTTCTTTTTCTTTTCATTGGCATCCGTGTGGTCGTCGCTGTCATCTTGGCAGTGATTCTGTTCCTTGTTCTCCTTTCCTCTGTTTTCTAGAGTTCCACTACCTTCTTTGACGTTATTTTGTTCGACGACACCATTTTGCTTCTGTGTTGTCACCGTTGTTTTCTTCTAATAACAAATATTCCTTGTCTATCGATACTTTTGAACAAGATCCAAAGAGAACAGAGCGTGAATCGTACAAATATTCGATATAATTTTAGCGGTATGGGAAATTAGTGTACGAACACGATAACGGTACGTGGAAAAAGGATCCAAGTCGGTAAGGTAATCGCATTCAACGTTACTCTAGCAAAGCATCTACGCTCGTTGGTACAAAACGATACTCTACGAGTTCTAGCATTTGCATTAGTTTTATTTTAGTCATAGTTTTCTTGAAAATAACCGAATGTGATGTTAAAAGTGAATTATTCAAAGAATTTAAGTATCGTAAGTAAACGGTAAGAAAAAGGATAACTTACCTCTCCTTGAGCACCCAAGGTTGGCCAATCGCCGATGTCCGAGAAGTCGCTCGCCTGTTAAATATACCAGCTAAATTGTAATATTCTATAAATGTTGTATAAAACGAAAGAAAAATGTTACCGATCAAAGTAACATGGCTGCCGGCTCTGTACAAAGGGTAAAAAATGCCTTTTAACATTTTGTCGAAACTATAATATATGCCTATTTACGAATATGAACTGTACGTTTATCCACTCGAGACTATTACTCTCATGTCGTACATAGTCTTACCTTTTGATTCAATTTTCTTCTATCTTTCGTAGCTGTGATTATAGTTGGTTCATTTCCCCCATTGATACCATTTTCTGCAACAAGAAAAAAAACCACAAAATGTTCCATCAACGCTACATATACATAGGTACGGTACCTACATACCGGTACCGATACACGTTTCGACATCAAATTTTCCAACAAAAGTCGTATAACCCGTTCAAATATTTCGTGACCTCTGCTATCTTTGTACAGACCGCTGGCGTGTATTTCGTAAATATTTTTATCTATGTATAATCGTGCGCATTACAGAGAAACAGTTTGAAGAATAGTCGTGAAAAAGAACGTTACGTGGTAAGCGCTGTAATAATCGGTAATTGCCATTAATCGTTTTCAGGTTAAAACGATTTTCAACTCGAGAACATTTCAAACATTTCGTATACGTTTCCCGAAATTCTTCGCGAAAAGCCTCGACGTTGATAATCGATTTCCTTATTTTCTATAAATAAACAATCCAGCCTCGGTTAGCGACAAACAGCTCGACTCTACACTAACCACAACTTGTTACGCAACTGATACAACCGTAGATTTGCTCGTTGACCCCGTTTTCATTCGAGTCAATCTTTCGTTCGCTTGAAAAACACAAATCGACACGAAAGCGAAAGCGAAAGCGAAAGCGAAAGCGAAAGTAACTTGCCACTGCGCGCGGCTCCTCGTCTTACGATCTCGATTATCTCAGAGACAAACGAACCATAGGCAAGTCTTTTAACCGTATCTACATTAATTTTCTTTAATTCAATACCGGTTTATCTAACAGAGAAAACTTCATTTTGATATCGTGTCCATGTTATTCCTCGTAACCAACATTCCAAACACCGTGGTTTAATATGTACGTGTATGTATGTATTAAATTAGTGTAAAGTGTGAGAAAGAAACGGGAAAAAAAACACCATCTAGTATGTAGTACGATACGGTGTCACCTTAGAAAAAAAGCAAAAATGCTCTGTTCGTAGTGATATGATCCGAACCGAACCGAACCGAACCGATCCGATCCGATCCGATTTCTCGGAATCACGAGCAAACTATTCCAGGCTCGAAAGGTGTTTACGATAGAGTAGAGAAAAACATCATTCTCGATCGTGTTATTTTCTACTTTCCGGTTCGACGAGTCGACGGTCGAGAGCCGAATTTCGAGTCTGACGCACGCATCGTCATCGGTTGTTGGCTACACGAGCTATCTTGGAGCATTATCTCGTTGGAGTTTACCTCGCGATTTTGTCTTGTTGCCAAGTTTGTTCATGAGACCGATCTACGGCGAAATAATAATGGTAAATCGGTTTCAACGTTCCTTGTAAACAACCGCAACTTGGCGAATGGTGTTATCGCGAATGACTTTGTTTTTTTCCATATTATTAGACTCGTTACCAAGTACTATTCGGTCGAAAAATGGAAAGAGATACGAGATACAAGGACCGAGAAACCAAAAACTCACGTTGGCCGACGTTGCGTTTATATTTCTTCATCTTCATCGTTTCTATCGCAAGCATAAGCTTTCTTCATCCGCGAAATATCTATAACCATCTCGTTAGACGCTCTCGAGTATTCTCGCTAGGCTTCGCTTCGTTTCGCGTTGTTTCGCACCGCTTGTACAAAGGAGAAGACACTTGAAGCTTTTGCGTAATGTTTATGTAAACATGGACACGCGTAAACCGATACTTGGCGAGAACGAAAAGCAACGAGAACCCGATAAAACTCTCGTAATTCAACGAACGCGATACAAGGCGCGCACACATACGTATAATAACACCGAATAACTAACCAACCAACCAACCAACCAACCAACCAACCAGTCACTTTATCGTCGTACAAGGTACAACAGCCTTCGAAGCAACGCAACAGGTGTTTCTGCACTTTTTCTCTTTATTCACTTTATCATGAATGTTTTTCCAAATGGGGAAAAAGGGTATATGATATAGCGTATACATACAAGTCACGTTTGCATCGGTTACAGAGAAACCAAATATAATACACAGTGACGAATGGAACGAAGCGTAAAAGAGAAAAATATTGTTGAAAATATAACACCTCGAGTAGTATCGAATAGATGCCGTAAATTGTTTCATCGAGTTTTATTTCAACGTCCTTGCAAACGAATACCAACGACACCGACTAGAAATTGATAGCGCATGTTCTTCTTGTTATGCGTTATAAACATTTCCATACCGTATAGTAATAAGCACGACTACCGCTAAAGCTCGTTTTCAACAGAATTTTCTTCGTACTTGTTCGCTAATGATTTCTACAGAAACGATTTATCTGCGACAAACAATCGGACGAAAAGCTTGCCATTCTATCGGTCGATCGCGGTCGAAAGTCAACGGTGCACTGAGCTGGCAAGCAAACGAAGGCCGAGAATTGAACGAGGCTTGCATTGCACCCACCAACCACGTTCTTTAGCTGCTTCGCTGGCCTTTAACGTGCAACATGCAACCAGCATTGAACGCAGCTTTCATCTTTTTCCTACAATCAGCAAATGGAGATGATTTCCTGCTGATTGAGCGATATCGATCGATAGATCATAGATAGATTATTAAATAATGCATTGTTTACAACGGTTCCACGTTTTACCCATACTTTATCGTCAGCTTTTAAATGCTTTTAACCAACTGACAACGAGTACATGTACAAACACATATTTTAGCGACACCATTTCAAATATAACCCTCGCTCGCTCCTATACTAGTCGCAAACAAACTCTCTTGACACTTGTCTACGACACCATGTACACAGCTCCTCCGACCGCCGCGCTCGCTACGCGCATTATCCTCAAGCTGTCGCGACTGTCGCGAGTCCGTCCGTCTCTAGTGAAAAGAGGTAATTTCAAGATTAAAATTGAGATATATATATATTTAAACAATAAATATCATACATTGGTCTATAAAATGTTTAAATTTACCTTATTTCGTTCTACCTTTGTAACTCATTCTTAATAAATGCCAATTCTACGAATGTACGCACTAATCATCAAGTTTGGTAGCAACCAATGGTATGTTACATCGATAACCAGCCGGCACTAGAATGCTACGGAAACACGTTCGCCTAATAGTTTCCGGTCAATTGGATACATAAACTTGTCGTTGAAACGAATCATTGGTGTACGATGGTGTACCATACAAGAAGCATAGCTACGTATGCTTAAAGAAAATACGCTTGGTCGCGTATTAAAATGAAATGTATCCATGCACACGTAGTATAGAACAGAAAAATCAATGTTAAGTAGCCAACGAGTATAAACGATATACGATATCTGATAAGTACTCGTCGATATTACCCTCTTCTACGCGTACTTTAACCTACTATACATACACGGACTCGAGTATAACGGACCCGAAAGAAAAAGAAAATGATCTCGACACTTTGCCTCGTTTTCTTTTCTTTCTACTTTCCTTCGAAATACATCATATACTTGCTCGACACATACAGACATTCATTGCCCTTTACGATTCTACTTGGATCGAAGGTATACATATACAAGATCTGGCGTTCCGAAACGAGTTTCCTCTCACCACTCTCGCTTTCTGCGACACATTTCAATGTATGTATAATGTACATATGTATATCAAACACTCGGATGGATAACTGTACATTGTTTTCTTGTAGATATAACAACTTATCGTTAGGCATCTTTACGTTACGCCTTCTTATCTCGCTCGGATAAAGTTTTTCGAGTCACTGCTATTACGATCCAAATCTTTCCAAGAAATGGTACTTTTGCATACTACCGATGTACAAGATCGTGTTACCTGTTCATCGATTAAACGAATGCCAGAGGAATTCAAAAGTGAATGTCTAGATTACAGCGAAGAACGTGATTCGGTTACGAATTACAAACTCGGGTCTGCTAATTAATTCAGCTGCCTTCGCGAGCCTCGTCTTTCAGCATTTAATGAATTTGAAAGACAGCAATCGGAAAGTGAATCAAAAATGTTCTAGATGCAAATGGAGAAAAAATTCGCCATACGCAACGTGTCGAGACACGATTGCCAGCATAGTTATTTTCTTTGCCACGTGTACGGATAACTGGTTGGCGGTGAATAGATAAGACCGTCGAATCGGACATACGATACGATACCAATATTCGTACAGTATTATCGTTCTAACGATGAAACACCTCGACTACACGCACGTACAGTCTCCATGCACCCCGAACACACACGCTTTCATCGTCAAATAACATAATTATTAGAAAATAAACTTTTTCCAACGTACTTGGAACACGATCAATTTTAATAGTTCGCTATACTTTAGTAAAACAATCAAACTTTTTTTTTATTACATACCAAATAACTTTACGTTATTATGTTAAAGAAATAATTGTGTAATTTATATCGAGTTATTACAGAGCCCTCCCTCCCCACTTCCTAAATATTTGCCTCGTATCGGTAATATTTTTGAAGAAGCAGAAATGTACAATAATTCCATATTCCCCAACTTGATAAGAGCCTCTTTTCACCATACGTACAAAGTACAAGGCCACTTTAATACAAACACCACACCAAGTAAAAGTACTTGAAATTTTATAGAGCCTTGTATTAGTTTCCCATTTATACACCCATTGTATTTATAAAAACTTATTATATTTATTACACATTTTAAGAATGTGCACCTAAACGTGTATAAGCATATTTCGAAGATAAAAATTGCACTTGATGCACGAATCCTATAATTTATATCTGAAATTCCATCTTGTACTTTATTTTTAAGTAATTCAAATAAAAACAAAAAAAGCATACGAATATATTCTACCGATATGTTGTTATCGAAAAGTTTACGGGATCGTTGCGTGTGATTTCAAACATTTATGAGTTTCTTGAAATATAATAAAAAATCAAAGTATCCGTAAATAAAACGTTTGCCATTATGAAACTTAAATGCGTGCCTTTACAAGTTGAACAACGTATCTCGATGGGAGAATATAAAAATAATATTTTCTTCGCAAAGACGATAGAATATTTGTAGCTTTTGTTTGAAAGATAAAACAGTTCCGAAGCTTGAAACCGATGCTACAACTTAAGCAAATATTTTTTATGCCAATACTCGTTAGCTTTACTTGAAATAATGCATTAGCCATCCAACATACGTTTACACTCACCAACAATTTCCTGTTGTTGCGGTTGAAGTACCCTCTTCTCTTTATCGTTTTGTTTTTCAACAGTGGTTAGACTTGCGGAAGGCACGCTGGCATTAGAATTTGTAGACACTGCTTGTATAGTAGCTTTACTTTTGGTCCAAGGATTGACGGTAGGCAGGGGAGCCTCTATGTATTTAATCGGCTGCTGAGTTTGAGCTTCCGACTCGAGCTCAGCATCTTCTTTATCTCTTATGGCTTCTTTAGTTCCACCGAGATGATCCAGATTGATTCTATCTCCACGATCGCGTTCCTTGTGGGATCTCTCGTTACTTTCGCTGTGACCACGTAGTGGATGTCTGTGATCTCTATGCCTATGTCGTTCTCTATGCTCTCTATGCTGTTCCCGTAATTTTTCCTTCCTCCTAGCGCTTTTTGGTGCTACCGTCTGAAATTCTCCGTTGCCTCCTATATCACCGTTCACCTGCTCGATCTCGGGACGAGTATCTTGTTGTTGTTGTTGTTGTTGTTGTTGTTGTTGTTGCTGCTCGACCTTTCCATCCTTTCGTGCGATCGATTGATTTCGATTGGTTTCGATCGAAGGTAGCAATTCGTTTTCGTAAGGTTTATCCAATTTGGTGTGCGGATTGAATCTCCTCGCGCTTCTCTGATAACATTTCCCTTTGCCAGTTAAATTTTGCAAAGACACGTAATCCTTGACGAGTACTATTTGCTGGGATACCTGACCGCCAATGTTTTCCTTATTGTTACCCTTGGTGTTGGAAGCTCGATTCTCGTTTCCGCTCTTCGAGTTTAGGATACTTGCGTAAGAGACTCCAGGGCCCTCTTCTCTATCGGTACTTCCCTGAGCGCCGGTGGCCACCTTGGCCGCCATCTTGAACGATACGCGCCGAAAGACAAAAACACGAGGTCCGGACGCACGACCAATCTAACTCGAATAATATTTGTACAGGACGTTGCTACCTCTCAGGCGGTCGAGGAGTCCTGAGAAAGGTCGAGCACTCTCGGACACATTAATCCAGCCGAGCAGTTTCCCCGCGACAATGAAAATATTGAAAATATCTGCTGCGTCCGCGTTCGCGTCGGCGTCGGCGTCGGCGTCGGTGCGGCTTTAAAGCACCAACCTTACGGTATCCTCCACCCCGTGAACCGAACGCATGTCTGCTTCGAGTTCGTGCAGTTTGCCACCAACTTGTACGATTCAATTTTTCACGAAAACTTTTTGATATATACGACGAATGACGACGGACGTCGATCCCTTCTGGCAACACGAAACAACAGAGAACGCCCACTCGAAAGACTCGTCACGAGGGATCGGATCGGATCGGATCGGATCGCTCGACTCTTTCCAGAAGGCGCAGCGTGCACGCACGCGGTCGTTACCAAATATCCTCCGAATATCTATCTTCCTACTCACGTGTCACAATCTTTTCGATATTCGACCGAGGAACCGAACAAATTAACCGTGCGAAAGCTCGCGTTCATACAACGCGATTTGTCGCATTCAAAGAATACATTCGAACAACTTGAAACACGATGTGCACGAGGCGCGATCTCCAAGTTGCGTGGTTAAGAGTATGCTGACTCGGCGATTTCATGAAACGAGTGAAAATCCACCGGCACTATACAGAGTTATCGAACAATGTTCTTTTACCTGTTCCAGGACGAAACTTTGGCGAGAAAACGCACCAAGATAAAGAACGTACTTGCACGAAATATGATTAAGAGAGCTAGCAGACAGCTAAACTACACCTCGTTGTTACGAATAATTTTTCTTTCTCGCGGATATCCTATACGATTCGCAAGTTTTCCTCCCGATTTGCTTTCAACATTAGCCGAGAAATTTTCTCACAACCTTAGCGAGTTCAAGAGCACCGTTTTTAACGTCACGTTACCACAGATTACGTAAACACGGCATTTTCGGCGATCTTTTTCCACGGAAAAGCGGTCCGTAAAACACATGTGGCCAACGCTGGCTCCTGGCCTTTACGCAAGCGGCTACGAAGCATCCGGTTGGCTCGACTTTACCGCAACTCCGCTAGGTAACGCCACTCCACTTCCTCTTTCCTCAATGTCCGCGCAATTTAACCTCTTACGAAACGTGAGATTTTACATTAATTTCAATGAATTTCCCAACAATTTTACTAGTTTTCCGTTAAGATAATAAATGATATACGAGATGCACAAGATTTTTGTATAAAAACTTTTCGCTGGATTCTAATAGATCTAATAGATCTAATAGATACATCTATTATCTATATCTATGTCTATAACCGTTGAATAATCAAAGACACACTTGATAGTAATATAATATATTTCTTTTTACAGAATATATTTAAATTCAAGATGCAAATACATTTCACGAGCATTTTATACAGTTTCTTTGTTTTTCTCTTTATTAAAATTAACATTAGAATATTTTGTACGTATCGAACACATAAAGAATCATATCTGCTTACACGCATGATTATTGTCTTGGTATCAAGTATTTATGAAATTTTTCAATGCACAGGCAACAGAAATTACGGTATTTTCAAGAGAGCCTGAATACGATTTTCCTTGATAATATCAGAAACGGCCATTCGGTATTCCATTTCAACAAAATATTGTCTCATGAAATTGTTTTACATCATTTCGGATTAACTTTGATTTTTATTTAATTTGCACGTACATCAACTGACTTTTAAAGGATATTTCTTCAAAGATCGTTGAAATGCTTCTGCTATAGTAGATCTGAAAGTAACGATTAAACTGAATAATAATCAAAGTGTACGTAAAGGGAATACGTAATTGTAAATACAAACGAAAAGATATTTATTCCTCTACCTAAATACTTTCTGATGAAGAAGATACGCAGTTACGTGTCCCGCTTCTATATATCGAACTTCAACGCCTGGCCAGATTTTTTCTAAGCTCATACAACCATCGCGGGGCACATACGCGTCATCTCTTGCACAAACAGCGATGATGAGCTCGGTATCAACGGGTACTTCAAAATTTTTCAAATGCGTACATTCATCCATTATTCCGCACATGAATTGCAATGCTTCTCGTTCACGCCACTTGTAATCCGAAAATAACGGATGTCTCGGAACTGGTAATAAACAAATGCCTATTGCCAAAGGAATACACGTAATAATCATGCTTGTAATTAAACATGCTGTTAACTTACCCGCTTGTGTTATACTCTAAGTATTAGATAATTTACAAGGAAAGACAAGGAAACACAAGATACTTGTATCGATTACTTGTTAGTAGGTAGTTATCGGTGATTGGTGGATATATATCTAATATCGCGGTAATCGTCACTCTATTTCCATCAGCTTATAAAAATACTTGCCTTTGAGCGCACTCGAATCTTTTTGCTTAAATTTGTTAGAAATGAGGCTTAGCGGAAATATCTTGGCTGCAGCTTTCTCTTCGGCAACTTGCTCTTTCAACTTATTGTCTTCGTTTTGAAATTCGCAACCATTATTTGATTTACTATCGATCACAGTCTGAGTATCGGTATTACCGTCTGTTTCTTTATTCGCATCTTCGGACTTTACTTTCAGTTCGTTCACCCTATTCATACTTGCAGGATAATGTTGAGCAAAATGTTGACCAGCTAAGAATGCATCCTAGGAATGAGAATACGTATTCTGCAATTGCTATTTAAAATTCGTCGTTGTATCGTGCAAGATTGTCCACTCACTTCCTCCCCAACAATTCTGACCATTTTCGCGAGATCGTTTTGATAAAGTTCGTTCGCAAAATATTGGTTTTCTAAAAGTGTCCAATTAATGGAAGCACTCATTACTCCTTGAGTGAAAACTGGCGATGCCGTTGACCATGAAAGACAAGGAACTAACGGTATCGGTTTTGGCCAATTAGTTGCTGCCAAAGAAGCCATCTAAAAAATTTGATGCATTAATACGTTAACTCGAAAAGAAATGTTTGTGTATCGTATGAATAATTGACGGCGTTATAACCGTAGCCAGTACTCGTTATTCGATAACTTCGTTATTCGTTATCGATATGTCAACGTATAATATTAACGAAAGATACAAACATGACCGCCCATCGACAATCCTGTAAGACCTAAGGGTCCGAAACCTTGTTGTTCGCACCAGTTCAGTAAAACGATCGATTCCATTATTAAGCATCCTCCCATGATAAAAATGTCGCACACGTTATGCAAACTGGAACGTCTAAAAAATATACAAATGTTAAGATAACTACAAAAATATTTCATAAAATTATCGTAACGTACTGTTACAAACCTTCCAAATACAAGTTCTTACATTTGATTCTGTGGTTTTCTTAATCCATAAAATGGATTTTCCAATAACAAAGATGCGATTCCAGATTCTTTAAGCAAGGGTTTGGCAATCAAATTTCTTCTCCGCCAGAAAAACTAAAACCAAAGGATTAATTTAGTGACGTACAAAATTTTTCTATTTGTTTAATTTATTTTCTTTTCTCTTCTTTTTCAAAATTATCTAAGGAGAATGTAAATGAAACTATCTTACGTGATCTCCGGTACCCGCAAGATGTAGACAAATGGGTTTTGTTTTATGCGAATACCACTTACGCGGTAAAACCAATTGAAAATGTGCCGTTATCGTTTCGTTTGGCATTATTCCAGGAAGATGCTTGTGAAACGGACTTTCGAAACATCCTTCGATTATATGGCAATCCGACCATTCTTCGTCCTATGCATTATCGTTCGTATTATTATTCTTTTTAAAAATCCTTTAATACAAGAGCATAAATAGAAAGCAGATTAAACGGGAAAAGTTACAAAGCAAGAAATATAAAAAGTTAGAATATAGAAAGACAAAAGTAATACATTAATAATTGATTAGAGGTGCAAAAATATACATGAAGCAGTATATAAAAGAACATCGATATTCATGCATTTTCTATATGTTAAGATAATTTGAAGAAATGATTACATCGTACCTTAGTTATATCGATTGGGTAATCGCAGGGTATAAGATTGTAACACGCTTCTCTATTGGCCATAACTTTTCTGAATTCAAAGATCCTAAAGATTAAATTTACATCTTAAATTTTCAAGATATCCAAAGATTCGTATTATAACATTTCAACGAAGAAATTTCTATTTGTTGTATTTTATTTTATTTTGGATCAGTTGTCGAGGAAAATTACGTTTATATAAATATTACGATGAAACGTAAAGTTACAAGAAATTGCAGAAATTTGATAAAAATTTGAAATAATTTTGAAGTATATTTGAATCCGTTTATTTCGAAAATAACTGTCGATGTTGTCCCGTTTGACGTGGTTTGTATATAGAAACGATATATTCTATATAACTCGTAAAGAAATATTCGTAGCGTACATGTATATATAGATAGTAGAGAGAAAAAATGTAATTGCATCACTGAACGAATAACACAGAACACTCTCGAAGCGGGAATCGAATTTTCGTGTTTCTTTTGTAGAAAGGAAGGTTAGGATGCTTATGTTGTGCTTACCTTTTCAAATTCTGAGGGCTACCCCAACCCTTGGTGAAAAATTTCGTAAGGAGGATACTTCTATAAACAGCGTCTAGACGACTAGGTGGCATCGTGTAAAGTATAAATTAATATTATTTGATTTTAGATATTATACGATTCGTCGGTGAAAGAAATTTGCGAGTGGTGAAAAAATATTAATTTATTGGAATACTTGTACCGACGACTCGAAAGAATTTGGGTGTTGAGCGCGAGAACAATCATGTCGATGTTTTTAAAGAGCCACCAACAATGTGGACATCGTTTGTGAACTGATTGCAGACCTTCACCGTCACCGGTCACCGCTCAACACAGTTATCGGATTCGGATACTTTAATCAGGCGATTGGCACGATTGTATCGGATGATGTTTTGCGAGTATATTGGACACGAAGGTCTGTCTCAGTCTCTCGCATCTTTAACAGTGTACGAATACAATAGGAATTTCGATGGATGAGTTGGTTAAATATCGACCATCGCGAGTCGCAAGAGCTGAAGAGTATGTTACGAGTTATCAGTTGGCAGTTGACAATTGCGTGACGCAACGGAAGCATGTGCCGCATCTTTTCAAAATTGATACTCAACCAACTCGACCTCCATCGACCTCGAGGCTCGAGGACTCGAGGGTCGAGGTCGCTGGTCGTGGTCGACCTTACCGCCACATCAACGCCAGGGGGTCCAAGTTCACGTATTAAAAGTCACGTATCAAAAGCGCCGCGTGGGAACAATTGACCAAACTAAAATGTAGAGTCTCCAATTAGAGACGTAAAAAAGCACTAATTTTTCACAAAACCAGTAATTTTTCAGCAAGATTGGTATCGGTGCGTTGGTTCGCAACGAATATTCAGTCTATATTATAGGTACGTTCGGGTAGTTGGCGGTAACAACTTGGTTGCGGCAAAAATAGATGGCGTAAAATACAACTTTATATTTTCGGATGTCTATACTCTATACGTACCTATGTATCTCGATGTATCTATGGTATGCGCACGTTTTGTCGAATATAGAAATAGAAATAGAAATAGAAATATAGTTCTATACATATGTATAATTTTGACTAATTTCCGGTAGAAACAGTGAATTTTTGTTGTTTACCAGCGGCTCGATTTCTTGTACGAAACGGTAATCAGATATATAAATGTATATTGTTGCGATAACCAGCTGATAGAAATTATGGCCGCCTCCATGATTTTCGTGGCATGTTAGTTTGCGAACGTACTTGTTCGTTGAAAAAAGTTTGAAACAAATTTTCTACACGATGCAAACGATGTAAGAAGAGTCTGTTCGCAAAACATCGAAACAGCCTGTTTGTTTACGTAGCAGAAAGTAAAACGTTAGAATCGATAGATACGATACGTATTCTAACCTGCAAAGGGTAAGAAACAGCGGCAAATACTTAGTCGACTCGTTCTCGTCGAATATATATATATATATATATTCGAAAAGAAAACACGTTAGACGGTCAAGCCTTGACCGATAATTTATTATCGTGTTGGACGGTAAAGCAACTGTCATGCTGGGGAAGACGAAAAGAATGTCAACAACGCTACGATATATCCTTGTGTTTGTCGAACGTTACGTACTTTGGAAACAGAATAAAGTGAAATAGTGGTTACCGTTGTTGTCACAAGTTAGTATATTTACCCGGCTATTACGCGCTAATGTAACTTGTACATACAGACTTGATTTCTGGTTTGGCTAACGTCTTCTCATTCGTTTAGTAACTTGTACGTTAATAGTACGCGTATAGCCGACGCGAGTACGATCATCTCGTCGTCTTTGAGAGTTTAGTCGAATACGTTAGACACGAAAGAAATATATGTATATATATATCCTTTATGTTTGCATACAAATTAATGACAGAATGCGTCTGGTTAACGGAGAAACGTTAACGGATATTCAGAGCAGTCCTGCTAATATTCGAAATATTTGTATATTGGCGCACGTCGATCATGGCAAAACCACCTTGGCGGATTCGTTGGTCGCCAGCAATGGAATCATTTCTAATAAACTTGCCGGTAAACTTCGATATTTGGATAGCCGTCCGGACGAACAGCTACGAGGGATTACGATGAAATCGAGTTGCATCGCTCTTTACCATAAGCATAATTACCAAGAGTTTGTAATTAATTTAATAGATTCTCCGGGACACGTGGATTTCGCTTCGGAAGTTTCAACAGCGGTTAGACTTTGCGATGGAGCCGTTATCGTGATCGATGCGGTGGAAGGTGTATGTCCGCAAACGCGCAGCGCGTTGTCCATTTCTTACGAGGAAGGTTTGAAAACAATTTTAGTGTTGAACAAAATCGATAGATTAATAACGGAAATGAAATTGTCTCCGTTGGATGCTTACGTGCACTTGACGCAGGTCCTAGAACAGGTAAACGCTGTTATGGGAGAATTATTCGCTAGCGATGTAATGGAACGAGAAGAAAGAGAGGAGCTCGGAAAGAAAAGCGTAGAGTGCGTTTCCGAAAGAAATCTAGAAGATTGGCAATCCGTACTCGAAGACTTTGACGATTCTGGGTTATATTTTTCTCCGGAGCAAGGTAACGTTTTGTTCTCGAGTGCCACCGATGGTTGGGGATTCGGTTTGAAAGAGTTCGCCAAAATGTTTTCCGCGAAATTGGGCTTTAGCGAGAAAGTTTTGTTGAAAACGCTGTGGGGCGATTTTTACGTGAATAGCAAAACGAAAAGGATAATGAAAGGAGCCCAGGAACGAGCTAAAAAACCTCTGTTCGTTCAGGTTATTTTGGAGAATCTTTGGACTTTGTACGAAACTGTAACGGTACGAAAGGATAAAGAAAAGATAGGTTCGATGGCCGAAAGGCTCGATATCAAATTAACAACCAGAGATTTACGACACACGGATCCTAAAGCACAATTGCAAGCTATTTGCTCTCAATGGCTACCTTTGGCTCGCGCTTGTCTCGACGCGATATGCGACAAAGTTCCGTCGCCTGATAATTTGACCTCTGAAAAGGTAGAGCGTTTGCTAAGCGGAAACTTTGATTTCTGTACGCTACCGGCTGAAACGCAACGATTAAAGGAAGCGTTTTTGGCTTGCGATTCTTCTCCGGAGTCACCTATCGTTGTGTTTATTTCAAAAATGTTTCCAGTAGAGAAAAAAAGCTTACCAGAGAATAAACAGAAACCGTTGACACCGGAGGAGTTGGCGCAGAGAAGAGAACTAGCCCGCATGAAACACGCGGAGAAGCTAACCAAGGGCCAGCACGCGGAGAAAAGGATGCAACGCGAGGAGAGCACGGAGAGATCGGATCTTGGAATATCATCGGACGATACCGAGACGGAGACGGAGACGGAGACGGAGACCGAGACCGAGACCGAGACCAAGACGGTTAACCAGGCGAAAGACGAATGTTCGGAAACCGCGCTGGTAGCGTTCGCCCGAATTTACTCTGGGATTTTGAAGAAGGGGAGCAAGGTGTTTGTTCTGGGACCGAAACACGATCCCCGCGAACACGAGAAAGTAGCCGAGTTACCGATAGACGACAATACCACGCTTAAAGATTTAAAGCCCGGAAGACACGTGACTAGAGTGACGGTGCAGAGACTCTACCTTCTGATGGGCAGGGAACTGGAATGTACGGATAGCGTGTCAGCCGGTAATGTGTTTGGAATCGGCGATTTAGAGGAACACGTGTTGAAGACAGCTACTCTCTCCACCACCCTTGCTTGTCCGTCTTTTTCAGAGCTAACTTCGCTCGGCGTACCTATAATGCGGGTAGCTCTCGAGCCGAAACACCCAAACGATCTGCAAGCATTGAGAAACGGTTTAAAGTTGTTGAATCAAGCGGATGCGTGCGCCGTTGTTCGTGAACAAGAAACCGGAGAAATCGTCCTGAACACCGCCGGAGAAATGCATCTGGAAAGATGCTTGGAAGATTTGAGATTAAGATACGCCAAAGTCGAGATAAACGTATCGGAACCCATCGTACCGTTCAGAGAGACGATCGTTCCTGCTCCAAAAGTTGATATGGTGAACGAGGCGATCGAAAAGAAGACCGAGGACGCGAGCTTTGCCACACGGACGAAACAGTATTATTTCGAGATAGATGCCAGGCCCTTGCCCGAAAAAGTAACCAAGATTTTGGAGAATAATGCGGATCTGATGAAGGCGGTTTATCATCATTATGGTAAATTGTCGTCGGAAAAGGAGAAGGAAATGGAAATTGAAATGGGAAAGGAACCGGAGGCCGATGAAACAGACACGTTGCGTTTAATATCCGAGAAAAAACTAAAAGCATTGGAGTCATTCAAGTCGGAGTTGGAAAATGCTTTTCGAGAGGCTGGTCAACGAGAAGACGTGTTGCATAATATATGGTCTTTCGGACCGCGGAATTGCGGTCCCAATATCCTACTGAACGAAACCGATTATAATCAGACGAAATTTTGGGAGGTACACTCCAAGTCTACCGATCCACGTTTTCCGTGAGTATTTAGTAATTTACCAAAGCAAAGTTGAAAAAGTACTCGGACTTGTAGTTGTAATTTTTCATTTATACGATACGATACGATTCGATTCGATTCGATTCGATATGACACGATACTTTTGCCGAGTATTTTTTTGGGCTTCGATTAAGAGTGAAACGATCCGTTGACAAGTTTCGCGTGATCGATCGAGACGATTACATTATTCGGGAATGCTAATCGATTAAATTTGATTCTAGCGCGGTTGCGGCCGCGTCCCGTCGTCGCGGGTTCGTGAGTACGCGGGTTCGCGAGTACGCGGGTACGCGGGTACGCGAAAACAAAAGGAAATGAAATGATCGTACGTCTAAGAAAGCGTGTAATGTTATTTGTGATGTATCAGATACGAAAGCGGTTTGGTCAATGGTTTTCAATTGGCAACACTTGCCGGCCCGTTGTGCGAAGAGCCAATGACGGGTGTCTGTTTTGTCCTGAAGAAGTGGCAAGTTTATCAAGATTTCCATAGGTATAACCTATTCTCAGTTGACTCTCATCGATACTGGTTTCATTAGCGTTTACATTACTCTACATACACACAACATATTTGTATATATCTTTACTTGATCGATTATACGAAATGGTAAACGATGCTGTCTATTCGAGTATCGTTTCAAGTAGTTTTCGATTAGCTTCAAATACGAGACATGCCTTTCCTCCTTTTACGCGTTGATTTCAAAAATGCACTTTTGTTACCAGCGAAAATTCCGGCGAAATCCAAGCTCACGCTGGTGGTCATTTAATGTCAAAGTTCAAAGAAGCTTGTCGGCGTGCGTTTAACTCCAGACATCCTCGACTAGTCACACCGATGTACAGCTGCAGCGTTTTGGTCAATTCAGACGTACTGGGTAAGTCGAACGTACGATATATTAATCTATAATATTGAAACCGATTCCTTGGATCTTTGCGACTAGAGGTCGACGCGGTACTCTGGTGTAGCGAGCAGCATGTTTTTTTTTCTTTTTTTCCATTACATTTCTTCAACGAATACAGGATATGTTTTGTTGTAGAATCTGTGAGAACACAACTCGTATCAATTTTCACTATTCTTTAATTTTATTACATCATGTTATGTTATCGTTGAAGCGAAACTATTTCACGACCACAGAAACTTTGGCGACCGATGGGCTTTTGCCGTTGTCTCGTGGTCAATTTCGTCAGCCTAATGTTTACACCAATAATGCAAACACATTTGCGTATCAACGAGTGAATTGATATGAAACGAAACGAAACGAAACGAAACGAAACGAAATGAAACGAAATGAAACGAAATGAAATGAAATGAAATGAAATGAGATGAAATGATTAAAGGTTTGGAAAAAATAATGCCAAGAGGCGCAAATGAGGTGGTACGGACTGTGGATTTTCCGAGTCTGGTGAAATGCGGTGAAAAAGGCGATGGTTTAACGTCGATCTTTAGGATAGATAGTGCCGAATTCAGAGCCTATGTATCCATAGATACCTCGTCCGATTCGATCGTGGTACGGACGCATCGCGCAACCGTACATATGCAATTATACGCGTATACGAGTATTGTTATATAATAAATATGAAGAAAAAATATAGAACGAGTCGGTAAACGAAGGAAAGCTAGAGAAAGCGAAGCGAAATGCTTAATAAATAGACGGATGAATGGCGATAAGCAAGCTGCGGGCGAATCAAACAAGGGTCGATATCTCGTCGCGCGTTGAACAATTTAATCCCAAACAGCTGCATTCATCAGTTGTTGCACCTTATACCAGGGAAAATTTAATCGATCCTTTGTTTCCTCCTTCTCGACGTCCAACGAATCTTGGCCAGTTTCCTTGTTCGGATGATCTGTAGATAAAAAAAAGTTGATTCGTCGAAAAAACACACGCGTAATGTACATATAGTACGTTGCGATGGCACGTTTCCGTATGATGCTTATCACCGATGCATTCTACCCACCCGCTAAGCTCCGAGCGTATCGCAACGGTCGTCCTCTTCTGTTACCTTGTACGCACATCATCCCGTAAACGCGAATTCCTGGCACACTGGCGTATGTCGGTTGGTCGTGACTCATAGGACCTTCTGCGAAATAGAAATTGTTAGTATCCACCGTGGCATATAGCGAGTTCAAACTTTCATTCTTTCGATATTTACTTTACTTACCGAGTATATTAGCGTCGGGGCATCGGCATATTACAAGATAATGAGACTTTCCTGTCCTGACGTTTTGCAACGCGAGGAGTGACCAATCCCTCGGTGTCCTACACTCTCGCATTTCGGCCACCGGTTCGCAAGTCTTGACCAAAGTGAGAGCCTAAACCGGCCAGTAATCATTTGATCATTAAATTGACACGCACGTGCACATGCATGTGCGCGGTAGAATAATATATAATAATAGGCAAACTGTATAGCATTTTTCACGAGATTGGTGGAAAGTTGAAGGTTTCTCGGTAGATCTGGTACAGTGAAAATATTTCTATCGGCAAAAGTTTCTGCACTCTACTAGTTAAACGTTTGCATACCATGGCAAATGGTTGACGACTATCCAACAGGATACCGTCGCTTATCTTTCCGTTTGTTCTACTTTCGATTCATTTATTTTCATTCTAATGCCTACGGTATTCTACGCATTTGCTAGATAAATGATCGCTTGATTTTCTCCGTTGATCTGTAGTCGAATCGATCCGATTGGTTATACCGTGGTTCATCCGTGATGGAAGGAAGGACCTTTCGTCTGATCTCGTCTTTTCTCGCGCCAAGAGAGAACTCGCTTTCGCTTCGAAGCGCCTACGCGATTCTTTCGTTCTACAATCCTACATAAGTATAATACGTACTTGACGCTCGTGCACGCGGTTAGCTTTCTAAGCATCCGAAAAAGTTTCGATGCACTGGCTTAATTGCGACGCGTTCGATTGTCCGTCCGTATTTCTACCATGTAATTATCGTGACAAGTTAAGTCGGCTCGAATCTTTGTTTTCTTTCGATATACGTTTATATTTGCGCAAGACGAATGTACACTGTAGTACAGTTGACGTATGGATACGAAAGGTAATAACATGTACAGCAAGGGAAAATTACGGACTTGGAGCGAAAATAACTGTGTCGGTAACGGATATTTGTACGCGGAGAGTGTTTGTAAATTAACCGAGCCGACGCGACGCGACGCGACGCGATCTGATCCGACGATCGGGTTTTTAATCAAGAAAAGCAGCATATTCGAAAAAGTTGGTTTGCTTCAAGTGTTTTGTGCGATCGAAATTGATTTGTTCGCGACGCGACGTATATCGAATCGTTTAAAAAAGAAAGCAACAACCAGGAGAAAAGTAGTCGAAGCGCGAGCAAAGTAAGAGGTATGGTAGCAAAGTAGAAAACAAGTAAAGGTAAAGGTAAGGCGACTAACCTTGGTTCGTGGGTCGGTGACCAGCTCCGTAGTGTGGAGGTCGTCGCTGTCGAGAGAGGCGCTGCAAGGGTCGCGATATCTTCCTGGACAGGCGCACAGAGGCTGAGTAAAATTCAGTCTAACGTAAACGGCATTGCAAACCTGCTGAACGGCGCACTCCGGTAGCAAATAGATGTGCTGATTGTGCGGATAGTAGTGATATTTGGTTGGCTTGGCGAGAGCTGCGCTCGCGCCTTCTGGTAATCGCACTCCCGTCTGCAAATTTCATCGGCATCGTTACCAAATCCTTACCGTTTATTTACTTTTCTTTTCTAATTCGCTCTTTCGACATTCGAAACGTTCTTTGCACGCAACACTTTTCCAACTTGTTTCACTTTAATCTTTCTTCTTGCCGGAATTGGTATTCTACATTCGTAGAGCGGATCGTTTAAAAGAAGCGTTATTTACGTTAAAGCCTACTTTTATCTGGCTAGAGTAGTAGGTAATACTACTACGCGCACGATCGCGATCGTATCGCGTGATTTGCTAGATTCGTTACGCTATTTCCTTTCCGTAAATTACCCTCGCTTCTCTTCACCCGAAACGAATCATCTGTTGGCAGTGTAGCGGTAATTGCAAGAGAGAAACAATGGGATAATAGGAACAAAGAGAATCGGATGAAATGGATAAAGAGATGAATGCAACGGGCAAAAAGGATGGAAAATTGAAACGCGGAATCCTTTAAGAGACAAGTATAAATTAGTAATCGTCGAGTCGCCGCGAGGTCGCGATCATGATCACGATCACGATCACGATCACGATCTCGATCACCATCATCATCACCATCACTATTCTCTTCCTTCTCGCGAACCACAAACTTGACCATTCTATTAGATACAAATAACGCGGTATTATCGTTGCTACGATTCTGCGAGTACTAGTTTGTTTTATTCGCAGAGTCCACCAACCACCAGATACCAACAGTCTTTTTCAACATTTCGAGTAATCGACTTTACGTTACGTACAAAGAACCATTCTCCGTGATGAAATTTGATTTCGCGATCTACTGTACGCTTGTTCCTCGATCGCTAGATACGATCGATATACGTACATAGATACAACCACTGCATTTATCGCAACTACGAAATCGTTGTCGTAAACTCTACTCCTTTTACTCCGTTTTTACTTCCGTTTTCCTTTCTTTTTCTTTTGGTATCGTCACGTTCCACTACCGATATTAGTACTGGTCGATCCACTCGCGCGTCACGGTCATGAACAGTTGCCCTCCTTTTGAAATGCTAAAGCAAGCAACGCGATTCGTGACAATTTCCTAAGCAACTCTGAACGATCCTTACTTGCCGCATTCGAGCGGAACGGCTCGAAAAACTCGAGCATTTCGCTTCGGGTTGCGAACGAATTCGAGGGAAAAGCAACTTTTTTCATCGCGACGATACAGCCAAGCACAGCGGGACGAAGAAAGTCGAGGGAGGCCGATGCAAAAGAAGAAAAAAGAAAACAAGGAAGAAAGAAACTAGTTGGAATTTCCAACCGAGCGATTATTTTGGTATCGCGGTCGAGTCGCGATTAAGTCAAATTGCCAGTTGCAAGCGACCAAACAATCGTCTACGAGAGGAATAAAGTAAAGATAAGAGACGAGCCGATGAATTTATTACTCTTTTACTATTTTACGGAATCTACGGAATCTGCGGAATCTCGCGATCGCTTCGAAATATTAAATGTTCGATTCTAAATAGAGCTGATTTTACATCGAATCGGGACAAGAGTCAAGTTTCTTTGGCAAGAGCACGCAACGATCGATAAGAATACACGCTTACCGAAATAATTGTCACCGTGGAAAAGAGCGTTTCGCTACCGAGTGAGCGTCGTTAGCCGTTCTATTTTTTTAACGACCGCGATGCGACGCATCTTTGACCTATGAAATTTAACCGCTTTATAGCAGCGTGCTTACGGTATAAACAGTTGTAGTTTGCGCGTGAAAGCTTTTACCTAATATACTATACTTGTATACTATAGAATATTATTTTGTTTCTCGCTGCTAGGGAAAGTTTCGACATCTCGAAGCGTTCTGTGAAAAAGTAGACCTTTGAACAGTAGAAAATCATCGCTAGTGACTTTCCCTTGAAACTGGGAACGAATCGATCATCTCGGCTATACTCGAGCGAGACAGCGTGACGCGACGCAACGCGACGCAACGCGACTTACGAATTGACAATGAGAATACGATTCGAGACTCGTGTCGATCGATCGATACTTTCGTTTCGTTTCGTTTCGTTTCGTTTCGTTTCCATGTCAACTACCATGTCAACGATAGAAAAATAATCGAAATTGAAATTAACGTGGTTGTCAAGTAACGAGAGACGTATCGAAACGAGCATAGAATTAGGCGATTAATCGCGACGTTTATCGTATACGTGGACGATATTTGAGCGTAACGAGCCAACCAACGGTACCACTTGCTCGTTTGCGCATCCAAGATCACCGTATCGCACCTGATAATTATTAAGAGTACCGCGTCGGACCGTTGACCCGCGCAGCAGCTTGGTCGAAACGTATCGTAGCCCTACTAAATATTACCTATGTCATGTACGTGTGCGTACAACGAATACAACGGATACAACGTTCGTTACTTTCTAGGTCGACCCATATGACATTTTTTTCTCGAGTTCGTGACACTCGTCGGCGTCCTTGTTGCACTACTCGAATCTGGGCCCCTTTCTACTCTCTTGCTCGACATTGGTGCTTTTCTCTCCTTTCTTTGCTCAATGTTTGAGAAAACGTTATAGAAATTGCGCCGCTCGGACTGATAATTAATCGTACGAAAAATTTGCGAAACGTTGATCGTACAACGAAATATGCACCATGTACACCTCTAAGGTTTTTCTTTTCGTTCCGTTGAACGTGTTCGCGATCGTTTTATCGCGTCGATAGCTTTCATCGTAGCAGCGACTTTAAAACCAGTGAAATCGCGATACGAAAAAAATGTTTACTCTACTCACCTCGGTAAGACTGGTATAGTTGGTCGTCAATTTGATCTGAGGACGAATTTTTCCGGGCGATTCCCGCGTTTCCTTGGCTAAACTCGAAGCAGGAGTGGTTGGAAATTGGTCGGAACTAGCGGTAGATTTCTTCGAGGATGAGAGAAAAGTGTCGACGTCTTGAGAGGAAGAAGTACGCGTTCTCGAAGAAGTTTCAGTTGGTGGTGCGTTCGGGCTAGTAGTTGTGCTAGTTTTTTTCACGGTGATAGCGTCGCTGGTTGTCGTCGATGCTCCAATCTCCGTTCTTGCGACCGGTGACGTCGTGGGTATCGTGTCGATGGTTTCGAGAAGAGAATTGCGACCTGTAGATACCAAAGGTATCTGCGACAGTGGCGAGGGTGACGTTGACGGTAAGGGTATCGGTGACGGTGACGGTGACGCTAACGGTGACGGTGACGGTGACGGTGACGGTGACGATGACGATGACGATGACGATGACGATGACGATGACGATGACGATGACGATGACGATGACAATGACGGCGACATTATCGCGGCATCGTTGTCATTCAGATTACCGAAAGAAACAGGCTTTGCAATCGTGCTACTATCGTCTTGTATACTAGTGTCCGGTGGTGTATCGTTGCCAACAGCAACGGTAGTGGTGCTCGATGCCACTGGCAAACTACTAGATTCGCTCTCGCTGAAATACACTGGTGTGATTTGCTTCGTCTTTGCTTGATTAGTCCGAAAGTGGTTTGTTTGCGATTGCGATGGTAGAGCCACGGTTCCGGATACCAGCATCGCGAACCATGCCGCTACTCGTAAAGGCTTCATTTCCATTTCGAGCTGGAATCGATGGAAAGATGAAAGAAAAGAAACAAGTTTCTCGGCGTGGCTGCTTCAGAATTCCTAAAACGAGCGAGCAAACAAACAATCAAACAAAGTAAAACCTTTTAAATGATTTAAATGAAACGGATACGAATCGCAACGAAATCGGGATCCGTTTCGAGATGGATTCGAATATGCCGCAAAAGGATTCGAAATTCGCAAACAAGATAACGATTACGCTTACGTTTACATTTACGGTTTAATTGTAGCGTGGCGACCGTCGAATGAAATATCGAAGCCAGTCGCGACCGATCGGGGTTGCTTCGGAACGCAACACGTACAATTACGTTTGCATCGTTGACGTTCCGATCCATTCATCTAGGTCCTTGGAAATATGAATGTTGGAAACGGACGAAAGAGAAGCAGGTCCAAAGGTTCCAAGATACGAAGATGGAAAGATGGAAAGATGGAAAGATGGAAAGATGGAAAGATACGAAGAATACGAGATCGAATGGAATGGAATGGAATGTCAAGCCGGGTGTATCCTCGTTTCTCACGCGTATTTCATAGCTTGCATGGTAGAGCAACGTGCAACAAGAGCGCTTCGGTGAGAGAAAAAAAAGCAGGATATAAAAATAAATAAAGGAGACGGGAGAGGGAAACGGCAAACGCAGAGGGAGAGCTCGAGCTCCCTTAACGGTATAATGGTATTTTTTCGCTCGGAGACTGGACGCGATTTCCCAGCCGTCCGATTCGATCGCGAAATTTAAACGCGCATTTAAAGTGTACCGACACCGACCGCCGATCTAGCACATCGGGCCACGTGTGCCGCCCCTGTTCCCACCCCATATCTCTCTTTCTCTCGTACACGTACCCCGTTCTTTACCGTTCCTTTCTCCATTTAAGAGCATCGTTTTATTTCGAGCTTAAATTATAGATCGAAACATATCCGTGTACAGATACGTTTCGATGGATAAGCGTGAAAACTGAATAATCGGTGAAACGGTGAATACTTGTTAAGTTTTTCCATTCCTCGAAGCCGTTCAGGGTGCCGCAATAATTATCGCGCGATATAATTTACCACGCGGATGTGGTGAAATTAGGTTAACTGGTACTCGCGTTTCTCATGGGCCGTTATCTTTGTTCGCATTTTCAAGGTCGTAATGTATGGTAACCGGCAGAATACATTCGGTCAGCTGTATCTGCTATCGTTCACATTTTCATCTTTTCTCGATCATTCGATGCGTCCGTTTTTTGATTTTTATCCATTTCTTACGACTATAACGCGAAACAAGTATCGAGGTAAATCGTTGCGAAAAAGAAGATTTATTATTTTGTCGAGATTGGAAACGATCAAAATTACTATTATATTGATATTCGCGACCCGATATTTACCACGTTTTTAGCGAAAATTGGATGCTAGACGACGTTTGCTCCGTTTCAGTATTCGTTGAATGATCCCGGCGAGTCCACGATCGCTTTGTCTAGATAGATTTGTACTACTCGACACGGGACAGTTTTGCACCGGAACCACTCGCAAACATTATCCTCGTCCAAATGTGCGCTTTGTATCGATGGGAAAACGGAAAACGCAAAACGCAAAACACGAATAGCTGGTCTTGGTGCCGATTAGTCGTCCCGTGTCGTGCGGTACACTCGACACTTTAACCTTTGCGAAACATTGCGAAAACTGTCAACGAAATCGTACCTTTTAAAGCGGAATCTCGAGATGCGAAAGGTAACGAATCGTCCCTGGACTCGCCTTCGACCTTGATCCCTCGATCGACTTTCGATTCGACCTTGATTTAATGTTTGATCTCGTTGGTGGTTGAGAAGCACAGAGAGCGATATCGCGAGGTGTTTCGCGTCTCGAGTGAAATTGTAAACAAACGGAAAACGAAGCACGAAACGTAACTCGAGCAATCGCGATTTCAAACTTGCGATATCGTTGGGTTCCGTTGCGTTCCGTACAACTTCTCCGCTACGTTTCGTCACTTATCTGTCCGCGTTTTTTCGCATCGTTGAACGTTTCATCGGATATCGAAAGAAAACTGCGCGAGTGCAAGTTTGGCGGAAAACCGATGCGCGCTCGGATGCGTTTGAGTTCCTAGTGGGACTGCGAGCTCTCGCAGCAGACAAGCCGCCTATGAGTCCCGGGTAGTCCCACTTACCAACCAACCAGAAACTCCTCGACTATGCCTGGAATCCTAAGCTGCATCATCTCCGCCAATCCTCTAGCTTGGTTCGCGCTCTCTACGCTCTCACGTACACGCGACTACCTCGACACTTTGGTTACGTATACCAGCATAGCTACGATAGGCCGCTTCCCCGTGTTCGAAGAGGGACGAAACCGAGGAACGCAACTGCCACTCGGGCTCCGAGATTCAGCTTAGTGAAGGAAAAACAGTCAGCTCGCGACAACGACTCTTTCCTTTCGTTGTCCCTTTAGTTTTCTTTTGCCTAGCCCGCTTTCCTTTCTTACGTCTTCTTCCGCCCTATATCGATTCCAAGCATACACCGATACACCGAGTACCGTCGAAAATATACATTGTATAATCTTGTTTTGGAATTTACTGAAATTTAAACGAGCAAAGATTCGATCGGTTCGAACCGTTTCCATGCTTCTACTTGTCGGATCCGTTACGGATCGCGTACTCTGTTGGTTGGTTATTGGCTCGATTCTCCGTCTAATTTCACCTGTATCTTTGAGTATTTGGAGAGATGCGCGCGCTTGACAATCGCGCTATACAATCTCGAAGCGTATCCTTGCGCAGAGCTTGGCGCGCGGTTGGTAAAAAGAAGAAAGGCCAAAAGAGGAACGAATTAGAGCATCGATAGAGGTACCGCTACTTTTCGCGAGTTCGATCGAATAGCAGAAAAATATATCGAGCGTGAAATCGTTGCGGTGTTCCGATCGACAAACCAAGTTGGCTGGCATTCGGATGAAATTCCGGAACGATATTCGTATTCGTATCGGTATCGGCGGCGGTCGTTTGCTTGCTCTGGTTCGACGCTACGTTTTCGATCGCGCTCTCCGATCGAGGAATGCAACGTCGAGCGTTCTACGTGACCGATTCACGATACGTATATAGATCGTTGATCGAAAGCTCTTCTCGTAACGGCAAAGGCAACGTCACGCGATGTCTCTGTCCAGCTCACAGCCCGTTTCCTAACTGTATCCTAGACTCGAGTTTTTTATTTGGAAATTTGACGAATTTACTTGGAACCGGCCAAGTCGTTGGCTGTAACGGCGAAAAATACGCGACTCGCGAGCGCGTATTCGTTACGAATTCAGATTTATTCATCCCATTTATCAAAGGAAATACTGATGCTGCAGACTACCGTTGGCGTTGCACGATGGCGCTCGTGACGTCTGCTCTGTAACTTGTACTCGTAGTCGCTGCAATACCTGCTGAAAATTTCAATGCGTTTCCAACAGGTTTTCTCCTATGGGATTCGTCGGCGTCGTTTAATCGTACAGAGTACGCAGTCGAGACTCGGGTTGCAGACACTTGCGTTGCCGCTATCTCGAATGCGAAAAACATTTTCGTTTCGCAGAAATGTTAGCGGTTCACTGTCAGCGACAATTTTCCGCTGATGAGTGAGGGACGCGTTGCTACGTACTTGTATACTTATTCGTGGCAGCACCTCTCGGATCCGCCGCTGCGCTGGTCGCGTTGCTTCGTAAGCCAAGATTCGTTGTCGTTGTTGGTTTATTAAATAAATATCTCTCGTTATTGGTACCGTTGTCGTACGACTTGCACGACACCGGTACGAGGATGCGACACCTTTGGCGTCGTAGTAACAGTGACGAGAATACTTGTCACGAATAATACAAAATTCTTTATTACGCGTTTATTCATATTCATCTTTATATTCATATTTAGCTTATCGTATCGAGAGAGAGAGAGAGAGAGAGAGAGTATTTGAAATATTTGGAAATTTGAAATATTTACAAGAGCAATGTTACATAGGTACGATGACGTAATACGAAAGAAAAGTAAAAATAGGCGAAAAGGGTGCGAGCAAAGCAGGATTCGTGACCCGCGACAGATTCGACCGGCATCGGCACTCGATCGACGCGGTCTTTCCTTTGAGAATGAATACGCGTACAATAATAGCGATCGATCCTATGCTGTCGCAACGATTCCTTACGATTCGAATGTAAATCGGTCGCGATTTGGTCGAGCATTCCTCGACGCATCGAATGCGCGAACGCGTCCACCTCGACTCGACTCGCAGTTCGTTTCCGCGTTACTCGCGCGCCATTTTTACAAGTCCGATCCAAGCTGCGACTGACGCGGCTGACGCGACTCACGCGACTCGCGCGACTGACGGGACTGATGCTACCGTCAATGAGCGGATGTCTCATACGGTGTAAACTGCTTCGGAATGGTGCGGTTGCAGGGGCACGCAATACCCACTGTAAGTTTTGATCTCCAAAACGCCGGAATACGATCTAGCCGGAAGCGATCCCGGATCCGTGTGTCGTCTGGGACACCGATGACCCTTTGGACATTGGCAAAGAGGCGAAGCGTTCACCTCTTCGAGTTGCGAGCTTCGTCTCTTTCGTACGGTAAACAGTCGACAAGGTTCCTTGCGTTGACAGCGCAGCCTCTGAAATCGAACATTCCTTTCGATTGATTCGAGTAGTGCATTTATATTTTATTTCGATCCAAGATATTCCCTTTGAACGAACCGGTATCGAGTTCGACACGGGGATAGAGATAGAGATCGAGATAGAAAGGACTTACACTTTGCGGAGAGCACGCGAAAGCATAAATAAATCCAGAATTTCCCTCGGGAGACCTGAATGCTTGTCTTCGAACTAGATAGGGTACGCTGGCTGGTCGACATCGACAGTAAACTCTCTGAACTGTCGCGTTCGCCGGGCCTCCTCCAGGAGCTAGGGTCCATGTGACATCCCTGTAAACAGCAAACGAGCATCCTGTGTATAAGTTTACGCGTGGACGCGCGTGTAGTACGCGTTCAAGATTCGGACAGTCGGTTCGTTTGATCGTTTCGCTACACTTGGCTAGACAGCCGACTAACTTGAAATAACGACAAATGGGAAGACGTTTCACTGGCTCGCAAAGCTTGTACTGGCGTGTTTTATCGACTATCGTGTGTCCGTCGTCTCCGTGCAAGCTACTAGGACAGCTACGAGCATCCGGGCAACGGCACTGCCTCTCGACCCACGGCGACCCATATAAATCCACCTTGCTGCAAACTTGGCTTCGGTCCAAACATTCGGGTAACTCCTCTTCGCTATCCTGAAAATGATAAACAATCGCGATACAGTCGTTTCGTGCTCGCGTACGAGTGAGTGCACACTTCTATTCGGTTCTACAGGTTCGATACGAACGTGTTTCACTCGAATATCTCGACTTTCGTCTCTACATTTGTAACGTCGAGAGTGTCGAGACGCGTCGCGAGCAACTAATTGTACATGCAATCGCCTATGCCTATACGATACGCGCGCTTTCGAAACGCGACTCGTACCCCCTCGCCACGCTCTTATCATAATATCTCGGAGAAAGCGCGCTCCTACCATCTATGTATTACTCTACCACCTATGCATCTATGTACATCTCGATAGGTGATGTTGGCTGTTTCCCGAGAAACATATTTTCTTTGATTTCGATTTCAATTTTGACTTTGACTTTGATTTCGAATAACGGACGCCTTTAATTTCTCGTGTTTACCGCTCCCACCAAATTCCATCGTTCTTTGGAGATCGATCGTCGTCGCCTCGAACGAATCACTTCGTTTCGTACCACGTTTCCGCATCGCGCGAATACGTCTCAGCGTGGAACTTGGTCGCCATTGCGATTCGATTCGATTCGATTCGATTCGATTCAACCCGATTCGGCTCGGTTCGCGCTTGCGTTTACGATTATTCGATCTCTATCGGTCTCGGATTTATCTCCATGTTCGCATTTTATTCGAATTCTATTCGAACAACAAGATTAAGAAATTTATTGTTTGGTTGGACAAGTGAGACAATTTATAGGAAATCTGTTAATTCTCTCTATTTATTCGATTATTCCGTTTTACGTTTCAAACCTTTTCTCACATCTCGATACTCGTAGAACCAATCCTCTCTTTTCTCGTCGTATAAACCTATCGAACGTCGCTCGTAAATCATCATTTACGCTACTCGTATATCGCCTGAATCACATTCTGTATCGCGATGATGATTACGATTCGCTAGATTGGCAAAATCTAGAAGAACGGATAGAACGGAGGTAGAGCAAAAGGTGGGAGTTGCGGTAAAGAAACGAGTAGAGGACGAGGGGAGGAAGGTGAAAAAGGTAAAGAACGAAGAGAAAGAAAAAAAGGAGGAGAAGGAGAAGGAGAAGGAGAAGGAAACTCTGTAGCAAACGGTCTAAAGAATACGTACATCTCCCCACCCTATCGAAGAATAGACATCTGGTCTAACTGCGCTATTGAAACGGCGTCGGTCAATCCACTGAATGAAGCAATCACGTACGTCCTGTCGAGTCGACGCTGACAATCTACGTCGCGTTCGAGAATCGCAGTAAAATTCCCTCTCCTGTTCAATGCCCATCCGTCCGTTTGCATATACTCGATCGCGTTTTCAATGAAAATTTTATTTTTCCAACCGCCGAAAATATCGTATCGTTTCGAAACAGGTATGCCAGATTTAGCAACCAGAAACAACGTTAATCGAAAATAATAACAAAACATTTCCCTGTACGTTTGGTCTTTACTTTTTCTTTTCCTTATCGGTGCGCGTGCATCGAATAATAGCAATTTATCGGTGAATCGAGTCGGTTTTAAAACGATCGGACGCTTTTCCCATTGTCCGTACCTTGTTCTCGGTTCCCCTCCGTTCACCCGTGTTCCCTTCTCTTTCTTCCATCCCCTCCTCTCCTAGCCTCTTCCTCGTGCAGTTCCCAGAAGATTGTTCGTACGTATTAAAACCAGCAATGGCGGTAAACTAAAATGGGATAATAGAGGGACCGGAAAGGCTGTGCGCGATTCATCCGGAAGTTCTCACGAGTCTCTCGCTTCTTTCGCAGCCACGGTGAAAATGACACCTGGCTCTCGAGAGGTATGTGCACGCGCGCACCACCGCGCCGGATGATCCAAAGAACATTCCAGTGTCGACGATACACAGACTTGGTCTCGGTCTCGGTCTCGGTCTCGGTCTCGGTCGATACGAGTCTCGAGCAACCGGAGAATAAGAGGACACGCCGATCGCGACCGTGTGCTCCGGATACCGGACACGGATACGCAGAAACGGAAAAACGGAGAAACGGAGAAACGGAGAAACGGAAAGCCATCGATACGGAAACGATCCAACCGAGATACGCCAACGAAAATTCCTGACAATTTCCAAGAATCGAAGACGAAACGACGTGCGTCGAGCGTATCCATTAATTGGAATGGTACAAGATAGAAAACGCTTACGTAAAGAGCGATACGAGAGACGGCTTTAAAGGAAAACGAAGGACATCGATTAGCCAATCGAACGACGCGAAACTACGCGACCTATCAACGATTCGCGTATAGTTGCCGACGCGAAATATCAAACTTACCCCGATCTGATAAACAACTCTAGGTGCTTGATGAACCGGCCGATGCTTCGTTTTTTCATCGATCAAGTCGATCTCGATCGCTGTATCTTGAAACTCGTGCAATTCGGCGAGGTATTTGCCTTCGTCGAGAGACAAGTATTCGTTGAGAAACTCTTGGCCCTTTTCGTCTAGTTCCACGCCAAGAAGACTACCCTCGATTCCACGAACGAACAACTGTCCAAACATCGCCAATAACAAACACATCGAATCAGCCATCTCTTGGCGCGCGCGCCCTTAGTGCTTAGCGTGCGCGCGCGCGCGCTCACTCACTATTGTCTTTGTCTAATCAGCCGATAGAAATGGTAACAAGTTGCTGGTTTCGCGAACGTCCTCGATCGTCCCTGGATATACGCTCGAACACGAGAAGAAAATTGTCGGCGTTTCAGCGCATTCGGCAGTTTGACGAGAGAATGTGTCTATAGTCTATACCGGTCCGCGTAATCCAGTGTGCGAATCGTTACGATTCGTCGAAATCACTTTGCTTTGCATATCAGGCCACCACCTAGTCGAGGGAGACGAATGACTCGCAGGCGCGCGGTTTCTGTGTCGCGGCGGTCATCCTAAACTCGATACTCGGACCTTCTCTTACGTTACCTTATGTTATTCTGTTTTTTCTTATCCTCGACCAAGTAAACAAGTCTGCCGATCGATCGAGGCTAACGAATCCATCGGAATCCTACGATAGCTTCGACGCAATTCCAGCGCGTCGCAGAAATCGATCGACCGATCGATCGATCGGTCAGCCGGTCGACCGACCGATCGAACGGATCTGGATCACTTTCGAATTGTTATCAGCGAATCGCTCGAAAGAACCGCTCGAGCAAAGCCTGAAACCTTTTACGGTTAACGTACTCGTATCGTTAACGTGAACGGTGTCGTCTCGAATCGTAATCCTCTCGCGTCTAGCGTCGATCAGAAGCTACGCGTCCTTTCACTGTCTCGGAATTCCGTCTATCCAACTTGTATCGCGTTCTCCGAATTATTCTCCTTTTATCGAATCATTGCTTGCGCTATAACCAATAAGCTATAAACTATAACCCGCACTGTGTCTTGTGGCCTTGCCTTCTCTTCCACGTTCTCTCTTCTATGTCGTGCGTCCTGCGCCCGTTCTACATTTACGTATCGCGAGTCGCGACGCGATCCGAATCGACCCGATTCCAAGCGGCTCGCAACTTTCGTGCCACGCGAACCTATACCATTCGTTCGACTGAACTTGTAACAGCTAGAGGCAAACCATGAATGAATGCTCCCTTCTCTGCTCTTCTGTCTCCGCTCCACTCCGCTCCACTCTGCTCCACTCTGCTCCACTCTGCTCCACTCCGCTCCACTCCACTCCACTCCACTCCACTCCACTCCATTCTACAGTAGTCTACTCCAACGATTCACTCTACATCGTAAACCATTTTCCACTTCTCTCGACTACACTCTATCCTTGTCCACTGTACGTCATCTCATCCATTTCCTTATTTCTTTCCATCTTTCCTTTCTAAATGAAATGCAGACACTATGTCTGAAATGTTTTCGTTAGCCTTGTCCACGGCATTCCGTCTGAAAACTCATTCTTTGATAGATATTCGCACCGTTCGGGATTCGTGCGATTCGATATTTCAAACTATTTTTCGTTTAGGTAGCTAGGTAGGTTGCGTCGAATTCATAGAGTTGCGCGAGGTGTGTCGTTCGATATCGTCGTGTCTTTGCAAGGAAAAATCTCCATTGAGCGTTTCGAAAGTGCGATCGATAAAAACCGGTAACTCCGCGTTTTGTTGATAGTCGAATAGCGATAAAAATGCGACGTTAAAGAATAAAGGTATCGTGTAGTAGGAATATCTCGGGAGGCAAGCGAGCAACGCGAACCGCGTAATCGGTGCAACGGCCCACGTAAGTATCGGGCACTACTCGCAGCCGTAATGCGCGTAGGCAGTTTACGCGGTTCACCCGGTTCACGCTGTTCTCGCTAGCGTCTTCCTATTCCAAACGTGTTATTACTTGCAGACATCTCCATCTTACGTGGGTATTCGACAAGACTTTTCCAACTATTTTAATCTCTCCTTACGTTCACGCTTCTTCGAGTAGCTCGGTACGCGCCAACAACGGGACAACTTCCTTCGCGCTTTTCTCCTTCGTCGCCCTCCCTTATCTATTTGTAAAATCATTTTGGCTTCCCGTCGCGATATCGCGATCTCGCAAAGACAACGAACGCTCTTTAACGATATAAACGTTCCATGCTTCCAACGCGTCGCTTGCATACCTGATTCCATTCCGCTACCGTTCAATAATTCCTTTCTCTTGCCGATTAAATTGCTCGATCGATGTTTCTCGCAAAGACTGTGTTTGAGGATCGCTGTTTCATTGATGGAGGCCACCGTCCATTCACTCTTTTTTCCTCTCCTACGACTTACTCGCTCGTTCCTACGCTTTTCCTTCTCCGTTGTCTCTGCAAGCGTCACGCTACTCTTCTAGCTGTCCTTTTACGTTTCGAAAAACGAATAATATGAAATCAGAGTTTGTGCAAACTACTAAAACCGAACTATATCGAATCGAATCGAATCGAATCGAATCGATTCAAAGATGACGTACTCGCTTACGAATCGATTTCATCGTAAGACGCAGGAGAACCGCTGAACTGAATAACATATGAATGAACTTCTCTCGGCGAGAAGAGGGGGATAACGCTTGGCAACGTATGGCCGGACAAGAGTGATGTTATGGTGTAGTAGGATGCGGTTACGAGCGGAGCGTCGAAACTCGAAACGAGTCGTGTGAACGCGCGCGCGCGTGCGCCTGTGTGTGGCCTAATCGAGGTCGAGTAAGTAGTTGTACCGGGACCCGGGACCCGGGACCTAGGACCCGTGACTGACAATGAGTTTTAAGAGCCCTCGGAACTGATGTTTAGAGCCATGCACGATTTAACGTTTCTACGTAAAACGTACGTTCAACTTGCACGTTATACGTATATTATTTTCGCGTAGGATCCATCGTTTAGCTACAACATACCATAACTGGCATTCGGTTAGTTTCTTTCGTGTCTTGTGCAAGATATTTCGCCAAACTATATTTCATATAATTGTTCCACCTTTTCTTCATACTTTTATCTTTCTAACGATACCATGTTGTTGTCCTTGTATCGTATATCGTTTATTATACCTCTCCGTGATCGTTCAACGGTTACTGTCCTATAAATCAGAAATATGGTTAATTTTGTTTCAGGAAAATTGTACGCAGTATTTGGGAAAAGACAAGGCCGCGTGATTGCCGCGGAAAGTGCTGGATTCGGTGGACAGTTTCGCGTGTTAGCAACGTTACCCGTACCTGAAAGTTTTCACCTTGCCAGTGAGTTGCGAACTCAAACGTCCGGGCTGGCTAGTCCACAATTGGTTTTCAGTCATTGGGAGGCAAGTTTTTCTGTACCAAACGGTCCGCGCTCTTCTCGACATGTTTACGTTAGTTTTATCTTTCGTAGTGGCCCCCTCTAGTTCGGGTACCTCGCGGTATCTCGCGATCGATATCTAGCCATGTCGTTTACGTATTGTACATTTTATTTTTCACGCCGTAGGTGATCGAGCAAGATCCTTACTGGACACCTTCCACGGACGAGGAATACCTTCACTTCGGTGACAAAGCAGACAGCGAAAACAGAGTAAAAAAGTACATCGATGCGGTTCGTCGTCGCAAAGGTTTACCCGTGGATTCTCAACTCGTTATGCATGCGGAAAAACAACGCACCCTTTCAAAAAACAAATAATCCGAACACGATGTATGTCGTAAAGATACGATCGCGACTGCAGGCATACGATACATTTCCATATTATATTTTCCTTGTTGTTAGCTAGAAAAACATAGAAATTCTTTGTGCGTCGGCGTCGGCGTCGGTTCGACTTTACGGATCGTCCGTATCTGGCAGGAAGGAGCGCGATCGCCGCACAAACGTTTCAAACAACTTTATCTCCACTATTAAATAAATCACTCTGCAAATAAATTACGTAATCTTGAAATTCTATTTCGAAGCAATTCGCATGTGCGACTAAACGGCGATCCTCGGTCCGGACCGACCGATGCCAGTAACAACGTTACTCTACAAGCCTTTCGTCAACTCGAGAATAATCTTGGACTATGGAATAAACTTTTATAGGTAGTCACAGACAGGATACATATTTCCAACTGTTTTTTTTCTTTTTTTTTTTTTTTTTTTTTTAAATACATGTAAATGCGACCTATTGTAAATGCATGTATTACGAAAACTTATGTTTCATCACCTTGTCCATATCTGCAAATACGTCAAATAAAGCAAAGATATACGCGGTATTCCTTTTTTCGCTAACGTTAATAAAGAATTCGTCATTTGTTTACTTAATTATCATCGAACCGAATTTTTTTCCCTTGGAAACCCTGTTTCATAACTTCTTGTTGTTTCTTCCTTGCTGCCCACGACGGATGTAAATTTTCATTTTCCAAAGGTTTTGCGCTCTTGATATTTCTCTGTGCAACGCCCGTCTTCTTAACCGATGTAATCATTTTATTTTGTTTCCAAGGTACATTGCCAGCCTCTCTTTCCGTTATCCTATTCCTATCGTTGCAAGTATCCTCGTTATCTATTTTTCCTACTTTTGTATTTCTTCTATCCTTGTTTACTTTGTTCCTATGAAATTTATCTCTTTCATTTCTTATTTGTAACGCCTCAAATGTATCATCACCGATGTTTGTGTATCTTTGTTGCGAAAACGTTTCAACCTTTGGACACGATACGATCTCGTTTGAATTTAGAAAAAAGTCGTCCGTGTTTTCTCTAATTTCCAACGACTCGTCAGACATCTCTTGTTTCTTATTCGCTTCGCACCTGTCGTTTGTTGCCTGTGCGTTAGTTTCCAGCAAAAGTTCTGCAAACCTTTTAACAGCAGCTTCGTTACTTATAACTTTGATAGCAGACTTTGACCCTTCGTGGTTTCTCGCACGTTTCGTATTCCTATTCACCTCTTGTTCGCATTTATTTTTCTTGGCTTTATGCACTGACATTTCTTTCGACTGGTGTTTGCAATTCCCATCGGTTTCAATATTTTCTTCTACAGTTATATAGCGAGAATGATCTATGGAGGTTACGTTAGCTTGCTGTACTTTGTTTGTATTCTTTACGACGCGTTTGTCGTTTCCATCCTGGATCTCGTCTAGGGGATTCTTTCCTTTCTTTCTTATCGATGGTTTCTTTTTTTTCAAACAAACGTGTTCTCTATAGTTTGGAAACTTGTGCTTGAATTCGACTAATTTCTCTTTTAAAGATTTGTAACGAGCAACTTTGATCATAGCCCTAGTTTCATCGTCGGTATTCAGATTCTGCAGTACGTCTTGGAGATGTTCTAGGTTAAGGATTCCAAATTTTGATATTTCATCGTCTTTGATTTGTTTTAACGCAAAAACCTCCCTGAAATACTTGTCTGCTTTATTCTTGTTTTTTTCCAATTGCTTCTCGTTACCATGCTTACTACGTAATCGTTTAGCTTCTCTGATCAATTTATTTATCATGCAGATGCGAGCCTGACGAACGTACTGCCTCAACGAAACAATCTAAAAAATTAACAACGTAACAAATTTATACTAATTCGAGCAAACAAAAGAAATATTTAAAAAGCATCGATCATAGTTGGAAACCTCAAAAGTTTGCCTACTTATTTACTATTCAACAAAACATACCTCGTTATTTATCTCGGTACGGGGTGTTGCCAAAGTCATGTTATCGACGAAATTGTGCTGATATTTCAAAACAAAGCAAATAAAAAACAGTCAGAACTTGTCGATTTTACGTATGCAATGCAACGCAACACGCAACAACGCAATCGTTTTTACGTAATATTATCGTCACCTCGGCCTCGGCTCGCCACAAGGTGACAACAACGACACTGAAAGAACGCGTGCTGATGCTAATGCTGATGTATATATAAATGTAAACGAACCAAATCGATTCCTTAAATAATTACTCGAGCTGTGGAAAAATCATTATCGAAACGAGAGAATGGATTAGAATAGTAGATTCGTTGATTCATGTTTCAATTTTCAATTGAAATTTTTTTTCTAGACAAATTACAAATGGCTACTCATGTGCATAGATACAGAGGACAGAAGAGGTCAGGCACAGGGCACAGGACAGGGGATACGATATACGAATACGAACGGAACGGAACGGAACGCAACGCAACCAAACGCAACGCAGCAGCACCAAGCAGCACGGTTGCACGACGGTACAATATTAAGCGCCCTCGAGTGACGGTACAGTGTACCATACTGACGTTTTGTTAACTCGTAGAAACGTCAGTTCGTTTATTGTTATTTAATGCATGCTCGTGTAAAGAACGTCGTCGTTTAACATTGTTCGTAAAAGTTAACGTTAACGCGAACGTATGGAAATTATTTCGGCCTGTGGACGGAGCGAGTGAATCGACTGAGCAACCGTGACGTTTCGATTACTGGAAGGAGAATCGGCCATTAGTGGGAAAGTCTACATCGTTTCTCTGACCGTGACTGACTGCACATATATATGTGTATATGCACGTGTATATTCGCCACGTATGTAGGTATGTGCATACGCAATCGCGTTGTACGATTCTCCAGCAATTTCGTGATTTTTAGATATTCCAATTTCATTGATATGGAGGTAAATTGCGCGCAGCTTGAGCATCGATTGTTTTCAAGCAAACGTTAAGAAAAGCAAAGGCAACATTTTCAGAGGGAAATCGTCGAATGACCTTGCTTGTATCATGGTCAACAGATTGTTGGACCTTCTAACGCGATGTGTCAGACGGTCGTGTCTTTAAATTAATGTTTTTCTCATCCATTCGCGGTAAACAATTTCTACAAAATTTTGTTCATTGGCGGATTTTTTACACGTCTTACGATAAAACCGAGTAAATTATGAATGATAACGATAACAAACTCTTAATGCGCTAGCGTCCGTTTAGAAGGTTAGTATTTTCGACACTTGAGTGTTTTCGTCTAACCTCGAGCTTCTTCAATGTTTATTTTTGTATTGATGTTGCGCTCGTGTCCATATTTTGGTTTCCTGATGCGTATATCGTACCTCGTACCTCTGTTCTTTCTATAATCATCAAGTGACAGAGTTACAACTACCGCGATACTCTGTTTTTTTTTTTCTTTTTCTTCTTCATATTCTTTGATACTCCATTCCCGTTATTTCTTACTGCTCGATCAAAGGAATATATCCAATTTCTATATTACTTAAATCTCGCATCAACACAAAATTTTACTACAATTTTATCAATAATTCATGATCATCAGTTCTGATATATTCCTTACAATGTATGTTTTATGTACTATTCTTATAGACAACACCACTTTTTTTCATATATTATATTAATTACCCTGTTTTCTTTTATAATTGTAGGTGTTAAATAAAACAATTTTATCAATTATCGTATTATTTTGATACCGTACTGGAACAATTTAAGGATCAAAGATGAGTTGCGTTCGTTGTTGTTTAATTAGCGCTGGTCGCATAGCATCCTCCAATCATGTAGCGAATCATGGTAAGTTTAAGATAACATTTAACTTTTCGTTTAATTAAAATGTATTTTGAAGCAAAGAAATCTAACTATATATATTGTTTCCGTTAGTTCACAAAATTGTGAGAGTAGCAGTGATCAGATCCTTGACGATCGGTAGTACTTTAGGAAAAGCACCTACCGAAACTACGCCGCCTGGCAAGGACAGTAGCAGCGGAGTCTCCTCTATCGGTAGCGGCGGAGGAAAGAAAAGCACTCTTACCTGTCCAAAGTGTGGAGACCCTTGTACACACGTAGAAACCTTTGTGTGTAAGTACAATATCCGCGTAAGTTCTTTCGTAAAGTACTCGTAGAAATGCTCCGGAATCATTAGGGATACAAAAGTGTTTGATTTTTGTTAGCATCAACGAGATTTGTAAAATGCGAAAAATGCCACCATTTTTTCGTCGTTCTGTCAGAGATAGATTCAAAGAGAAGTCTCAACGAAGCGTTGAGACCCGACGACACGAAACAAGGTTTCTATAGAAAACCACCACCTCCGCCAAAGAAGGTAATGATTTTTCAGTGTGCATTCCTTTGAACGTGCTTTAAACTTGTCGCTTACAGATATTTGAATACCTAAACAAACACGTTGTGGGACAAGAGTATGCTAAAAAAGTTTTGAGCGTTGCTGTTTATAATCACTATAAACGGATCTACAATAACTTACCAGTGCAGAATTCAACGCAAGGATCTACTAATTCAGCCGGTACACAAGATCTGAATCATCCCTTCATTCACAGAGGTCTTAAACCACGTAAATAACAGTTTCCCCATTTTACACGCAATCACATAGGAAAATAAAATATAACGTTCTACTCACAGTTCTTAATATGAAATAATACGTCAACTATAACTAGGTTTAAGAACGGTTTTCACCAGAACTATGGATATTTAAATTCTTTCTATATCCATGAATTTCGGCTAAATACACAATTTTTTATTCTAGATTTGTTACATATATCGACAATCGGAAATTCACTCGGGGTTGGATTTCAACAGTTTCCTAGTGGAAACGAACAAAAAACGGCTGGTAATCAATCTGTTCCTGGATCTGATATTCTGGATAGTAAACAACATCAATTGAAATTAGAGAAAAGTAACATTTTGTTACTCGGTCCAACCGGTAGCGGGAAAACGTTGCTAGCGCAGACGATAGCCCAATGCTTAGACGTGCCATTTGCGATCTGCGACTGCACGACACTGACGCAAGCAGGTTACGTTGGCGAAGATATAGAAAGCGTGATCGCGAAACTTTTGCAAGATGCCAACTACGTAGTGGATAGAGCACAAATGGGTATCGTATTCTTAGACGAAGTTGATAAAATCGGCGCCGTACCTGGTATACATCAATTGAGAGACGTTGGCGGAGAAGGTGTTCAGCAAGGGATGTTAAAAATGTTGGAGGGTACGATTGTCAACGTACCCGAAAGAAATAGTTCGCGAAAGTTACGCGGAGATACCTTGCAAGTTGACACTACAAATATTTTATTTGTTGCTTCCGGTGCTTATAACGGATTAGATAGGTTGATCTCGCGACGAAAAACTGAAAAGTATCTTGGTTTCGGCGCGATACCATCTTCCGAGAATCCGGGAAGAAGAGCTGCGAGTTTAGCAGATGTCGCAAATATGTCACCTTCTACCGAAAAGGATAACAAAGAGAAAGATTTTTTGCTACAGCAAGTCGAAGCAAGAGACTTGATTGATTTCGGTATGATTCCCGAATTTGTCGGTAGATTTCCTGTTCTCGTACCATTTCACACTCTCGACAGGGATATGCTGGTCCGAATTTTGACCGAACCTCAAAATGCTATGGTGCCGCAATATCAAATGTTGTTTTCAATGGACAAGGTATCGTCGTCCACGGGATAATAATTTATGTTTTATCTTGAAACTGTCGACAACATTTTTAATCTTATCGAGTTGGTTGGTTTCGTTTACAGGTAGAATTAACATTTACCGCGGAGGCTTTAAACGCGATAGCTGCATTAGCGATGGAAAAGAAAACGGGTGCGAGAGGACTTCGAGCGATTATGGAGTCGTTACTATTGGAACCCATGTTCGATGTGCCGGGTAGCGATGTAATGTCCGTCCACGTAACCGAAGGTTGCGTACGAGGACAAGAGAAACCACAATACGTGAAAAGAGGTGATGCTACCGAGGACGAGCTGCAGGCTCAACATATACATAATTAACAAATAATTTATACGAAAGACATGCCGCACATCTGATAACCTTTCCTCTTCAACCAGACACCTTAGGAAACTACATTCGCGGAAATATTTTGTGATAAAAACTGACATCAACGTAGACTAGGAGTAAACAAAATTTATGTCAAACTAGGTGTAATTTTTCAAATTATCTATCAAATCTTCTCCATAAAAATACGCGTAGGTACGTATGACGATCCGATCAAAGCACCGATACTTTTCCTATTTTACGAACAATTGAAAATCGCGCAACCAGACATCGTAATCGTAAACTTTCTCTTTCTTGTCCTTGCTTCTCACTTTTTACGCATAAAATTAATGAAAAATTTTCGTATGCTGTTCCTTAGGCTAGATGTATTTCAACTACAACGGGAACATAAGATTCATATTTTTGACCCTTATAAATACAACATTTATGCGTGCGTTCTGTACATTATAGCATTATACGTTATAATGCATAAAAACAACATTACTGATATTTGTACTCTAATTCTTACATAGCGTATAATGGGTAACATTAAAAAGTTTAAAATCACCAAGACAGCCTTAGTCCTAGACGCGTGTAATCATCCTAATATTTGAACGAAATTACTTGACAGTTGAAACCATCTTTTCATCTATCAAAAGTGACAAAACTTTGTAAAATAATTCAAATTTCAATGTTAAATTAGTATTTGAATTTAGGAGAAGTAATTTTTAGGAAAATACAAACTTTTATAAATGAAACGTTAGAATTTGAAAATGTAAGTACATATTGCGTTAATAGGTAAATCAAGAATATTTGTAACATATTGTACATATACATGATAGATTAGCAAAAACGACGAAATTAAAAGTTTAGAAACTACATATGCTTTGTAACGGTAACTTTAAACAGAAACACTCGTTAGCGATATATATATATAATTTATCCTGATTGTTGTTGTTGTTGTTATTATTATTATATATATATATGCGTAATGTATATATCATATTCATACGTGTTATCTGTGTGACAGGTATAAAAGAAAGGCTGTGTAATATACGATGCAAGATGAAAAAAGTAGTTATCAGAAATTATAAATCAAAACATTACCGATTACGTGAAGACCAAGTATCGTACGATACTAATTTGATCAAATCTGATATCGGCTTCGAACACCGATACATTTATCTTTTTATTAGCAATAAATCACAAGTAATACACAACAGATACATAGAGTACTTCTTGCATCTAGTATGTTTCAACAAACAAATATCTTTTATATTCGCGATTTTCGGTTTTAATATATTCATTTTATGCAATGTTTAAATTTGAAATTTTCTTTTTTCATTTTTCGTGAACAAGTATCAAGTTTGATTAATTAATAGCTCATCAAAGTGCACAACGAAACGAGAAATAAAATCACTGCCAATATCGAGTAGTCGATTCGGTGTTGCACATGTTACATATATGTATATAATCTTGGACTAATAACTGTACAAGCAGTGCACGCAAAAATTAAACGAACAGCAATGTCCAGATTGAACCAATTTGAAAATAAAGCACGTATGTTAGTCCCCTCTTACGTTGTACATCGAATCCCAATGTGCCGGTTTTCGAGCTGATTTTGGTTTCGGTCTTAATACCGTAGCTAATTCCGTAACGATCCATTTGATCACCCGTACTATTACTACATCTACAGCAAATTGCAAAAGAAGAGCACCAAACCCTTTATACAAACCAAGAGGGCCTTCGGTAGAAACGATCGTACCGTAACAATCCCTTGCACCGCTATATCCAGTTAGCAACGGCGTTACGCTACGACCAGTGTCCAAGTTGTCGATAATGGTACGCGTACCCTGAAGGTGAAGTCTGTAAATCACCGTTTCCCAAGGATAAAACAATACTTCTGCCACAAATGTAGAAATCAGAGTAGATTGTAGCTCTATATCTAGTATAACTTCCTCGGACAGCAACACTCTGCTATATGCACCCTTGACACATAACATACGAATGCCATTTAATCGACATATTTCAAAGTATTTACCTACTTACTTATTTAAAGATAAATTCTTTTTCATCTGTAACTCAACTCACTCGTGACTCTTGAGAATGTTTCTGCCTAATCTGCCTAATCTGCATAATGTGACTGGTAACTCGGGAAACAGCCAAAGTAAAAAGATATTTCGAAACTCCGTAAGCGATAGTTGGCGGTAGTAGCGAATATATAGGAATTAATCTACCCTTGTTGCTCACTTCGACTAAGCGAATCGCGCCATCTCGAAAGACATCTAGTATTCCAGGGCTTTCGGATGCAATTTCAGATTGTACCGTTTCAACTAACGACGCTGAGAAAAATGGTGTCGTCAGGCCTATGGACACACTATTACATTTTCTATTAATATTTTCTACGAATAAATGTAAAGCGTAAGAATTGTGCGTGTATCGATGTACTATTACCATTTCAGAAGAACGTGCTGACCAAATGCTTTTAACGAACTATTCCGTGTTATTTCCCTGCAATTAAATGCCTTGTTATTATCGATCCATAGTTTGAGTAACAATATATGTCGTGTACATATTTGAAATTTCGACATGTGCGAAATTTACAATCGACCCGTAATATATCTTATAACGATCACCTTACTTTGGCCACGGCGTTATTTTAGAAATGAAATCTTCGATAGCTAACATCATTCCTTTAACGAGTAAGACCGATCCAATTCCTTTCCAAAGAGTATTTATTCCTTGAGTCTGATGAAGACGCACAACTACAGGAACCAAAGTAATCGGTATTATGTGATACACATTCGATCCAGGATTTACCTGACATTGTCTTCTTAGAACAATGAAGGGGTGAACTAATAGAGTTTCCGTAATTAAACTTGCTAGACCACAACCTGCACCGATGTACCTTTTTACTGTTAGATCTACAAGATAAAAGTTGTTTGAAATAATCGCTCGTACAAGTTAAAGTTTCAGTGTTCTTTTACTACGTAAAAGGAAGGTTTTTAATGGGTTAGATGTTGCTCGATCGTAGACGTAGTTAGTCTATCGAGTAAAAGGCAATTAATTTCCATCCTTCCCGTTTTCGATGACAGAAACTTACCATCGGCAGGAGGGCTATCTTCGGCTAGGGGATGTAAAACGGGTACATCTAAAGGACGAATAACCTCTCGTCCGTGATATGAATACGAGTAATCACCATCAGTTTCCCAATACTTGTTGGTTTTTCCTCGATACACTCTTTCATAATTTTCCAAGCCAGCCATTATTAGATCGGTTGATTTTCAAAAATCGTAATTATGCATTGTGAATATCGAACCTTTTCCAACAATCTATTGCTCCTTTGATTTCAAATCATCATACAACCATGACAGTCGTACATAGCACATAGCATAGCGTATAGCATAGCGTGTAGCATACCACACACAAGCTCGCAATACTATTTTACATAATACGTGAGCTTGGACCCCCTACCCCGTTGCTCCATTTCCCATTCGTAAGTCTTGTGGTTGTGTCAGCCGCTCAGGCGCTCAGCTCAGGCCAGCTCAGGCTGGGAGAATCCATTTAAAGATGGCTGTTGATCGAACGACTGGCTGCCGTGTGATATGTCACTTTGGAGCAACGTTTCGACTGGTTTCGACGTTATAGCTCGATAAAACTGTTGATAATCGTTGGCTATCGCTGACGCGAGTAACCTTTTCGATCGAGAAATTACATTTACGAAGAATGAAATAATCTTTGATTAAAAAAATGAATTGTCATCAAATATTAAGCGGAGCCTGTAATGCGGGTGATCGGTGTTACGCCGTCGGCTCCGTCGAAGGGATTTCTTTTACCGTAAGTATTTTCTCTCAGCGAACTATATAGTCGGTCCGATTATTTACGATGCAAAACTTTTTCTCGTACTATTCGCATATCAGATTTTCATCGTACTCTCGAATCGCCAACAACGTTTTTTCCTCGATGTTTTTGACAATTCGTCCAACGATAATCTACGAAAGATTTTCTTCCAATCGCTTCCAATTGTACACAGTCTGTTGGATATGTTTCAAAACGTCAACGTATTAAAATACTATTACCTTATCGTGTTTTTCTACTTTTTATCAGTTACCAAGATATCTATTTGAAATCTTTAAATTGAACATTTTTATACCTAATTACTTTACGTTCGTATGAAACGAACGTAAACTTGCAACGTAAAATTTCAATATTCCGATATCAAATTTCTTCTACGACATATTATATCCACGATACATGTGTTTTTTATTCAGGCATACGCAGCAGGCTGCAACATAGTAATTCTCGCCAGTAACTTTGAACGAGTTCAAATAATTCCCGGAGCTGTACATAACTACATAAGAATTAGTTGCTTGGATTGCAGTACCGATACAGGAAAAATTGCAGCAGCGTATGAAAATCAAGTTTGCATATTTGAACCTACGCCGCTGATTCATAGCACGTGCTCTCACGTTTGTATTCGATTTTACTTTATATTTATGTCTAACAATTAACTCTACGAGTTTCGTAATTGTTTTAAATTATGTGTAGCAATTAGAATACAGATGGGTCCAAACTGGAAGTCTACAGACGGAGTCAAACATCAGTTCGCTGTCGTGGAATTTGGAAGGAACGCGATTATTGACCGGAGGAGAACTTTTACAACTATGGCATCAAAATATTACTCCTTTTCAAGAAGAACACAGTAAGTTTTTTCTGTTGATCTTCTTTCAACTATACGTACTTAGGATTAGTATTACAATTCATTTTGTCTACTCCGATCTAAAACGATGGTATATACATGTCGTTAGCCGAAGTAATAAAATTATGTACAGCGACGAAGGTGAATATGTTACGATCGCAAGAAGCTGGTGTAGCAGAGAGAGAGGAAAATACTTCGAACGTTTCTCTGGACCGTGAGTTTGTTTTAGATGTGCGCGTAAAACTGTAAAAAGCATCGATTATGTTTGAAATTTTGCACAGACTTATCGCTCTGGAGAAACTATTGCGTGTTTAGAGTATACGAGTGCTGTCGAGTACCTCGAGCATCCTTTTATAATTATATACAACTTCCGATGCTTCGGCTGCAAAATTAATTGAACGAGTTGGCCTTTGCAATTTAACGCGTAATGTATTCTAAGCATTGTTGCCTGATATTCCATCGCTTTGACGCTTGAATGCGCTATCGAAAAATAAGATCCTACGGATCATGTTGTTTGTTTGAAGAAACCAATTCTTTTATTAGAACAGCATTATTAGTGTGCGAAGTAAAGGAAAAACTTATTGCGTGTACGTGTACCTACCCGATTCTTCAAATCTAACGAAGAAGGCATAATTAATCGATGTAACCGACTTGCAGCTGGTACGGTTACTTTTTCGATCGGTGGGGAGGCGGAAAGTCCTTTACCTGGAGATTCGACAAATGGAAATGAACCAGGAGCTTGGAATTGTGTTTGGAAGTGTCGCACAGCCACGCCAGTCCACCTGATGAGTTTCAGCCCGGATGGTACATTATTTGCGACGACAGGATTCAACGATAGATTGGTGAAAATTTGGTTCGAGAATAAACAATGTATGGTTCAAACAATTTCTTGCCTGTTGTTGCGATATATTATCAACAATTTTAACGCATCTGTGTTTGAAATTATAATTATTATTATTATTATTATTATTATTTAGTGTTTTCAACGAGAATGGATCATACTAACGTTACGCAATGTACGACTAGTGACAGTTACAGTTTTGTTTATGTCGCTCATCCTCGTGCTGTGACACATTTATCTTGGCGCAAGACTAGCAAATACATGCCAAAGTATGTAAAATACGATAATAAATAATAATTATGAACATTTCGTATCTAACCAATGAAATATATTTGCTAACAAAGTTATAGTTACATATAAATCTCTGTTAATTTATCGGTATCTCTGTGTTTAGAGGTTCCGTTTCAAACATGTTGGTCACATCGTGTAGAGACAATATTTGTCGAGTATGGGCAGAAACTATACCACCCGAGGTCGAAGGATTAGCAAATATGAGTCAATTTGAGGGATCCGACAGGCACGGTCATCATGGAAAACATCGACATCACAGTATGCATAAGCATCGATTCATGCAGCGACTCAAACACATGAAGTGCGTACAATGCGATATCGTATTCCGTTCCATCTTTTCGTATCTCTTTACGTTTATTGTGGTTAAACGATATATATTTCGTATAGAACGTGTTTCCATATTCGTCGACACGCTAAACAACAACATCAGGCAGGTCACGCCACAGCTCCAACATTACCAACTTTACCTTCAACGTATTCGGTGCACGATTTTCACAATAATTATCAAGGCGCAGGTCACTATCCGGGCATGCATTTTCATTTAGCAGCTAGCATCAATGCAGAAACCGGTAAGCTTATTATAAATAATATATATATATTTTTTTTTGTTCTCTTGTCGCATCGTACGTGTTACATTTTTTTTTGCAAGAGTTGCGATAAAACCGATTTTTCGGGTCGTAGATATACCACTGGTGCCGAGTCTAATTACCGGAGATCCTGAAAGGGAACCAAATTTTATTTTACATTGGTTAAACAATAAAGAAATGCACTTTACGATGCAAGCGGAAAATATTTTACAAGAACTGACTCGTAAAGTGGTAGAAAAGGAAGAAGGATTGCATCAACAAGAGATAGATCGTGCAGATCACGATTCCGAAGAAGAAGGACTGTCGAGTGAGTTAACGTTGATGCGTAGAATTAGTAAAATATTATATGTATATTTGATAACGCTATCTATGCTAGCTACATAATTGACTGTGTACCATCGTAGAAAAAGGAGTACGATTGCAACCTATACAAAAATCTGGAGGAACGATTCGATCGATGAGCCAAGAGGATCACAGTAGCGATGAACATCATACGGCTCATACAGTTTCGTCGCATCATAGCTTGCCGCACAGTGCACATTCGCATCAAAGTCTTAGGTACGACATAGATTCGCGGTGCGAGTAACGAGTTGTTTTTCAATTGATTCTTCTAAATTGGTTGTTTTTAGTAATACCACATCTATTAATTCTATCGCAACGGACGTAACATCTTCGATAAATCATGCTCCGGATTCTTTGGACACAAAGATTGAAACGTTATTGCGCGATTGGCATCATAATCCGGATCTACTTTTCTCGATTCATCCGATAGATGGAAGTTTTTTAATTTGGCACGTCGAATGGTTGGACGAATATCATCCGGGATCGTTTCGACAAGCGCAAATTTCATTTTCAACACGAATTCCGAATGCTTTTCCCCTTGGAGACGCTTCCACTATGAGTCACAGCGTATCGATGTATTCTCACAACACTGGTGGTCCTTTGTTGAATATTCGCGAAGTGGCAAAATCATCGACGAAATCTTCGAATGATGGTAAGCATTTTCCATATATCGTGTATCGTATTGGGTCGTATTGAAAGAAATTAGAATTAAAAGTACAACCTTGTTGTTGTTGTTGTTGTTGTTATCGCGACGTAGCTGCTGAAACTGCCACGCCATTACCGAGTTTGATCGAACAAGACGAAGAACAGTCTACGTTAACGTCGAGAACGGGCCAAGAGCTGTTAAAAACCATCGAAAACTCGGCCGATCAGAGTCAGAGCGTTGCGGTAAAAGAAAGGAACGGTCATGTGGAATGTGGGAAAACGAACCAAGAAATAGTCAACGATTTATTGGCTCATCCAAGTCCAATTGTCTCGATGGTATCGAAGCACTCGAATGGAACGTTGAACTTGTGGCAATTGACGTTTGCCGATAGAACAAAATTTTCCCAGGTAAAAAAAAAGTTGCCGACGAAGCGAGTAAATATTAATCCTTATCGTTAGAGATAACTTGTATCATTATCTGTCTCTTGTTTCGTACGATGCAAATGAGTACACGAGTAAAAACTGTTTAATCGGTTTATCGATCGACTGTACAGGTATTAAGTATCGGACACGCATCAAGAGCTTCGGGACATCGGTTTCGCGTAAACGATATTACTTGTCATCCGGTTTTGCCTTTGCTGGTGACGACATCGCATCACAATATACCAGAATGTTCCGGATCGCAATGTCAGGAGACTGATTCGAACGAAAACTTGAATAACAAATTAGGTGGCGGTAAAGCGACGTTGAAAGATGTTTCTTCGACAGTAAGTAAAGAATGAAATCCGTTCGAATAATTCGTGGCGATCTCTATAATTTCGAATTGTCGCATCACTTGGAGTAATTAATTGGTCAAGCGTTGAAGTTATCGGACGCGATTTCAGGGGTTTTGCAGCGAATTGATACTTTGGCGCGTAGACCCGGTCGGACCGTTATCGAAGAGCGGTGGAGTTTCCGAATTGGCGCGTATCAATTCCCCGGAAATCTCAGCGTTTAGTAACGTGGCTTGGATTCCAACTTTATTGCCAAGTACTACCTTAGGTAATTTATCGAATTCTCCGAGCGCCTGTTTCGTTGCCAGCGACGGCGAATGTTTAAGAGTTTATCAAGCTGTTATCGATGCTAGAACATTGTTGGCGGAAGTATCGAGCAGCGAAAGACGAAGTAGAATGATGGTAAGCGCCGGTAGAAATCTAACGAATATCGGTCGTTTGTATCGTATATCGGGGTTTGTTTAACAAGAATTTCTATGCAACAGGATTCAATGGCGAGTTTATCGACGGACGTATCGTCGGACGATGGTATCAGACATTCGATTCACGATACGATTAAGATAGTATCGCAACAATCAACGGCGAGACCAGGTTGCGTGATACAGTTGGACGCTATTGCTGATGCCACGCATGTGAGTTAATTAAGAGAAGGAGTCGACGGAGAAGATTTAAAAGTGCTAATCGATCGATAAACGATTAGCTGTGATCGCGTTTAATTCCGAATTAATCGAGAGAAATGATTTTCCTAAACGCAGGACTGGCAGAACACGCAGTTTCTGCACGTATTTCAAGAGCAATTAATCACCGGAGACAGAAACGATGAAAAGCAAACTGGTGTCGATACATCGGCAAACGATTTAGGTTTGATGGAGTCCACCTTGGACGCGATGGTAGATTTACAGCAGTCTGCGATATTCGAGGAACCATTCTATATAGTTGTTTTAGAAAGAACGCAACAGGGCACCACGGTACACATGTGGCGGTTGGTTATAGCCTCTCAGCCTGAGACTACCGGTATACCGATTAACAATTACCGAACGACCGTTAAAATTTCCCTTCATTAATATCTAATATCATTAATATGTGTTTGTTGTTGAAAACTTGGCAGGATTGTCGGGATCGATGATGTACGTTCCAGATTCTCATTTGGTACAAGACGAAGAGGAGGAGGGCGGTACACCCGGACGATACAATCATCCAGAAGGTAGAAGATCTCGTAGAGCGAGTCAGACTCGCCGCGATAGTCAAGGCGAGTTTGACACGTTTTTCCAAAGACGGTCTCAAAGTAGCCACGTTCTCATTACAACCACGAAAGCTTGTACTCAAGAGCTACCGTTACCGGATGGAGTCGAGGTTCGCGCTACATTTACTCTTTACCCGTTTCCTTTGTTTTGCTTCGTTGTATTTGTCGTGGTCGTGTCCGAGTATTCGGGTAAATCTAAGAAAATCAAAAGAAGAAACATGGTTATTGTTTGCGATAATCACGCGTAGGTGGTACACGCGGCACCAGCTGCTGGACATTTGAGCAGCTCCTCCATATATCCTGCTTGTTTCGCGCCATACATTATAGTGACAGCGTGCAGCGATAGCACGATACGCTTCTGGAAATGTAAAGTGACCAAGGGTGAACCGGACGACAAGCTTCGTTACGAATGGTGCGAATGGGATATGACCCGAAAGGATCAGGAATCGACTATCGACATTACAGGTAATCAATCGACGGTGATGATCTGATTTTGAACGCTCGCGACCGTGTTAATTGTGTGGAGAACCGTTTCAGGACAACCGTTGAATATCAGCGCAGCGTACAGCGGACGTATCGCATGCGCGTACAAGTACGGGAAATCGTTCACCCGACCAACGAAAAGCGATCCCGATTCGCGATACGTGAATCTCTGCGTCGCGATATACGAATGCGAAAGCACCGGTGGAAGCGAATGGATTTTAGAAGACACTATACATTTAAAGAACATACACTTGCCGAGGATCCCGGTAGATCAGCATTTAGACCTGAGTTATCTTTACGATAGCAGATTTTTGCAAAAAAAGCAGAGGCTGACTCAAGTGTTGCAAACTCTGAGCCACGAAGACGTAAGATCCCCGAGAAACGGAGAGAACGGGGAAAGCGCAAAGTCGAATGCAGGTAAGGAGTGGCGACGAGTGTTGTTATATGGTTATCGTTTGTTAGGATTAGTTTATCTTATTATTAATAAGTAAAGAACGAGATACGGTAAAGGAATGGCGTGTTTGCGGTTTTTTTATAGGGTTGTTGGCCGTTCCGTCGTTCAGCACGCTTCAGTCATTGCGCAAGTCGATCATAGAGAATGGCAACACTTGCCCGCTTACACAGAAACATTTGGTTCAACTGGACTGGGTGTCCAAGGAGGATGGTTCGCACATATTGACCGTCGCCGTTGGATCGAAGATTATGCTTTTCACGCCGGTATGCTCGGACCTCGCGCAGGCCAATATGAAAGCGATGAAGGAATCGCAGAGCAATAATCGACCGATATTACGGAAAGCTTCGTCGTTGGCACAGCCACAATTCGTCGACGAAATTCGTTGGATGAAACTACGAAAGATCGAATTAACTACGGCGGACGGTCTGCCTCCGTTGCCCATGCAAATATCTTGGGTTAGGGACGGTATTTTAGTGGTCGGCATGGATTCAGAGATGCACGTTTACTCGCAGTGGAAACCGAATCCGAAGCAGGATTGTTTTCACTCGAATTTGCAGCACCAAGAATCGGACGAATTTCAAGCGAGTCGAAACTTGCGAGACGAAGACCTGCGAACGTTGGCGCACGAAACGTCGCAAAGGCGACTGGCGAACGTTTCTTCCATGCCCCACCTTTCTCGCGTGAGTAGCATCAACTTGACGATGCTCGACGCGAAAAAGAAACGAGGAATGCAAAACGAAAATTTGAATTTCGACTATATGCCGGATTACGGGCTTTTCGAAGCTTCGAGGATAGCTTGTCCCGTTTTACCTCAATATCATCCGAAGCAACTGATGGAATTGCTAAATTCGGGTAAAATACGATGGGTAAAGGCGATATTGGCACACTTGGTTAGGTGCATAGGAACCTCTTGCCCGTTGAGGGCGGACGACGAGAGCTTGATGAAGCAGCGCGGCGGCGGAGCCGGTGGATGGTCGCGTTCGAGAACGATGTCGGTCAGTTACGTGGGCGCGAGCTCGCCGCTCGAGCCGAGAGGCTCGACCACCCAAATACCGGAAGAACTCACGTTGGATTACGCGGAGATAACGTCGATATCTCCGTTGCCGCTTTGGACCTTATTAATTGCCGATAAAGAAACGAATCTCCCGCACCAGCACAAGACCGAGGACAAGCAGGACTACAACGAACTGTTCGACAATAATTTGGACGAAGGCGAGTCGTTGGACGATATGCTAGAAGAAGATTACGATTGCTCGAGGCAAAAGGATAGACGTTCCTCGGTCCCGGAACGACAGGGAATATCTCATTTCGGACCGAGACAAGGTCGATTACTCTCGCGATTGCTCACCCACATCCATTTACCCGGGCTCTCGAGCCTCGATCAGATGCATTTGCTCGCCTTGGCCGACACCGTCTCCACTTGCAACGTCGATTTCGCGGAACGATTCGCGATAGACGCCGCCAAGAATGCGATCGCGAAAGAAAACTTGACCGGCATCCCTGACGGAGAAACCGTATCGATGGATTCGTTGGACGATTGCGGGCTTCGGTTCTTGCTGGCCATGAAACATTACAATTATCTGATTCGTTGCCTGCCACTGGCTCAGAGAGCGCAATTCCAGAAGCAAGGTATATCTTCGAACAATCTCGTATGGGCGTTTCATTCCGAATCCGAGGAAGAGCTGCTCGGCTTGATACCATCGTACGCGAAAGGTCAACCAAAGTGGAGCATACTGAAGGAGCTCGGCGTAGCGTGGTGGATCCGAAGCAACACCGTCTTGAAAAGATGCGTCGAAAAGATCGCGAAAGCGGCCTATCAGCTAAACCAAGACCCTCTAGACGCTGCGCTCTATTATCTCGCGATGAAGAAGAAAAATCTCGTTTGGGGTTTGTTTCGAAACAAGAGGGACGACCGAATGACCTCTTTCTTTGCGAACAACTTTACGGAGGATCGTTGGAGGAAAGCAGCCTTAAAGAATGCGTTCGCTCTACTCGGCAAGCAGCGATTCGAGCACGCCGCAGCCTTCTTCCTATTGGCGTCCGCCCTCAAAGATGCCATCGACGTGTGTTTGAACAAACTGAACGACATCCAGCTGGCAATGGTAATCGCTAGACTTTACGAGGACGATACCACCTCTCCACACATGAGGAGATTGCTCTACGAGGAAATTTTAGGCTGCGACAAAGATGGTCAAAATCAGGATATGAACAAGGCGCATCCGGATCCATTCTTGCGTAGCATGGCCCTGTGGATTCTCAAAGATTACGCCGGATCGCTCAACACTTTGCTCTTGACGAACGTCGGGACTTTGCATCCGCAATACAACGACGAATCCGACAAACCCGAAGGCACGACAGGTCTGTCAACCGGATATATCTTCTCCCTACTATATCTATACTCTAACTATTTAAACAATTTACTTCATTTATTTCAGCAAATCCAAACGTTTTCAACTTTTACGTTTACCTTCGGACACATCCGTTGCTGATCAGACAGTACATTGCGTCTACCGCCCAAGAAAAGAAAAAGGGTCATTCGGTAGTTATTTCCGGATTCAGTTACGGCACGGAGACCAAATCGCAGCCTGACAAACAATTAACTTTGGAGGATAGTATCACTCCTTTGGAAAGGCAACTCTATTTTACGACTGCGCACGCCCACTTTAAGGCAGGATGTCCTGCTCTTGCTCTCGAAGTTCTTTCGAAGCTGCCCACCAAAGTAATGGAGACCAATTGCGAAGATTCACCCAGTACGTATCGCGATTCGTATCAACGTCGACAGCTATCTCAAAGTAATCTTATACTCGATTATTTTGTCCAAGGTCTATTGAACAGCCCGAGCAAGATCAGAACGCAAGACTATCAAATAGACACGGGTATCATTAGTTGGGAGAACGATTCGAAAAAAACCAACCAAGACGAAGGTATCGATATTTTTCTTTACTTAAACAGATGTTTAATCAATCCATCTGTCTATCTATCTATCGTGTTGTCAAGGTATCGTCGATTGGTCTCAACCAGCGTCACGTAAAAGCGACGAAGAGTTGGTGCTAAACTGGGACGACGACGCAGTCGAAAACGACGACAACGACAGTCCACCTATGAGCATGAAGTTGGATAGAAAGGATTCAAAATCGTCGGAAAAAGATGGTGAGAGCCATCGCAACTCTCGACAAATTAAGTCGATAGTTTTCGAAATTTATAGAAAATCTCATTCGTGTTTGATGATTCGCAGAGAAAAACGATAAATCGTCCGGACAACTGGACATCATGGCGCAACAATTGAAATTTGTGGCTTGTTTAAAAATTCTTATGGAAGAGTTATCGACGTTGGCGACGGGTTTCGAAGTGGACGGAGGACAACTTCGGTACCAGCTGTACGTGTGGCTTGAACGCGAAGTGGACGCTCTTAGACAGCTTTGTAGTTACAGCATAAATTCAGACGGAGAAGCAAACAATGTTTCCGAATGTAAGGGTAAAAATGATGTTACGACACTGTTCCTCTGTTCGATTCGACGCGATACCGAGCATTTCTTTCAGACGAGACCGGTGGTATGGTGGATGACGTGCAACCGTGCATCAGGCCTGGCGAACAGCCAACGTTACACGAGATATTAGTTGCCGAGAAATTAGACTTTGAAGCTAAAGTACAAAGAGCCGTTCGAAGAAAGAAATGGTTGAAAGGTATGAAAGCATCGGTTGGATGATATATCCGACTCGGGTTTACTTGCCGTCTTAAATTGTACGCACGGTGTTTGTTTTCAGCAAACGAAACCTTACTGCGAACGTTATTGTCTTATTGTTCGTTACACGGGGCATCGGGTGGCGGTTTGGCGTCCGTACGAATGGAACTTGTCCTTTTATTGCAAGAGTTGCAGCAGGAAAAGACGCAGCAGCAGTTACTCAGTCCTCTTCCATTCCCAACGACGCTTCCTCTTCTAAGCGCCAGCGTAGCATGTAACAAAACCGTTGTAGCGGATCCTGTCAGACACTTGCAGGTTCGCGCAGCTCTCTAATTTCCAGCTCTGATTCTTTTCTTTCTACGTATCAGCTAAATGAAACATTGACATTTGTTTAGTCCCTCGCCCACGATATGCTTCAAACTTTGGTGGAATTGCGCAAGCCACCCATGCCGACGAGAAGCACGCACTATTGCGAAGTATTTATAATGAGAGATTTAGCAGTGGCTCTGAGCGCTTGCATTTATCAGTCGCTGTGCGATTCCGACACTTTTGTCACGAAACATCAACAACCGGACAGGTAAGGGCTGTATAAATCTATCGTTATTTAAACGCGAACAATTACAATTATTTTACGATTGACCCGACGGACCGACTTTGCCTCTTCAACAGTTTTCCAGCGGTTGCCGAAATAGAAACATTTTCCGGTGGGCACCTTGTAGCCTCGAATCGACACCATCGGAGGTACTCGACGGACGATGGCGTATGCATTACCACAACTCCCTCGAAATGGCCCGGCGTGACCAATTTGCGGGCATTGTTGGCTCGCGAGAAAGATGAAGACACACCGAAACTAAACATTCTACTTTGCGAATCTTTCGTGGCCACCTACATGAGCTTGTTCGTCTACGCTCTTTGGAGCTGCGATAGTCATATTCTTTACAGACTCGTAGGTCAATGTTTCGATAACAGCACTTGGTCTTGCCTATTCGGAGGCGGAGTGAAGAAATTACTGCGCGTCGCGAGCACAAGCAGTCAGGTATGCTGTTCCTTTCGTTCCGTTTGATTGGTACGAATGGAACGGTTGAATGGATTGGTTGAATGGATTGATTTTGAATCCAAACGACGTGTAAGCGAATAGTAGATTTCGATTGTTTAGGTTGGTAGCGGCGGATCAGGGTCGATGGAGAGGGCGGATGGTGGTCCCAGCGAAGCGCAAACCACCGCAGGAGCTGTATGGAACACTATGACGTCGTTGACCAAACAGCGCGTAAAACTAAATATGAAATTATTGGGACAGTTTACCGTTCAACAACCAAACATGAAAGAGGACAAACCCACGTACAGAGAACAATTCGTGTCGCCTCAAATGAGCATGATCTCGTATTTTTTAATCAAGGTAAGCTATATATACATACATGTATACATGTATAGAAGCTCTCGGACGCTCTTGAACGATACATCGCTTGTTTATATGTTTTTCCTTGTTTATTTTTTGTTCGCCGTGATAGCCTCACATCGACAGCGAATACGCGGATGAAATCGATTACGATTCATCGGACTCTGCGGTGTCGGATCTCGATTCTTCCGAGGACGAGGAAGATGTGTTTGACACCAATTCGAAACCAAAGAGTAAACCAAAGGACAACACGGAGCACACGAATCCAAATTCGTACAGTTGGTGCGTGATGAGATTGGCTATAGTGAAGATATTACAACAACAGCTCCAGGATTTCTTAAACGTAGCTGGTATAGAGATGCAAGGTATATCGTTGAAATGGTTTCGCGTGAGATGACGAGAGAAGGTGTTGCGATCCGTATTTTCTGATTTCACGCAACGAATGATATTTTTGTTTAGAACTACCGGTAAGTAGTCCGTTGATTCACGGTACGTTAGCCGTCGTAGCGCAATGGCAAGAAACGTTGCGAGAAGAATTGGACGGTAGGGGACCACCACCGATCAATTACATTCCCGGTTGCGCACCGGATCCCACGCCCACACCGGGAAAACCAGCGATTCACAAATATCGATCTTTGGTCGAGAAAGGCAACACACCGTTCAAGTAAGACAAACGACGAAATGGCAATCGACGGGAGAATAGATTCGAATTTGACTGGAACGCATACGATTATTCGATCGTTGAACATTGTTCTCGTTGCTTTCAGTACCCGATTGGCGTCTGCGGCTCCAGCTAATCGACTCTGGTGTTATCTGGTTAGACAAGAATCGGTCCAGGATATATTTATTAGAGCCGTATTTGGGAAACGAAGATCCTTGTCGTCGATATTGGAAAGCAATCAAACCGCGATCGACAACTTGAATCGCGGGACAACTGCGGAAGACAAGGGTAGCGATAGCGGAACCACCAGCTTACCCGAACCAGTCCGAATTATTCACAAGGAACAAGACAGCATCAGTGCCTTCTGTTTAAATCAGGTTTGGCCAAATATTCTTTTTCTACGGTGGTACGTTGTAACATTAGCTATCGGTGATCCAGGTGAACCCAGGTTTGATGGCATTAGCCACTCCTCGAGAAGTACAAGAAATGAATATATCGTTGCTGCTGGAACTCCCATCTTGGTTGGAAGACGAATGCGAGTTCGATCTGATTAATTTGAACAAGCAACCGGAACCGGAACCCGTGCAACCTACCAGTTTCTTAGTGATACAGGCAAGCATACGCGAATCTTAATCGCATCTGTGTCTTTCCTCTATCGATATCGATTCTCTTTTCTCTTTCTATACACATATAGACGGCAGCGGATCGACCGTTGCTCGCTCAAAGTCCGCAGACGAACAGTCCTCAGCCGCAGTCGGGTATCGCGAGCCAAAGCGGACGCGGAGCTAGCGTGGTAAGTCTCCCTCGAGATGATCCATCGCATCCGATAAACGTGACTCGCGCATACAAATATCGAGCACTGTACCATCGTGTCTTTTTGTCTACTTGAAAATGTACACTTTTACATCTCGTCTCGTCTCGTCTCGTCTCGTCGCTTCGGCCTAACCCAGATGTTTCTGATATTTCACCCATTTCGGATATGTTGTTTTTCTTTGCACGCGCGCGCGCGTGTATGTGTGTGTGTGTGTGTGCGTGTGTGTCTGTGTCTGTGTGTACATATTTATACATATATGTATATATACATACTTACAAAATGCTCTAAAATCTCATTACGTTACGCACAGTACTTCAGGAATGTTTGGGTTAAAGAACGATCGTATAGACAGGTTGTAACTTTTCGATGGGCGATTTCATTCCTATTCCCGATAGTTGACGACGACGACGACGACGGTCACGGTCTCGGTCACGATGAATAACGTTTAGTTTACAAAAACAAAGCTACGTAGATATGTACGTACGGTACGTATCGCGAGGCGAAAACCAAAAAAGCGACAAACTGGAATTAGCAGTATACGTGGATAAGTCATGTATCGATGTAAGTAGGTACTCTTTTTGAAAGAGGTTCGATGGAATCGGCCGTTGCATGCCATGTAAACAAGTTTGCACTTTAGAATGCACCTGTTAAGATACGCGCGGCTACTTCGAGGCTTGTTTCTTGCGATGTATCGTAGCATGGTGAAAGGTTAGCGAAAACGAACAAGGTCAAGGTAAAAAAAATATCGTCGAAATTGTTCGATAACCGTTTGAAGCTCGATGGGGATGGAGAGTAACGATAGTAGAAATGATCGCGGGAGGGAAGCCTCGATAGTCGTGGATACATCGATATCATCGAATAGCCATCGCACCGGGTCGAGTAAAAGTAGCACAACTGGTGACGGACATGTTCCTTGTTCAATGCTTGCCTAACGAACGTCTAACTTGGTTCGCGTCTGATCGACGTCACTGACCTGGTGGCTCGTTCGCTCGCTCAGATGAAGGGGATGCCTGCTTTTCCTGGCTCCCACGACCTGCGTTTCTGTCAGTTTGTTGCCGATAGGAGCAAACACTTGTTGCAACCGGTGAGATTAACATCTAAAAGACCCTAGCCTGCATAATATCCTAGTATCCTAGTGCCAGTTTACTTTTATTTATTCTGGTTCTCTCTTTATTTTTCGCCTTTCTTTTTCTTTCAATCGTTAACCGTATACACGCTCCAGTTCGTAATATCGTAAGCGTAAACGTAAACTGTCGAGCTAATTATCTCTCGTATTATTGGGTTCTACTACTCGTTACTACTTTACCGGAACAAAACACAGGAACCGGCTCGTTCGAACGAAACGATGCCGTTTGGCGATCAACAAATTATGCAATCTACGATTCGACTCGAACGGTTTCATTTAAGATTTAAGCGAACAGCGAGCAATCTTGACTATATTGTCTATATATTGTCTATATTGTATAATAGGTAACGCGAACTATCGCTTACGAATCTTACGAACGAGCGACCGTTTCGTGTTATAGGATTAATAGTAACAGAATGTAACGAACGCATCGCATATATGTATACATAAACATACCTACATATCATATAGAACCAATAGAAACGAATTTTGACGAAACATCAACTGTCGCTAAAACCACCGTCTCGAGACCTAACGATTACGGAATGTATTTGCGTTTGACGTTATTTGCCGTTATTATTAATGATAATAACAACGATCATAATCATTATCATTATCATTGTTATACATATAGTTGGCAGTATTTGAATCTTTTTCCGTTAGCTGTCGACTGTTTCGAAAAACAATGAAAGAAAACGTAATCAAGTTTTGTACTTTGTTTTGGTTGAAAACTTGACGAAAAAGTTTCTTTCTTTACGACGTAGCTTTCATCTTTTCCGAGGCGAAATTTGTTCGATGCAATAAAGTTGATCGATGCTACACAAATTACGATTACGAATAGGATCGACAACGACAACGAATTCGCAAATTTTTCTCTCATGTCACGCTGCATGCTCGATTAACGTTTCTTACTTATCCGTACATCAATTGTATTTCTTTGATGTACAGAAATACTTCATCGAGCATTTTCTGCCTTTTGAACGTTGTCTCGTGTTGAATGTCGTCCGTAGTGTTTAGCGCTATTTTGCTTGTCCTCGGACCACGTCTTAAACAAATCTCGAAGGGATTTCATGGGAATCCCGGAATTCGGGGTCTACTAGCTGTATCATTTTTAGATTCTAGTGGATCCTGATGGTTCGTGGAGATAGCTTTCGCCTCGACCGTTAGACCGGACTAGACGAGCGTCTCTGCGAAGAGAGATACGATACGTACGTCGTTAAATCGAATTAAACCAGAAGCAAAGAGTAGTAAAAAACGAACAAAGCCAACTGTACGCGAAACAAACGTAACGATTTCGTTGGACGTTTCGTTTGATCGATCTATCGATGTACGTACGAAAAGGGATCGTATGGTCCTAGGCTTTGAAACAAGAAAAAAGCACCGAGAAAGTTGATAGCATGCGTTTTTCAAACTTTAAGTCCGGCCGATCGTGTTTTACATTAGATAATAATACGTGTATGTATGTAGATCATTGCTCGTTCTTCTTTATCTCTGTTTGGTTTACTTGTTCCATTTGTCAGTCTTGATATGCGTACGCTAACGTACGCTTGCAGAGTTACGTTAATTTCTCTATGAAACGTTTACTATATATACTGTATATATATATATGTATATGTACGAATTGTTTGCGGAAAACCGAGGTAGTCAGCGTCGATCACTTAACCCGGATATAATGTCGAATACATCAATTTTTCTTCAACAGATTTTGAAGCATAAAATCGACGGTATAAGAAGGATTTCGTCCCACCCACTTTTACCATTATGTAAGTATAGTACTTTTAAATCAGTCTAGTATAGTCTCGAACGAATTGCATCGATATCGTATCGCGCATACTCGATTGAAATTACACGGACGAATGTTTCTTCCGGATACGGTGACTATCGCGGACAACGCTTGGCGACCTGATCGCAGACTTGACCGGTTCTCAAGATGGCTCGGTATCGCTTTGGGAATGGGGACATCAGACGGCTGTAGCGACTCCTAGACAGCCAGGAACATTTGCAAAAGTGACTCGCGTCCGTTTCTCGCAGCACGGAAATAAGTTTGGTGTCGCCGATTCCGATGGGCATCTCAGTTTGTTTCAAGTAGCATGCAGAGAAGGAACAGCGCGACCTTTCTTCGTAAGAATTTCTTCTAATATCGTTTCGTATCGTTTCGTTTCGTTTCGTTTCCTTTCGTTTCGTCCATTTGCGTAAAATGCTGCGACTTGGTTCTTTTCCCAGAATTATCAATGTCACAGTAAGGTGACCGCAGACTTTGTCTTCCTTGGAGCGTGCAGTTTAATAGCAACTGCTGGCCATGGTTCCGAAGGACGTAACGTTGCCCTTTGGGATACTCTGCTTCCGCAAAACAAGTCTTTGATACAAGGTACGAAACTAAAAGCAACAGAGTCGCGATGCGAGAAGCTGATCCTTGTTCTTTCCTTTAGGGTTTACGTGTCACGAGCAAGGAGCCAGCTCGTTGATCCTCGCCCCTCAGCATCACCTTTTGATTAGCGGAGGAAAGAAAGGGGACATTAACATATTCGACGTTCGACAGCGACAACAACGACATCGCTTTCAAGCTCACGAATCGGCTATCAAGTGTTTAGCTCTCGATCCACACGAAGAATTTTTCGTCAGTGGAGCAGGAGACGGTGATATCAAGGTAACGCGATTAAATCTACAAATACGCAAGTACAACTCATACTTAGATATACATGTATCGAATGTTACATTTTCTACAGATATGGGGATTAACCGTCCATTCTCTGCTTTATTCATTTCCTGGAGAACATCCACGATCTAGCTTTTTCAAGAACATCGGACAAGTAAGTTGGTTCGATTTAATCGACATGTATTTCTGTGAATAATAACGTCAAGAATGTTTTTCAGGGTGTGACGCAGTTGCACGTCGATTCCGCGGGTCGTTTATTTTCTTGCGGTGCAGACGGATCGATGAAAGTTCGTCAATTGCCGGAACGCGATTGCGTTGTACACACTTTATATTAGAATAACGAAAACATGCTAATCTCTTATACGCAAAACGTCTAAAGCTGCGCGTTCGTTCGACCACCGATCTAAACGCTATTCGATATACCAATACCTATTTATTATTCTCGTAAATATTCATTGTACGAGATTCTACGACAAACGACTATCTCGTTTGCTAAATTATCACCGTGGACAAATTTCGTTTATTTGTTTGCTCAAATTCTTCGTTCGAGTCTTCCCAAGTGGAAAAACATTTACCAAAATATCATTTGGGGATGGTATCCAGTCCATTTCCCTTGTACGCGCCGCGGCTGTACGCGTACGAGGTTCCCGCATGTAATACGACACGCGACCGTCAGTCAACCTTTCTGTCTCTGTGGTGTAATGGATACGGTGAAATAAAAGCTTCCTACGCGACCTAAACTCCGACATTTATGTTGTACATAAAATACATGCAACGCTGTTGCAAACAAACGAACAATCGTTCAAATCGGTGCTACCGATCTCGATCTACTGCGAACTCGACGCGCTACTTTTCTTCTCCGTTCTCGTCCCTGTCCCCGTCTCCGTAGCTCGTTTATCTATTGTATACTACGGGTACGCGCCATCGACTTACACTTTGTCTGTATCATAATAACGCTTTACCGGGACAAAACGATACAAGCTCCTTAAAATACGGAGCTTACGTTGAACGTCGTTGCTTCGAATGATTCGCCGTTTAGTCGTTCCGACAATCGACAGGATCGACAGAAATTTATTTTGGTCTTTGATCGTTTACTTGTTTTTGCTCGTAATACATTACCGTATCATTTACTTTTTATCTCAACCGTGTTTACGTGTATATATACAGGTCCAGTTACAATTAATTACTTTCCAACTTGTTACATATTAATTTTTACCCCTATTGCAACTCGAAAGACATCTTAACGCCATGCTACTAGTTGTTTCCTTGTAGAATGTACATTTCTATATTACAAACACGTGTAAATTTGAATATACGCCAAAGGTAGTGAAATTATTAACGGCGAGTGTTGAACATGTATCGTCTTGCTTTTACATTCGCATCTAGGTATTATGTAGTTAACTTTTCGTCGCAAAGTACACTTGTATACGTATTGCTAGCATTGCGACGAAATAAATTTTCAAGAGCTTTTATTGTGTAAAGGAATGTTTAACGCAAATAAATATTACATGATATAGCGTTCGATCGACATGTAAATTGACGCAATGAAAATACAGATGAAATGAAACGCATTTATTTTTTACCAAACTAATTTCCCGCAAATTGAAAGAAATTTCGGTAATCAGGAAACAGGTTTCGTTCGATAATAATAGTTGAAATTGTTACGTTTCTGGTACACCTTTATTAAAAGTTGTTGCACGCTTAAATGTTTTGGGAATACAAATAAATTAAACAAAATGTCAATTATCATTTTAATCTCAATATATTTCACGATCAATTGTAATTTTGCCAATAGTTTCGCTAAAGGTTAAATGCTCGAAAGTATCGATAATTGTGTAAATTGATTTACCACCTAAGGACGACAACGTTCCAAAAATCGCGGGTAAAGACATACTTCGCGTATATGATACCTGTTTAGAAGCCAACACAGAAACCGTTCGAGGCCCAATCCGTATCCACCGTGAGGGCAGGTTCCATATTTTCGCTGAAAACATTCCACAAACGGTCTCCATTAACAACGAGATGGAAAATATGACCGATAGATAACTCGACACTCACCTGATCCGTGTACCAATAATACGGTTTCGGGTCGATGTTCTCGCGAGCATAACCCTCCAACAATTCATCGTACTTATAAATACGCATCGAACCCCCGACTATCTCACCGACGTTCGGCAAAAGCACATCCACGGATTCCGTGAGCCGTTTATCCTCGGCACAGCGTTGCATGTAAAACGACTTGATCTCCACAGGAAATCTACAGAGCATTATCGGCTCATTTATCATGTCGGTCATTTTTCTCTCTGGCATCTCTGGAATGTCCTAAAATAAAACAAAATAAAAAAAAAAAACGAAATTGTTTCTTTCCTCCCGTTATAAGAAATCAAATAAAAAATCAATAAGAATGATCGATCTTTAAATGACATTCGCGTTTACTAATTGTACCTCTCCAAATTCATAAAATGTTCCGTCTTCCTTAGTTATACCGTTAACTCGGAGATACTCGATCGCGTCACTGTAATTCATTCTCTTGAATGGTCTTTTTGGTATTTCAAAATCAGGATTCAGTTCCTTCACGAGATGACCGAGAGAAGAATTTAAGACACGATCGACAACATCGCATATTAAATCTTCCAAACGATCGAGTAGTTGATCGAATGTAATGAATGCGAACTCTGCTTCCACATGCATATATCTAAAACATCAAGACTCGATCAATTTTATTTATATGAAGGAATAGAGAGGAAGAGAACACATCACATATTCCATGTAGTTACTCTGCGAGATGTCTCCGAGTCCTAGATTGTTCTGCTCTGTAAGATTGCGTGATACAATACACATCGCCCATTGCTGGAAGACAAGTTTCAAGATAAAGTTGCGAACTTTGAGTTAAGAACGCCTCTTCCCTACAAAGAAAAACAAAATAAATTCAAACATAATATTTTCGAAACGAATCCGTAACCGAATCAGACGAACGTGCACTCTAAAGTGTTGCTACACTTACCCAAAGTAATCCAGCTTAAACAAGGTCGATCCACCTTCTACCTGCGTTTGAACCAAAGTCGGTGGTGTTACTTCGCAGTAACCTCTGTCTTTATAATGATCCCTAAATGCCTGCGTCAATACGTGCCTCATCATCAATACGCGAGACGTCTAAAACAAATCGTAATTAACGCATTGGGTATCCAGAAAAGTTATTTACAATTTAGTTTTGTAAAAATGGAAATAAATCGTTTCCAACCTTTCAAAATAGGTTAATTTTAATATATTAATTATCTTACATTTTCGCCACGAATCATCATGTGTCTGTTATCTAGCTGCACATCGGGAAGAGCCTCTTCGTTCAAAATAGAATCTGCACCACCCGGAGGAGATGCCCCTATTAATTTCCAATAATCGACGTGCAATTCATGCCCATTCGGAGCCTAAAAATCAACGACTACAGAAACTCGAAAAAATGTTCCATCAGCTCTATTAAGCGCGAAATAATACATTTTTTCCTTCAGGTACAGTTTTCAGAGTACCAAACACTTGGATGGAAGCTTCCGTGGATAACGTCAATGCATCGTACGTTTGACATAAAAGATCGCTAAGTACGCACTGCAAGAAACCAGTTCCATCTCGCAATGTAACAAACATTAGCGATTTCCCTATAACAATGTAACGCCTAATTAATACTTGTAAAACAATAATGATTCATTGCAAATGTTTTACGCTCGATCCAAACGATTCTGTACATACTGTCACAGACGCACGGTAAGCGCTAAGCATATTTCAGTTTCCAACTAATAAAGTTGAATCGGTAATGCGTATTCTATGCCTTCAATTTCATACGTCTGTGGTAATCTGAACGGAATTGTCCAAACGCGCCCCGTACCTTGACGTCTAAGTCTGTGTACCCATCCGTAGAGTTTTACACGCCGACCTCGATAATCGACGCTCTCTTTGATCTTTATAAGCGTAGCAGACGACAAACTCTCGTCTTCTTTAATTACAATTGTTTTGGCCCCTTCCAAGTTCTTCAACCGTTTTTCTTCATCCTCCAACAACTTCTTTTCTTTGTTCTCATTCTTATATTGTTCTCTGACCCAAATTTTTTGCACCTTTTTTAATTGAGATTTAGACGCTATTTCATACTTTTTACCATCTTCTTGAGAATCTTGATAAATCGGTGGAAACGGTTCTTTTCCGGCATAGCGCATCGCTTTTAAAATTGTCTTGAAAGGATTAGATTCTGAACCGTCGCCAAGTTCGTCATTTCCATTCTTCTGAGAAGTATAAATGGCACCTAAAACAAAAAATATGAAAACTTTGCTTTTTATATGTAAAAATTAGAAATGCAAAGATATATTATACATGCTGCATGCTAAAAAAACGTAACTTTTAACGCACATGGGCATCTAATCGACTGAACGCGTATATGCACGCATCGTCAGCCAAGAGTTAAAGATATTAACGTGACGATATAAATGCAAAACTTGAAATGCCTAAGAATACTTTGGTCGTTTACATTGGTTGTAAGCCACAAAAATTGTAAGTAACAAAAATTTACCTGGCGACAAGTCAAATGTTTCCTTCTCAGGCATTGTTTGTTTTTATGTAAATTTACTGTATGTAAATAAGATTCTTTTCCTCTTCCCGTGATTTTTCTCTTCTTTTCTGACAATGTCCTGAGCTTTAGTTATGCTTTAAATAAAATTAAAACATTATTGTAATTATAAATTCACTGATGCTAGACGTGGCTGATATATTTAATTGATGTTACCTTAACTCGCTATGGATAAACGCAAGAAATTAAGGATGAAACTTCATGGTTGAATCAATTTGGTCTGCTCGCTAATTGAACCAAGTTCAACGTCAATTGACACGTAGGAAGTAGATAATTGGTAAGTGTAATTATTCACTGATGCTCGTAATCACAAATTTAATGAAAATGTGATGCAATACAGTAATACAAATACAACCGACAACGCTCTCCAGTGACTTTACATTGGAATTGCGATTAGGTATTGCCTATTGCCTATTGGGTGGATTCAGAAAAATCATCGCTCATTAAGCCGCTCAATGAGCGAGTGGATTAGTTCTAGTGGCGCCATCGGTGTGAAAACGCCCGAGTTTGTAGTAAAAATAGTTGCTACCGCTTGTGTAAGATGGCGTCGTTGGTATTTCAAACAAAATATAAATTTAATTTCTATATACTGAACAATAATACAACGTGTGTATAATGTTATTTGCAAATAAACGTTTTTTTTTTAATTACGACCACTACCCACTACTACCGGGATAAAACAGAAAAGGCACCACACTGCCATGGTGGCAAAACGCCCAAACTTGTAGTGGAAAATAGTCCCGACTCTGTTGACCCGCTAGATGGCGCTACCAATTTGTTTTCATAAATTATGCTTTATTTACCATATATATACATAATTAGTACGATTCTGTGCTTTACGACACCAGAATATATATCAATTAATACGTGATATTTATCATTTTTATGAAGAGTTATTTGATGGTGCAATAATTAGCATAATAGTGGGAACTATTTTCACTAGAAACTTGGGCGATTCGCCACCGATGGCGGTTAGAGGGTTCTGATCGAAGCTTCCAAAACATTTTTCAATAGATTTCTATAGATTTTTTTGGGAAAAATTCACTCGACTAAAATGTGGAGCGAATGCGCGTAATTTTCAAAATTATATTTTCTCTATATTTAAACAAAACATGTTGTAAAAGAAAAGTAACAAGTAACAAGGAAAAATGGGAAAATGTCGAACAAGGTGAAAAAAAATTGGCCATGAAGATGCATTCGCAATGAGACGTTTCCATTTGAAAGTCGTATCGGTAGGGTGTTTATCGATGAAAAGCAAGAGAGGTATTGTATCTATTCGGATAGTTGACAAAGCATAGCGACCCCTCTCATAATCCAGTGTTCCGGTGGTTTTACGGTGGGTAAGGTCATAGCGATAACAAAGTTGGTCGAATGTCCAGTGGTTGATAATACTCCTCGCCTTTCGCTGGTTTTGTACACTGGACAAAGATAAGTTATTCTCTCCTTAATGTCCTCTTGTTTCATAGGAATCAACCATAACTGTAATGATAATGGTAATACTAGTAATACTAATACTAATAATAATAATACTAATAATACTAATAATAATAATAATAATAATAACGTTTGCGACAGCGGAGAAGAAGAAAATGAGAAAGCGCGAAACAGGGGAAAGTTGGCGAAATAGTAATCGGGAAAACGATAGAAGAAGAAAAAGAAGAATATTTACAGGGGGCATATTTTCGTAGAGTACTTTCGGGATACTTTCGTCTAGGCACATTTGTTTCATGTTGAATCGTGCACCGTCTAGAAACAATCCGTATACATAAACTCCGTCCTCGGGAGCAGAGATACCAGCTGTTCCACTTTCCAATACAACAAAGTCAAAGACCAAAAGATCTATGGGTATTTGGTATTTCCTCGCGTAGTTTTGTCTGGTTCCGGTGAGGAACGCTTGAGTAAAGTAAAATCCTGAGATCCAATAAAAGATCGGAGGTCCCTCTTCGTACCAACTCTAAAGATCGATGCAACAGTAAAATACACGAGACCGTACCATTTTCGATTTGTTTGCTATGCTGTATTCGTAATATGTATGTATACATATAGATACATACATACATACATACATATACACATGTATAATAAAGTCTTACTCGAAGGAAATTGAGGCGACGCAACAAATCGCGCACGTAACTACCAAGAGGTTTTAAAGACGGATAAGAGTGTTGTTTCCACAACTCTGGTATTTTGTTGATCAAGATCGCGTCGTAAATGTCTTCGAGATCAAAGGACATTACGATGAGGCCTGTAAGGGAAAGTTGTAAGTACGCATAGTAACTACGTATTTATAGTACATATGTATATGTAGAATATCGATATCCGGTGAAGTAAAATTAATAGTAGTTAACGGTCGTGTGCTACTAAACCTTTGATGGCTCGTTGAATGTTCTCTAGGCTGTTCCTAATGTAGCCAAGTAGTTTGTTGAATCTAGCCATTTCTTGTACCAAAACGGTATTCATGCTTTGCTCGTAGGACGTTGGATACTTCCGAAGCGCTAATACGAGATCGTAATCGGTTGGTAACATGTTGAAAATTTCGCTGGCGATGTCTAAGACTATTTGGTCGTTGGAAGTTTGGCCGGTTGCAGATTTCGTCGTTTCCTGTGATAAACGATTAAACAAGATTTTCATGATCATTTTCTTGTTGAAATCGTAGCCACCGTTTGGTTGTGGTAAACGATCGAATAGCGAAATATCGTTTTTGCGCGTACGGTAACCCTACTAACCTTTCTCGACTGCCAGAGATCCTAAGAGTATCCAACGCGGATGCAATGCAATGCAACACTTTGTGAAATTAATGTATCGATGGTGAAAAAGAAGAAAAAGAATAGGTAGAGCAAGCATACGGATTCTGTACATACCCCACGGTCCTGATAAAACGTGGCTCGTATAAAAGAAAGTTGGATGACGGTTGAATGATGAACGAGAAAGGTTCGAAAGCGATAGAGTTTCAAAGTTTCATTCGTTATCGATAAGATATTGTACCTGCGTGAGGAGTATCGATGCGAATAAAAGATTCGTTTCCTGCTGGTCCTTGATAATATCAGCGTTTTCGTTCATACCGAAGACGCTTGGCTCGGTGATTAAAGGTAAATCTCTGGTGTATTCCATGAACGCTTCGTGTTCTCGAACGTTTGGACAATAATAAACGTTGGAAGTGTCGTCGAAATAGTAGAGTTTGTCGGTGAGTAATTTTCTGGAAAAAGGATTGAAATTGCGAGAACGTAAATAGAGAATAGATGAGATAATGGATGAAACTCGCATCGGATGGATTACTTACTCGCAATAAAACTTGGAGAGGATAGTGTTGAGAGTTCTGCGGTCCCAGTCATCCGTTACTCTGCCGCCATAGTTGCATTCTCCGGTAAGATATTTGAGAGCGTCGAATCTTACGTGTTCGTATTCGTCGAGAAAGAGATGTAATTGCAAGACGCTGATCCGAAGGTCCGTCTCGTTGAATTCGTACCTGATGTTCCAACCGATCGGGCCGAAATTTCGCCTCTCCTGTACGATCGCGTGAAAGAAGCACAACGAATAAAGAAGTTTCTTAAAGTACTCGGTTTGAGAACAAGATTCGAAAAAATCCGGATCGCTGATCGGATCGCTGGTGTACGATCTAAGGATGTTCGCTCTTAGTCCTTTCGGCGGTTCGTTGGTCATCTTGATGCTGTTTTCGAGGACCGAGGAGGGAAAGTGTTCGGAAGGGTAGCTCGTCAACCATAATCGAAATTCGGAATGAATCGTATCGGGCATGAAACCTTCGCAAATGTTTTCCAAGGTACTCATCCAACTGACCGCCAAATGACAGTTTTGCAACACGACCCAGTTACCGACTATTACAGCCGTTTGAATGGTCTCCTCGGCAACGGGACCTTGGCCTGTCGAGCAGAGTCCGTTAATCGTTAAATGCGCGAATGCAACATTGGTCGATGCTGATTGCTCACCCTGGCCGAGAGACAGGTAAAACAGACGACTAGCGGTGTAACCTTGCTCGTCCGCAAACGTGAGCAACAACTGGCCCGGATCGGTGCCGGGCGTCAAGATGAATACCAGCGGGGTACAAGAATTGGAATCGGCGTAAGAGGATGATAAATCGAACGGCGGCGGTTCGACGAATCGCGGACCGAGTTTCGCTGAAACGAAATTGACAATCAGATCGCGCGACACGTTTCGAGCTACCAAGTATTTTTCATAGACGGCTGGTACCTTGGACAAACTTTTGTACCGCCGGAACGATCTTGTCCGGACGAATGCACCTCAGTATCAACATCCTTTCGAACAAATTCAAAGCATCGAATGGCTTTGGGATCGTCGCGTTCTGCGGTTCCTTCGAGTCGAACAGTTTTCTCCATTGGTCGGTGTTTTCCGTAAAGCTTTTTCGAACACCCTGACGAACGGAATCGATAACGATATTAAATTGGTCGCGAGTAACAGAGGAAAGGAAAGGAAACGCACCGAGAATGATTCGACGTTGTCGAGATTACACAATTCGTTCCATTGTTTGGCCGGTAGCCAGGTTGTCGGATTCGCGTATGGATTATCGATACCGATTCCACCTGTCAGCAAAAACATCCAGTGCGACAGAGAGATATTTCCCTGCTGTTTGAGCAAATTGATCGCTAATAGGAGCGAGAACAGTAGCTTGTCCTTCTCAAACAGCGATCTGCAAACGTTTGCGTAAAGGGAATACGTGAAATAGTTGACGAGATCCGATAACCGTTGTTCCACGGTTTCCGCCGGCTCCGTGTTATCGATAGCCAATTCGAATAAATTCACGAACCATGGCAACGAATACTGGTACATCGGATCGACGTGTGCCAGCATTGCTGAAACGAAAACGTAATCCAATTATTTATCTCTGGTTGCTTGGACATGTTGGAAATTGATGGAAATACGTAGAATGTCGATGTGAATACCGATAGTAAAGAAAAGTACGGTCGAATAGACAGCGATCGGTGTGTACTGTAATCTGGCAGCGTCGATCGACGCCTCCGTTTGTTCGGCCGCTGTTTGTTTCGTTTGAATATCGTCGCTCAGATTTTTCGACGATGTTAACATTTGGATAGCCTCCTCGTCCTCCAATATATTGCCCTCGGAAATCGACAATATCTCCAAGATTTTGTCCTCCGTTTCTTGAAGAAGTCTAAAAGAACGAGAACGAGTTAAGAAAGATAGACGGGAGGTAGCGATGACACAAACTTTTTGTTTGCGGCCCCCTGCACAATCAAGGCATTTTTCTCCGATTCCAAGTCGGGCCTTTCCTTTGCGACCACGATTCCTAATAGTTGGTCTTCCAGTCCACTCGGCGTTATCATGAAATTTAATAAGGTTACCTTAACCGCTACCTCTGGTAGATAATGGGGGTTTCTCAATCTCGTGGTGATGTAGAGTCTGCGAGTGAAATAACGGTAACGGCTATAGGCTATTAATTAGGATACATTAGATAAAGGGTTTCTTCAATTTATTTTCTGGCAATTTCACCTGAAATTTCGATTGTATTCGACGATCGCATCCCCGAATTTTATACAGAGCGCACCGGCTTGCCTGAACGTTTCTTTCATCAGAACTGGTTCGAGAACCGCGTCTATTTCTTCACCGACGCGCTCCAAAAGTACCGGTTGACCAAATTGCAACGCATTTTCCAATACTCGAGCGTAGTCGGGTTGATTCAGTCGAATAATATTCACGTTATTCTCTCTTTCCATGTTTCTTATCCATCTATTTGCTTGACCTTGAGGATCTATGATCAGCGGCCATCTTCTCGCACTTCTGAATATTTCACGCAACAAGTTGGATAGAGTCGTAAAACGGTAAAAGAGATCATTTTTGTCCAACGACAACTCACTCGACGATGATACCGTTCTCGATAGAATAGGCGTCGTTCGGTAAGCCAAAGATATTCCAAGATCTGATTAAAACTGGATCTCCGAGAACGTCGCGTAATTGAAAGTCTTTGGTGCAAATCACTCGCAAGTCGGTGCAACGTTGTATCCAGATAGCGATTTGTCGAATGCGAAACGGCATCGTGAACGGACCCAAGTACGCTACTACGCCAGAGGCGATCACAACGTCGCCCGTTAACCGGTAATATCTAGAAAATTACGCCAGACTCGACGGATATGTACGATATATCGAAATTTATCACCCACCTCTCTCCGAGAGTTGTCGCCGTCTCGGACCAACGCGTGTATTCTCCGCCCAATCCTCCGATCAACTCTTCGGCGCGTTTCAATTTAGTCTCGCAATTCGCCACTTTGTCGGACATATTTTGAAAAGCTATTCTTCTTTGTTCCAAAATCTCTCGTAACGATTGAAGTTTCTCCTAATACGCGAAACCAAATCTTTTTCCTTTTCGTTTTAGAAGAAAAATTGGACAATTTAAAGAATATCCGTGGCACGAATCGAACCTGTACTTGTCCAAGTTGTTCTCGTTTCGCCTCAAGATTCTCCATGGCGGTGTCGTAAACCTTTTGGGCTTCGGCGAGAGCTCTTCTTTTCGGGGCAACGACTTTCGATACTTTATCGTATTCCGACATTGCGTACACCCATCGGCAAAGACCCTCGCAAGCCGTCGATACTTTCTTTATCTTCTCGGGATCAAAGTCTGGATTGGTTAGATATTGTTTACGAATTTTCTCGATTACGTTGTCGGGTATATTGTCTTTGTCGAAATTGATCAAGGAATCGAGGAACCTGATGTCGCTCAGCATTCGTAGCGCCGCTCTCCAGTAATCCTCCTGATGGGTGCCGTCCGGTTGCGGAACTTTTTCTGCTTTGATTTGCTGTCAAGCGTAAACGAGCTATTACGTGATTGGAATGAAATAAAATAACGAAATCGAACAGAGTATCGTTACCTTAAGAACGCAAACGCTCTCGACGATTAATTTAATTCCGTACGGTGGTTGTTTCATCGTTCGAATGATCGCGATATCAGCAGTTGTTAACGTATCCAGCGCAGCTTGAGCGCGTTTCAAGATTGGCATGGCCTCGGCCAAATCAGCGTCACATTCGGCTTTGATCGCAGCGGCTTCGCTCGCGTATGTCTGAACATTTTTAAGAATCAGAATATAGAATGGAATAGAATGGAATCGAATCATGGATGGATTGATCGACGCAGTTCTCTAACCTCGGCTGCGTTCTCATCGATTTTTACGACTCGTTCGAATTCTGCCACCTCTTGCTGTTCCTTGTCTACGTCGAGCAGCATTTTCTGAACGTCTCGAGTCGCGGTTATTAATTCCGGTTGCAACAACTTTAACGTCTCTTGCATCGTTGCCACTTGTTTTTTAGTGTCGTCCAGCTGACCCAAACCGCGGTTGTATCGAGTTTTCGCGTTCGTTATCTCTCTGTTTGATTTTTTCTTTAAGTCGTTTTGCGTAGATTTTCAGTACCAAGAAGATAAGGACTCGAGCATACCAGCAATATTTCGCACGATTAGTAGTTGATCGAGACGTTAAAAAGTACGCTGGTACGCCTGAGCTCTTATTCGATTCGGACCGATGCATGCGATGAGACTCGCGAACGATATCGTTACGATATACTTACTCGCGTTTTTTCTCTAGCAAATCTTTAAAGGTGTTTATCATCTCGAGATAGGAAGTAGGGGTGACGTAAACGTATCTGTTTAGTCGAATCAAAAACTCCGAGCTAAGATTCTCCGTGGATACGTGAAAGAATTGACACATGTCGATACCAGCGATTCTTTCGTGATCCGTCAAGTCGATCGTTGCTAAAAATCTAGTTGCGACCGCTAATAGTGCGTCCTGCGGCCACGGCTACGGTAACGGTAACGATACAAGTCAAATAACATGAAATATATCTATACATGTGTATAGTATGTAAATTTGAAGAGTTTCAAACAGCTTGAAAGGATAACGAATACCTGAAGCCAATCGATGGTGCAGCAGTTGACTAGTGCTGGAAATTTTCTAATACGATTGCGAAAATTGTTGCCTATCGGAGACATAACTACCACAATGTGCAATTGATCGCGTGTTATCTGAACGAAAAAATTAAACAAGGCCACTGCGCTACCGTCCGTTTGTACCGATCGATCCCGTTGCCTATCTATTTGTCTCATCTGCTCGCATATCTCGGTCATCTCTTCGGCGGTAAATATGTTCGGTATCTGTAAGTAATTCCACAAGTTTCGTTCGAAAGAAAGGAAAAACAAACACAATTACAGATTATTAGTTCCGTCTGAAAATTGATGTCAAGTTATGTACATACGAGTATGTATATTGTATTCACCTCTCCGGAGTTTAGCATATTGCTGATGTCTTCGAGAAAGCTCTCCTCCTTGATCTGAGTATCGGAAAAGATAAAGCTCGAGTGAAGATCCGTACTAGTGACGCGTTTTAACATTCTTTTCACGTCCTCGTGCCAGGCAGAAACTCCGTATTGTTGCGTGACTTCGATTTGAAAAACATCGTAGTCGCTTATATGGGAGGCTAACCTAGTCAGCGACTGTCTTCCCGAACCGCCAACTCCGACGAGAAGCGCGTGACTTCGCGGTTGCTTGATAATACGAGATATACGAGACAAATGTTCGATGGCGAACCTAACATTTGCGTTTAGTAACATTTAGTATGATCGTATAATACGATATCTCTGTATAATAACACTAGTCGTTTTACTCGCTTACCGAAATAACACCAAATTCATGGGTTTTTTAGTCATTGTATTATACTCGTCCAGATAAGTTTCCACTACTTCTCGTAATTGATCGAGATCCGAAACTTCTTGATAAAGCCGCGTCTCCACCTTTGCGTCTGCGAAATCGCAGTACACCAAATTTCGAAGATGTGCTTCGGTGATGAGTTGCGGCTACGGAACGAACACGAACGTAAAAAACAAACTAATGAAAAAAAAATACAACGAAACGTCAAAAATACAACGGACGTTGGACGACCGATTGGTAAACTTACTTGGTCGTTCGAACTTGTCGGACCACTCGAGGAAAGAAGATCTTGAAACAGCTCTTCCACGACCACATCCATACGGTTACTCAAAGTAACGCGTATTTGCCCTACCAACCAAGATAAATCTTGTCGATTTATCAATCGATCTCCAAACACTCGAAGCACCTCGTGAACCCAAAGTCTTCTCATACTCGTTAGAGTCGACATCGTTTCAGGCACGGATAACAAAACACCCTACCGATAGACAGAGGTTTATTACGGTTTTTTTTACATCGAAATGCTTGTCGTTTTGCCGTATATATGTACATGTACTGTGGACGAAATTCATAAATGGAAAACCTGTATCACTCTGGAGAAGTCTCGAAGATTAAAAACGTAGTGACATTTGGTTGGCGTTGGCAAAAGATTACCAAGGCTCTGCTTGTATACGTCCAACGTAGCCAAGACGATTTCGTCGATGCATGGATCGAATTCTTTGCTGAATCCTCTGAAACGGAAACGCAAAAACGTAACAAAAGTGTTTAGATTGCTGGGTGTGTGTGTGTGGGTGTGTGTGTGTGGTAGCATAGAAAGCAACGTACGAACCTTGTATCGAGATGCCAAAGAACAAGCTTGCTAAATATCATCGTCATTACGTCATCCTCAAACTCCGATATCGTTAAAACGACGAAATGTCTCTTGAATCGAGGTGTAACGTCCTTTCCACCACGGACCGGTGGAGCCATGGCGCACATCAAATGAACGTCGATCAGTTTTATCATCGATTTATCTTTTCTGTCGTACCTGTAGTCCCATTACCAAGATGGAATTGTTAGATCGTTAAAGAACGTTAAATATAATAGTTGTATACCGTTCGAAATATTTACCATTGTCCGTAATCTAACCATTGCCGTAAAAGTTCGATAGGTGGTTGGGCGCCATAAAGTTCCTTCATAGGCATCGAAAGATCGTCGACGAAAACGATCCAACGCTTACTTATCGGTGCTCCGTAAACGCCTTTCCGTCTCCTGTCAAGTTTCCCCATAATCGTGTCCTGCGTTTGGTTCGCCGTAGTTTGCGCCGAGAAATTTATGATTAACGGTTTATTCACCGTAGGATTATTCTTTCTCAATAGAAAGTCGATTATGTAGACAGACTTTCCCGTCCCTGTTGGGCCTACGAACAGCACCGGCTTCTCGTTGCTTACCAACAATCGAAACAGAGACGTGTATCGTATCGTTTCGACCGTAGGTACTATTATTTCATTAACAGGAATATCTCGAGGAATCGATGGACCGTCGAGCAATTCATCCGACCACAATCTCCACTTTCCTTTCCCCTGAAAAATCATCGAACGCGATTATTATACGCGGTATAGTACTCAACGATAGCAACGAACTCACTTCTTTGATGAATCTGTAGTCGAAGACGAGGCCGTTCCGTGGCATCAAAAATATGTACGGCCTTAGAGGTGGCTCTATCGATGTCGGCAATCCAAACTCTTCCATCAAATCGGAAGGAAAATCTTTTTCGAGAAAACCACGGAAGAGAACGCTGAACCGTTCCCTATAACTTGCTTCCAAAGTACCCCCGACAGCCCAAATACACGAGAAGAAAAACGAACCCTGACAAATATTTCGAGAAATATCTCAGACGAAACGAAAATGTCAATTCGAAATATATGTACATTCCCTTATGTTCCTTTATATCATATACATGTACATATGTATACCTCGATTTGCGCTCGAAGGTCTAACTCGTCCATATCCTTGAGCATTTTTTCGTCGCGATACTCGTCGAGGAAACAATCCATTAGATAAGTTAACGAACGTATATGATTCGAGTCGGACATTGGGCATATTTCCTGTATCATTGAAAGCCATGTTCAATGTTGTTAAAAGTGTAAGAACGAAGCAAGTATAATTACGAGACAAGCATGGTACGAGGACCTTGACGTCACCGAGTCGCAACCAATGTAGGAGTGGATCGCAAAATCTTCGAAAGAGCGATCGATATAAAAAGTTTTTCAGCCATTCGTCGATCCCAGTTGGAGTTTTGCCTATCCAAGACTCGAGCAAAGGATTCCAGCCGAGTGCTCCTGGTTCCATGTAAATCATTCCTGAATCGAAGAAATATGATTATTTGAATGAAACGACATAAGATGCATCGAAAAGATCGTACCGCAGCGGGAAACGGTGGCTGGCGATGCTGCTTCCAAATCCATCGTTTCAAATATCAAATTCGTAAACGGTGCCAGTTGAATTATCTCTCCGCTCATCAGGCAAAGCTTCTTATTATCGTCCAATACCGTGTTCATACTCTCGATCCATATCGCATCGACGGGACCATCAAAGATCAACCATTTGCGATCTTGGGTGGTTGAAGTCGCGAAAGCACGGTAACTGATGGCCAATACTCCATCGGACCATTCGTGAGAAACCGGATCAAATTCTCCGTATAATTGACCCAACGAGACAGCTTTGGGACTGATGACGAATCTTTCTACTTTACGTTCGTTTATCAATTTCTGAAACGGGATATAGATGATATATTATACCATTAAGATCGTAATTGTTCTCCGTTTACCCGCTGTTCGCAAAGCTTCAGAGACTCTGCTAGAACGTTAAGAGCAGCGCTCTTTCCAGCAAACGGTAGCCCGACGACCATAAATCCGTGTCTAACAATCATCATTTCGTACATCTGTTGTATTTTCTCCAAAAAGACAGGTGTACATTGGAGTTTCGAGGCTAAACATACATCGTGAGAGCACGCATTCAAATCGGTATAGTCTGGTTTCGGAAGTTCGACTCCAGGAAACAGATCCGACATGATACCCTGAATCGAGGAAAACAAAAAAATAAAGGACAGAGCTACACATATAGTATGATAATAATAATAATAATAATAATAATTCCGTTTGCACGAGCAGCCATCTATTTGGCAATCGATCGAATGGTTTACGAACATTGAACAACGGTAAATCTTCGCTGAGAAATTTTGGTAAATTAACGTCTTTGATACTGCGCAACACTAAAATATCCTCGTTTTGTTCCGGATATTTAATCTTTAGATTTCCAGCGGCCACCAAAACAGATTTCACCGCCCTCATTCCGTAATCGTAATGATTTTGACTGGAAAGTTGTTCGGAACATAGTCTGTAGGTTGTCACGATTTTCACCGAAAGCGGCCGGGCTTCGTAGAATCCGTAAGAATATAACGTGTTCTCGGCAATTAGAGCATAGTCTGGAACCTAAAAGGAAAAAGAGTAGTTTTGCGAATACGAGAAGGTTGTTTCGACTTTCGAGTAGTCGTAGTCGATCGACATCGACACCTACCATCATAGCGACAGGTCGAAACAGGGCTTTCAGATTATCCGGAAGTTCGGTTCTTCCCGCGTATCCAGGATTCATCGTGATGAACACGGCACAAGTAGGGTCTAATTTGATCTGGATACCTTCGAAAACGAGCATTTCCTTTGCAGCATTAATGGCTCGTTGAATAGTTAAAATTTGTTGCGCTACCACCGACAATACTTCCAAATCGATACGATTGAATTCATCGAAGCAAGACCATGCACCCGTACTTGCCAGTCCCTGACAATTATTTGGCATTCCGTGAAATTGTACGTCGTAAAAGTAGCGAAATATTCGTTTAACGATGCCATTTTTGATGTCATACCATAAAAAACTTTCCCAAAGCAATGTAATCAAGACCATCGGAACAATTGAAAACGATACACTGTTTAGCTACTGCTTTTGCCAAATCCTTGGTCGTCTCGGTTTTCCCGGTGCCGGCGGGACCCTCGGGTGCACCGCCAAGATGTAGACTTAAAGCGCTGAACAAGGTCCGATAGCATCTGTCGGTCAACGGTGTTATCACCAATCTCGAAGTATTGCCTAGATACTCGTACGCGTACTTGAACCAAGTATTTATCATCGTTGTCCACAAATGTTGGTCCTGTATCGGTAAGGAAGCAATTGTAATCCGTTGTTCGTATTAGTAGTACTCGTCAGTTTTCTTGCTTACCATCCAATAGTATCTTAGTTGAGCCAACCAGGCAAAATCCGTTACATCGTTAATTCTTTGCTTAAACAACTCCGTTACAACGTCACGGCTATGAACGTCCATCGTAACTAGTGCCTCTGAAATGCATAAACATTCGGATTCTATTTCGAGAATCGAAAATACATAGATGGAATAGACGAATGGTTCGTACCTAAAGTTGTACGATTTTGCGTCGATAACGTTCCACGCACTAATTTCACGATTTCGTGCAATTCGTTTGTACAGATGCGAATATAATTGTCCAAATTAGTGGTAGATTTCGGCAATATATCCGTTACGTCAGCCGTCCAATAAAGTTTGCTGACGCATAGAATCGTTTGACCAGGCCAGATCAGGGCCCATTTCGATCTGGTTTGCTTCGAATACGCATCCTTTGCTTGAATTACCTATTACATTATATTATATTATAATTATAATTATAGATGTGTATTTTGGTGTTGGATAGAAGATTCGGTACTTTTGTTTCGGAGAAAAATGAACGATCCGAGTAAAGCATCGTTCGAGTCCGAATCCGTTTACCTGAGATCTGACGCTCTTTTTCATCGAAGATTCAAGATCGAGCAACCACTTTTCGACCTGTCCTCGAGCCGCCGCCGTATCAACGACATCTTCCAGTCTAATTTCCTCGTCCTCGGACGATTTCATCGACGTTATCTCCATATCGTCCGTAAAGCTTAGTCGCGCGATACCTTCGAAGCATTTTTTTAAATGCGGCTGAACCCTGGTAGGGTCTTTCGTTTCCGACAATATTTCCAAAAGTTCGTCATTCGACAAGAAAAAGAATCGCGGAAAGAACAGCCTCTTCTTTTCCAAGTATGCGGCAAGTCCTTTTTGTATTAGATCGAGCAAATTTGTACATTTCTTTAAGCGATCGAGCATCTTGTCGATTTCAACGACAGACATAACACGGGGATCCGCCGATACGATCTGCATAAGTTCTCTCCAGATCTATGTCGGATTAAATCGGAATTTCGTTAGAATTTTCTCGAGTTTTTTTACAGAATAGAAGAGATGGCAGAAACGGCAACAGCAAGAAAATGAACGTACTTTGTCGACAGCGCTGAATCGTCGACCTTCTTCCGGCATTTGTTGCTGAATATCAGCCGAGGAAAATATCGGCTCGAGATACATCCACGTTGCTTGGACTTGTAGCCAATAGTCCATGATATCTAGCAGCAGGAGTAACTTTGACTCCCATTCTCTGAGCATAGTATCAAATATAGCTTTATTTCATTCGTACAAACGATATAAATATACATGTTGAATGTATGTTGGATGGTAAAAGGTAAAAGGTAAAAGGTGTACTTACAGAGTCTCCTTTTCGAATGGTCGAATGTAAAGAGAATTTTTCATAGTCTGAGCTTTCGTCAAATGATCGTCCAAAAGCAACTGTATGTCATCGATACTGGCAATCACGTATGTACCGGTATCTCGATAAGGATTTACGGTGAACGCGATATCCGCCCAATCGAGATGCATTCGAACAAGAGCTTTCTCCAAACTGCCCTCCTTTGACGCTGCGTCCGATATCCCTTCAAATTTCGAAACGTAGTCGAGCAAACCGTAGTCGAGGATCTACGTTTAAGAAAACAGTCTCGTGATTAGTAAATAGTAAATAGTAAATATGTATGTAGTAACACGCTCGTAGATACCTTAGCGAGCGTCATCGACTCGTCGATCTTTATCGGAAAGCCAACTATCTCGGATACTTGTTCCCAGTGACGATTCTTCATGGATGGATTGCCAAGAGTGGATATTACAGGCATGTGTTCTCTAAACTCTTCTATTTTCGCTAGGATCGTTTCGGCTAGCTTTTTCGCGATCGGTTCTTGTATGGATCTTTCCAGTCTGTAGATGGTGCGATAAGCGGTTCCTGTCACGGTATCGATTTCTTCGGGATCGTGAGAACCCACCATGGAATTCATCCACGTATCGTAATTGATTAAGAAATCGCAGCCACCATCGTATAATCGTTTGTACGGCGATAGTTTATCCGCTGTCTAACATCATCGCGGCGCGTTTCAAACAGAAAAGAAGAAAACACTTGACTTGACAACTTGATTGGTATCCATCCACGTAATCCTTGGATTACGCAGACCAAACGAATGGGATAAGCCCCTACCGAACATGTTACGATATTTCGGAAAAAAAGTAAACAAAAGATAGACGTGTCGAATCGAGTAAGCTCCTCCTTTTCAAAGTAGCTCGAAGAGTACGTCTCGTACTCACCGCTTTTCGTAACGGATACTCCGACACTTGCCAACCAAACAACTCTTCTTCCTCGTTGAATCTATCGATCGTGTCCATCGCAACGATCAATTTCTCCTCCAAACGATCAGCCTTCTTCTTGTATCGATATATCTCTTCGAGATTACCCCAATATTGCAATTCGTCGCAATATTTTCTATACGTTTCCAGCTCTCGTACAAATTGTTCGATCCTCTTTCTTAAGCTCTTTTGATATTCTCCACTTTTACTCGCAATTATATCTCTGTGTTGCTCCAACACTTCCGGAAGCTTGTGGTACCTTGGGTTATGCTTTGTAAGAATAGGAATCGGTATGTTCGACTTTCACTTACCATTGAAAAGCAAAGTTATTGGTCTTCAATTCGACAGGACTCAAGGCCGAATAATCCGATAGAAAGACTAGGTATTTAATCACTTCTTTTAAACGATTTTCCAATCTAAAGCCAGTCTCCGTTTCCGTGACGCGTATAAATTCTTTAAGTTGCATCAATTCCATCGTATTTGCCGGAATGCTTAAAGCACGGTCCACGATATATTGATAGTCATCTCCTATACTAAATATAGATATACACGGTATATAGAAAAGAAATGAAACGATTCGTACAGAGTTAATCCAAGTAGGTACGTGTACTCGTATGTATACTTACGCTCGAGACTTTTGTTGGTAAACGGTGATCATTCTAGCAAGCAATTCCTCTTTGAGTCGGCGAGCTATCGAGGCAATATGATCTATAAAGTCTCCTCTGTGGACGACGAAAAATTTACCGAAATAAGTTCGATGAAATTCGAGCGTTATACGCCGCGAAAGCTGATCGTAGTGTTCGATTAAAACTCGGAAGCTTTCGAAATTGCTATCGGTTTCAGGTTTCAAGAACTCTTCGATTTTCTTTGTTTCGGTACCGTCCATTAAACTCGTGTATTTTTCAAATTCTTCAACTTGCAGCTCGAGTTCAGCTTTCTCGCTGTTTATTAGTCGTTCGATTTTTTTTGTTTGTCGCTCAAAATACTCGATCGATATACGCGGCTGCGATGTTAAATCGAACATGCAACGTTATCCTACCACTCTGATCGTAAAATCGTTCAAGTAAATCAAACTATCAAATTACCTCGAGGGATGTCCGAGCGAAATCTATCGTAGAAACGGTCCATTGCGTTAACGTTTCGAGCAACGGCAACCCGACAACTGCTTCCCGTGGTGAATTCAATAGCCTCGACAGCACTTCCACAAACCTCTTAAACGTCGGTTCGAATAATACGATCGTGTTTCTTACCATTAACTTTATATCGAAGCCAGAACGCGCATGCTACGAACGAAACGCGCGTGCAAGTCGAATCTATTTTCTTTCGAATCCATTTAGCGTTACTTTCCTTTTACTTACGTTTCTATTGAAAAGATAATCGATGTACTCTTCCATCGATTCCAAACAAAGTCTTCGTAACTGATCTTCCATAATAAAAGCTAGACAATTTAAAAATCTTTTCAATCTCGGAGCGTCGCTCCTCGAAGGTAACTCGTTTCTCTCGTAGGCCTAAAATTTCACCATTCCATTCACCTATTTTCCTCTTACGTATTCTACAATATATCGTACGTAGATACAACAAATTCGTACCGTAAATAAAATGGTTCGGAGTTTTGGTAGCCAGTATTTGGCAAGATCCTCCCTCGTTCGAAGACACATCTTCGAGATGGCTTTCTCGAAACTAGCAAGATCGTACGATGTACCGTGTCCCATCAATTCTTGTTCACTTATCAATTTTCTCTCGCTGTTTCACGTGTATGCATTACGTATGAATATATTTATCGTAGCAAGTTGCCATAGTAGCAGAAATACGTGAAATGTACTGGAAAACCAACCTGAATTCGCGATACCAATAATCTATAATTCGTCGCACCGCTGGACAATAAAGGATCATTGTTTTCTCCAATTTCGCTCTAGTACGTTGATAATTGATCGTATGTTCTACCGGAAGTCGAATCACTTTAACTTTTTTATTTCTCTCGAACACGCTCACCTGAAAATGCTAGCCACTCTCGATTTCCGTTCTATCCTCTCTCTCTCTCTCTCTCTCTCGCCTACCCTCATCTTTCTTCCACCCATTCGATTTTCATCGCTGGACTTTTTCATCTACCACAACTTATTTCTATTACTACTAAAAAGAGCACAGGCTGATTGTACAAAATATACAGTTTATGATTTCAAAGTAAATCCTCGTAGCTTGTAATTGTAAGCTATTTCGTCACGAAAGAATAATAATAAGAAGAAGAATAATTAAATGGAATTAATAGGGGAATTGCAAGATTAATAGGGGATCGGACTATTAGAAAAGTATACGTGACTATGTATTTATGCATACACCCACCTGATCGAACGAAAATTGCGACGAATCACCGATAACAAACTCAACCACTGATTTCTTCACGTTCAGGGCATATTCTTGTTTCACTTCGATTACCAAACCAGCTACAGATTCCTTAAATTTGTTTTGCCACTTGGCTGGCACCATCCGTAAGATCTTCCCCAAAAGATCGGGATCCATTGATCCTACGTAAACGTCATCGATACCGTGCGTTAAGTAATAATAATATCGCAAGATATCTTTGTCTTTGTTTGTGATCAAATCTTTGGTTTCTTCTTCTTTTACTTTTTCTTTAACGCTTGGCTCGATTTCGGCCGTACTGCACAACGGTTTCTCCCTTTTCATCATTTCGATAAGTTCGACACGAAAATTTTCCCTTTCTCGGCATAACGACAGATACTTGTTTCGTTTTAAAACTGATTTTTCCTTGTTGCGTTCCATAGTATCATCGATTAAGCTCCGATGTATCTACTCGATGAATCGTCAAATATTGCTCGATTCGAGTTGATATTTTGATATTGTAATCGGTGTAATCGTATCAATAGTTGACCGATAAACTAACCATTACGATCGGTGGTAAGATTTCCGCTTAAATACTCAAGTACCGTTTACTGAACTACTTTACCTTTTAACCTAACGACACATGCTTTTTCGATATTTGCTCGCTACACCGAAACATGAGGTAACTTTCCATGACAACCGTGACTTTCCATGACAGTCGTACGTACATGTATGTACGTATAATTTGCCATCGCCATCGCAGATCACACGCTTATCTCGATAAATAAAAATTATAAAAGCAAACAAAACTATACGCACACTCTGTGAAATTTTTGTCTGTATCTCTATATTTATTAACGGATACACAAAATTAATAGTATATTTGCTTATATAATTAACAGTCGTATAGATTATTTCGTACTGTAACGGTTCATTCGAGTTGATGGATAAATTATTCGCGTAGCAAATTCCGCGTAGGTTTTTTCAGAAACCAATCATCGAATATGCGCTTTAGATTATCGCTGGAGAAAAAATAGAATATATATGTATATAAACTCGCGTGCACGTGTAACATATTCGTTTGATTGTCAGTCGACCGATGTCTTTTACTTGTTGTTCCCATACCACATCGAGTGATTGTACGATAAATTGAAATACCGATTCTTACTGCTTCTCTCACACACACACACACACGCACGCACGCACGCACGCACGCACGCACACACGCACACACGCGCGCGCGTGCACTCTTTTTTAATTAAAAATTATCCGATAAATAGGTAGTTTGCAGTACTTGTTCCACTGTACGATGAATAAAATTAGTTTCGGTACGAGCCGCTGTCGGAAATATTCTAGATATGTAAATACAAAGCAAATAGTGGACAATGTTCCAAGAGGAAAGTTTATTTCCGAATCACCTTTTATGATATGATATTCAATTATCGGTATATTTTATTCGGAAATACATTTCACGTGTGCGACGAGTTGATTTTCCTAGACTTGTACGTGACCCTTCCTCGAGGACAAATTTTCTACAGTTGCGCGATACATTTGGAACAATATTTGTGAGCCGTATATGCGTATAGAGTAAAAAATAGAAGAAAATGAGGAAAAGCTTTTATTATATCGTTGTCCGAAACGGATATTCTGTTTTGGGTTAATTACGTGTCTTAACGGTTTGGCAATCGAATCAATAGTTGCTCGGCAATGTACGGTAATTCTGGATGGCAGCGAGCGATTAGGGTCTCGTGAAGCGATACCGGTACGGTGTCCAGGCGAATAATTCTACGAAAAGAATAGATACACTGAATAGATAGTATACATTGTTTTGAACTACGTGTAGTATGTATATCTGTATGGGTTGCAACGTGCAGGATGTTACCGCGTGTCTCGATACTCGATACCATTTCATTGTTAGCATGCGTGACAATGTTATTCTATAGAGATTAGAAATCGTGGATAAATAGTATTTAATTTTCATTTCCTGTAGGTATAGTTGCGTGGAAAAAAATAGATGGTTCGACGGTTCGATACGCTTTACGATTTACCATTGTTGGTGAAACATGGGCAGAGAGCGTTCAATACTCGATTGCAGAATCCACGTGCACGATGATTCCACCCCGCGATATTATCCACACCTTTCAGTCTAGTTCCTATGCAAACATACATTACTCTCTCTCTCTCTCTCTTTCTTACTCGTACTCGCACACATATACACTCACATTACATCTATATTACTTTTCAAACAACCTCGTAGAATCGTTTCGAATATTATTCTTACCTTCGTCGGCGTCACCACCCTGAAACATCAAATGATTATTAATTCTGATAAACGCGTCAATTATTTGGATCGAATCGAAAGTTGTACGTGGCTTACCTCCGAATGTGCTTTACTCTTCGAGGCCTCGGTGGTTGCCGTTTCGATAACTTCGCTTACAAATTTCGTGGTTTCTCGCATCAGCTCTTCGTCGTCTTTAAATGCCTCCTTCCTCTGATTTAACGTGCCCGTGGCTAAAATCTTTTCTCGTTCCTCCATACTCCATTTACAAGATCCGATATCGTTCGCCCCCTCGATCATGGTTAGTACGATAACAGTGAGGATTGTATAGCGTTGATCCGACGAACCTTTGTCGCGTACAAATTAAATACGTTTACACGCCGGCAAAACTACCGATATAGTCGTCCCTTTTTAAAACGCTTTCGTTAAAAAAAATAGTAAGCCAAATCGAGTAAACGAACGTTGCTCCGACAAGCTCTTTCCGTTTTATTTCTTTACTCCCTTATTCCTTCTTCTCTCTTCCTTTCTATCCTCTCCACTTTATTTTCGTTTTCGTCTACTACTACTACTACTACTACTACTACTTCTTCTTCTTCTTCTTCTTCTTCTTCTTCTTCTCCTTCGTTTTCTTCGTCTTCTTCGTCTTCTTCTTCGTTTCCTCTGTTCTCTGTTGTGAGAGAAACTTGAACGCCTCAAATTATAAAGATGATCGCATAATCGGCTCCGATAACGATCGAATCGTATTCAAGTTCGCACCGCTGATAACAATTGTAAAGTAATATCGTGACTGTACGTGCTTCGCTGAAAAAGTGTAATCTACATACGCGTCATATTTCATCCCGTTGTGTATGGTAAAAGTGACACACGCGTAAAGAAATCTATCTAGTGTTGCGTCGCGTCTTCAATTTAATTTGTAACTCGGAATCGGTTGTTTTTTGCTAGCCCTTTCTTCAACTATTCAAGTTACACAAAGTTATCTTGCACGCATAGAGCGACAAGTGTAAAACGCGTAGTAAATCGAGTAGTAAATGACTTGTAAGATTCGATAAAGAAGGAAATAAGAAAGGTGGCGAAAAGAGGTAAAAAGAGAAGCGTTTCACTTACATTTGTAAAGAAGCTTGACGAGAGAGGGGCGGTTGACCTTTTCAGAGTAGATATCGAGCTACAGGTGGTGCGCATTCGTTTTACGATAGAGCCTAGATTCGGACTATCCGATGTCGGCATGCATCCAGAAAGCAGTTTGTTTTGTTATCGGACGTTGGTTTCGCTTCGCCTGGCACGTTAGTTTCACCGTCGATAGTTTATTCGATTTTAATCAAATTTAATGCATCTTATCTCAAAGAATCGGTTAGTTCCAAGCGTTCAAAGTTCCAACGAAAGAAATTTAATACATCTACGGTAATATTTTAATATCGGTTTCGCTTATGCTTCATCGCCTCTTCTTTTACCCCTTTTCACATACCGAAGTAGATTAGTATCCGCGTCAAATAATGGTCGATGCTGCCGGTTGTCGAAATTCTTTCGAGTAAATAACCATAGCTGACCAGAAGAATATGAACGATAACGATCGATATACGTTCCGAATTATGACTGGCGGTATGTCCGGTCACTGATGTCTGATTCACCTCGTAACGATCGAACGGTTTGTCAGCCTCGCCTGGCCAAGTACCGAGGTGGCGAGTTGCTTTCCCTCACTGAATATTACCCCGGGAAAAGGTTTCGGAGCATGCGTTCCGCCATCCGCGGCCCGCGCACGCCACTATAGCGTACTGCTATTTACTCGTACTTACCTACCCGATCATTTTCGGTCGCGCGCGCGGTTTACCATTCTCTTTCTATTCTGCTAATCCACCCTCGCCGATCTCGCTCTCGATCTCTTTCGATTTATTATATTATATTACGTTTTTACTTTCCACCTTTTCTCCTACAAATCTATTTTCTTTGCTTTCTTTCGCGTCGTTTGCCCATACATTCTTACCGTCCTTAAAGATAAGACACAGTTGCGTCACAGTTACACTTTAAATATAGCGAAATACAATAGAAACGATGAAAATTTCAAATAAAATTTAGATTAATCGTAAATCCAATCACTAATCAATATTTGTAGCTCCACGCGCTGGAAAATCGACGCGATGCGAAGGCAAACGAGGAGAAAGGAGCACTGGGTAGAGGGCGGCAACATGGGGCAGGAGGTGAGTTGGAGAGAGAAAGATTTCTAAACATAGCAAAAGATCAATATAGTTGGATACTTAATCATCTTTCCTTCAAAAAGTCTACTACAACAATCGAAACACGTTACTACTGCTGCTGCTGTTACTGCTGCTACTGCTGTTTGGTATTGTCGATGAAAAATAAATCATCGATGTTACAAAGGTGTTGTTTGTAAACAAAACCGCCGTTATTGGTTTAAATTAAAACCAAATTGTAACAGAAAAATTAAATGGTCTCATCATTTCGTATTATAGCAACTTACATACGCCAAGTACTCTGCTAAAACCGAAATGCGCGACTTCTCGTACATGTGTTACTTTCTGCTTTTCCTTTTTTTCGCAGACACGCGTGCACAGTACGATCTCCAATTCTGCTGAATCAATCTTGCTGCACGATTTCGACGAAAATTTTCTAATTTTCCTATAAAAGCCTTCGTTACGTTCTGTTTGTGTTCCTCTTTCAATCGATTATACAAACTACGCTGACCGATAAGTTGATTCTGCGTAACAATACATACGTATACATATGTAAATGTGCCGTGTAAACTGTACGATGCGGATGATCGTGTGGGACGGACACCGCTCTCAACGTTTTTTCTTTCATTACCACAAAAATAGTCGAAAAAAGACAAGTAACGGCAAATAGAAAATATGTCAATCATACCTGAATAGCAACATACTCTTTCTCAATGGAATCTTTATCAACCAGAAGAGAAATTTTGCAAGCGTAAAGTTTTTCAATATTCTCGTCATATTTTGCGAGTTGGTCCAAGTATTGTTTCTTTGTTTTAAAGCTGCATAATTGCAAAGCTCAATTAAAATTATCTAGGAATATGACGGTTAGTATTTGTACTATAATTGTTACGTACCGTGTATGGTATAAGTCAGTTTTTCTTAAATCATGTATCATAGCGGCAGATTTTAAGTGGAACTCTAAAGATTTTGCTTCGTTTTGTATACGTTTTTTTCGCATTTCATTCTCCTGGTTCGCAATTAATATCTTAGATGTAAATTCACTGCTAAAATGTGTTTGTTTCTGTTGTTAGTCAAAAGATACCATTTTGTTTACAAGTCAATTAGTAAACAAATAAGAAAAATTACTCACATTTGCGTGGCAAGCATGTACTCCAGGTATCTTTTAACATTCGTTTTTAGAAACTTTGCAGCTGTCCGATCCACCTCAGCCTTTTGTTGAAATTGGATAAAATGTGATCTCTGTTTGGTAAGATCAAACGTCCGTTCTGGTAGAAAACATTAGTCGTTCGAATTACACACACAAACACACACAAAAAAAAAAAAAAAAAAGAAAGGATCTAACGTCTACGAATTGTTAAAAGTAACATATCACATAAGAACATACGTCGTACTTCGATTGTAGCTTTTTTAATATTTATTGCCAAGTCTTGCAATTTTGCATTCCATGATGGGTATTTTTTTAAAAAATTTTTTTTCTCGAGTTTATCTTGATTTTGTATCAAATAACGGTGTAACTCGATTATTTCGATCAAGGCTTTCGTTTGCGAATAAGAATTTTTTTCAGTCACGTTGCCAAGCCCGCTGTTTAAATGCTGAAATAAAAGTATGTAATGAAACTTTACGAATTAATGGACTATTTTATTCTTGTTCTAAACTATTTTTGTTTGTCTTTCGCAACAACTTCTTATAGGTCTATTTCGATAGACGCGATATTTACAAAACAGCTTGAAATCGATAAGAGATGAAAAATTACATTTTCCTTCCTTTCCACATTTACATATTTCGTTTTACCAATTTTTCTTTTGATGACCTACATTTTTGTTAAATGTCGACGCAAGTTGATCCATTAGATTGACTTCAAACTGACAATGAATGAAATTGAAATTTGAAATCTTTTTTTACCTCGTTCTTAGTTCATGTTTCACATGTGTACGTTTACATGTTTGTCACTGTAACCAATTGTAACTAAACACATGTGAACAGATGTAGAGGGCCTAGAATTGTATCCTAATTTGGTGGAAGATCACTAGTCGAGAAAAAGTTGAGGCACCACGTAGCAGTGATGGGCGAAACCCTAAGCTTCGAATAAATCTAAAGTTTGCCGACATGCTTGTCTCATTTACTCTTTTGAACATTTTCCAAAGAAGGAAACGAGACAAACATATCAGCAAACTTCAGATTTATTCGAAGCCTAGGGTTTTATCCGTCACTGCCACGTACCAACTACGGAATAACTAAAAGAGGAAAGTGTGCACGCGCACGAGTTCCTCCTTTTTAGTTGTTTCGCAGTTGATACGTGGCGCCTCAAATTTGTTCTCGACTAGTAATTTTCTAGGTAGCATCTTATATACATAGGTATCTGGTAATCTAGTAGAAAAGCCCAACCAAGTAAACCGCGAACGAGGATGTGGATCTTTCTCTCTTCTCTGTAAAAGGAAAGAACGAAAGAACGGTTAAACAAAATGCGACGACACAAACTTTTTCTATGATTATTCTTTTGTACCGTGGCCTGCTTTGCTTATTCTAAATAAAAACGACAAACCATAAAGTCATAAAAACAACGTGTAACAACGTGAGAGATACCCGAAAAAGTTCCTACTTTCGCCATGTATGGTGGTTATGTTCGCCATATATCTGGCTAATTTTAATACATATGAATATATACGTATGCTTTTGAACGGTGAACGTGAACGTGAACGGTGCCTCGCAAACCGAATCGGAATACTCCGGAATTCTGTAAATGACTTGGCACGGTGCAATACTATTTTTATACGATATCTACCACGTCATCGTCATCCAGTCGACACAAGAAAATACGCTTTAACGGTAAAATATGTGCTCATCGAGACTCATCGACGTAACTTGGTAATTCAACTAAAACATGTCAGAAATCAGAGTGGATGAAAAAATCGTGCGAAAGCAGTATACAAACGATGCTTGTCTTATCGATACACTCGAAATCGTTGACGTATTTGCTTTCGACTTCAGTGACACCGATGTCTGGTGAGTGATTTTATCGTATACTTAAATTACTTTAAACTTTTTTTATTGGAGGTAATTGTAATCTTTAAATGTCATTTATGCCTCTAATTGATCTTAATTCCGTTTCAAGGTCTAGCTTTTCTGCACCACTTTATTCTACACGTACATGTTTAAATCTTTCAAATGCTTTGTTATTAAATTCTCTTATACCAAACCTTGTATTTACCAAATCAGAAAAGTGCACGGTTAAACTTTTCCCTTTCGAATCTCATTGTTTACTCTAGAACATTAGGATAAGTTCGTTATTCCTGTTTTATAAATATAACATAGCGTACAAATTTATTCTGTAATATGGAATTCATCTATACGAAAAAAGAAAAATTATGATAAAAAAGAATTTTCATTTTTATATCAATTTTTTGTTTTTCGCCAGGTTGTATATGCCGCCGGAATATCAAACGCAATCCATGGTTCGGAATTTGTACACCTGGTTAAAAAGCGAACCGGAACTAATTTTATCAGGTATGGAAAACATAAATTGATTATCATTAAACGAACTTTTTATACGTTTTTCAATGTATATCTTGAACATGACTTTTTATTTAGGTAACAGGAAATGTATCGACACAAGGACATTCACGAGACCTAAAAAACGATCTACTAGAATTAATTTTGAATCTATTCTCGAAACATTGTCTCCGTCTGTTGCAAACACACGGAGAATTTCACGCTCAAATTTGTCAAATATGGAAGAAGACGTAAGTTTCTCCATGTTTTTTTTATCCCGTATATTATACAAATATATTTACCATGTATACATTCGAGTGTGTTTTTTTCTTAAAGTCGAGTAAATATCTAGATACGCTTACCATTGACAAAGACGAAGCTATACCTCTTATGCTAAAAGTGGCGCCTACGACGAATATCAGTCTTCTTTCCGACGAAACTTTATCAGCGTCGGATCAAGAAAGTATGGAAATTTTTTTAAATATGTCTCGTTCAAAGGGAATCGATTCTTTTATTAATTTAATGGAACCTGGACTCTGCGATCCACTGATGAACATCTCCCAACCATCTATTTTTTATTCTTCTATCACTTCGTTACCTAGAGCTGATGCATCGCAGAACGTTAATTACGACAAAGAAGTGGAAAATTTAAATTTGACTTGTTCGTATGGTCGACAAGCTGACAAACAAGAGGATGCTAAAAGTATCGACGAAACTTTTTCAACGAATAACGATTCGGACAACAAGAAACGGTACAGCCTGTATTCGACGGACAAAATATTTACCAACAAATCTGATAATATCGAAAAAATGGAATTAAACGAGACGTACAAAGCAGAACCAGTGTCTAAAATGCATCGGTTGCCAAGTTCAGATCGAGTTAAACACGGTACAACTACTTTGTCTTCCGCAATTGTAAATAAAGCTGACGGAAATATGAAATCATTACAATCAGAAAATAACTCGGAGAAAGACTTGTATGTTTTGAATGCTACGTATTTTCCAACCTCTGAGAAAGCTGACGATTCGCTTGTTTTAAATGTTATATATTGCGCGAAAGAGACAGATGTAACGAACACAAACGTTCCTTCAATCGTTGAAAGTGATACATGTAAAGACAAAAAAACTGAAACTTGCGACTTGGAAAGTAACGCAGTTTACAATAGTTCAGAAAATTTGATCGAACCTTCTCCGCTTCCTGGAAATTGTACCTCGTTTGCGAACGATAGCAATTTAAACTCTACGTTCAGGCTACCTATTTTTCTCGGAAACGAATCGACTCCAAAAAATTTAGATACGTTAAATTCCACGTTTAAAAGTAGCGGTAAACATTTAGAACAAACTCGAACGTTTAATACGGTGTTTGGTTCAAATTTTAAAACACCTACGTCATTGAGAAGAGAATTGTTGGCAGAAATACACAGAAGCGGTGACCATAGACTCGATTGTACGTTTAATCATGCTGGTAATGAAGTCCCCGATGGAGAGACTAAGAAGGGAGTCGTCGACGAGGTCTCCGATCAGAATATTAGGAATGAGATTCCAATGGAAAATAAATATAATACGTATAAAAAGGAATCGTCCGTTAACAAAAGTAGCACTTTGAGCGAAAATATAAGCAACGCAGGGTCGTCTATTCAGAATTTGCAAGACAAAAAGTACTACACTTTTACGAAGAAAGGTAACGTTCACGGTGGAAAGACTGATATAGAAAATACGGAATCTTTAGAGAACGCGAACACTACGTTCGTGAAACCACTTTCAAACCTGCAAAAAAAGAAGCAACATCTTCCACGGATGCTTTCAAAGTTACCGCAATTTCTTCAAAAGTCGAACCCCAACCTTGTATACAATTCCTTGAAAACTGTCAACGCGACAGGGTGTACGAACTCATCCAGTATCGGATGTATGAAAGACCCACAGCCAAATATCGCGAGAGCCGTTGAAAAAAGTCTAGCAAATAAATTGTACTCGTTAGGAAAAATAAAAAGTGGTTCCGAGCAACGACTCTTAGAACTGAATACAGGCGTAGGGGAACTTCAAATGATGGGTGCCGGAGGATCTACGGAAAGTATCGAAAGTACGCAGAGTGCTCATAGTGCGCCAGATCTGGACGATAGGCTCAGTACATGTTCGGATAGTAGCCATAATTCGTATACTGTGCGGCCAATGAATATCGAACAATTGCATCAGATAGTACGGATGCAAGAAGAAAGTAAGTAAATGCTTTTTTTTTTTTCCAACAAACTATTAAATTGTATATTTCACTATAATTTGTCAGGTTTGAAACAAGATGCAACGCCTCGATTAAATAGTCGAGGTCTGGAAAACACTTGGATTGGGATGCACAAAGATTTACCTTCTCCTATCATGAAAAATGGCATCAATAGTAGCGAAAGCAATTCTACGTCACCATCGAGTATAGATTTTAATGTTAAAACGAGCTCTCCGATACTAAGCCCTACCAGATCTAGTCAGTCGATAAATACTGATGGTAAGCTAGCGTGTATAATCGATATTGTTTTACAAACAATGTTTCGATAATAAATCATATGTAACGATCATGAATATTTCCATACTTCATTTTTAGAGTTAATTATTTCTGATAATTTCTCCTAATCAAGGACTCTGTTTAATCTGTTGTTTTTTTAAGGTCATTCCGTGGAACACGTATCGAAACAGCAGGATGAAACAGGCATAGTGAAAAAATTTGAAGTAAGTTTATTATATTATGTTATTTTACCAGCAAATACAGCGTCGTAGTTTACGTGTTAAATTGAACGTATTAAATTATAGACGTTTAGCAAGCCAACAATGAAAATTGAGAATAAAACGAGACTGCGACAACCAACGAATTGGAATGCCGGAAACAGAACTTCAAACGTGATGAGCGCTATTCCTAGACCACAGTCGCGTATACCAGCTCCCAGGTTTGTTAGGCCAACTGTAAAGAATATCCAAGATGATGTGAAAAGAGGATATACGTAAAAATTCAGGCGGTACTAATAATTAAATCAGGCATATGTTTTGAGATAAGTCCCTTAATTTAATCTGTGTTCATACGATAATTTGTATAAAAGGTATTTAGGTTATGTCCTCGGCGCTAGGTTGCTTTGAATACGAGAAAAGTTCGGTATTATTATACTTTCAAAATGACAAACGATATAATTGAAATCACATTCTCAGTTCTTTTCTCTCCATTTGTTTATATTTAAAGGAAACAATGAATTTAAAAATGAAATAAACTCCACCGAGTAGAATAGTCTATAGTAAGAGTACTTCAAATTTGTCATGCTATGCACGAAGATGAAGTGTAATTAAGTTTAATGGATTGGCTATGAGATTATCACAGAGTATGTTTTATTTAAAATTTAAATTATTTAAGTAAACTAAAGTGGGGAACGTAGATAATTAGTACTGTTGTTTAGACCAAAAACTAGCCCTCTAAATTATTATTTATCTCAATTGTTACCGACATACTTTCGATCAATCGCTGAGAATGTAATAGCGTAATTGAACATTTTCAACGTGAGACAACAGTTCTTACAACATGCGCAGATACGCGGAAATAATTATTTTTACGAGGATATTGATCAATACGATAAATGGTATTGTATTTCAACAAGAATATATATATATATATATATATGCGTCTATTCCATTTGAGAAGTTAATGATATACCATTTATATGCTGTGTATAGCTAAACATAGAATTTTGAAAAACGACTTTTGTACAAGTCGTATGTTGCAAAAAATAATTGAGACGGTAGAGTAGACAGATACGAAAGATGCTTAAGAATATAAATTTAATCAGCGATAAGCTCTCGTATACATGTATCGTACGGAAATTTTTACATTTCATACAATGAAGCTAGAAATAAATTTGTAGGAAAAAGTTTTTCGCAAATACAGAAAACGAACAACTTTGTATGCATAAGAGTCAAAGATTTGAGATTATAAACAAAATTTTCACGATCTTTTATCCATTTTTGTAAAATGTATATACAGGTACTGTCATGAAAAAAAAAAAAAAGACTAAAAGGAAAGAAAGAAAACACCAACGCTATATTTTCTAATATAAGTGGCCTATACAAAATAAAATACACAGCAATTTATAGTATATTATTAATCCTACACAACATATCTGTACATTTTTAATATTTTCGATCGTAATTGTTGTATCGATCCGCAATAAATATATTTTTCATTGTAAATTTTATATCAACTTTTATATTCAGGATTTTAGAGTCTATTAAATTTGAAATTGTAGTTACTAAAAGTTAGTTACAAAATTGTTTGCATATCATAGAAGGGTTGATGTTAATTGTACTGTTAAGAATATAAACTTCTAATGATGCCTACTTGTAGAGTTAAAGTAACAGGAAAGTAGAGTTTGCGTTGCGACAATTAAAAATTCTTTCGTTACTTGTGAAAATGTACATAAAATATTCAAAGCTGTAGCGGTGCCTAATGGTGAAACTACAGTATCCTTCCATTAAATAAGAACAAGTATAATTGATTGTAAATTAGAAAATAGCAGTTGAAAACGAAAGACTGGATTTATGACTAACGCATTTATAACAAAATATAACACTTTTTTAATGATCCGTGTTTATAGTTCTTTGCTCGAAGCAATAGCAGAAAAAGGAACACCAATTTTTTTGTTCAAGTGTTGCTGCATATTTTACGATGAATTGTTGCGCTTGATGCGTTGTAGTTGAATTTGCAATAACACGGCATGAATTTATAATTAATTTATAACGCGTATATTATACTGTACAGAGTATTTTTGACCCAGTTATTATTATCATTATTATTATTAAATTAATTTTGAACTTGTAGACGTAACTGAAAAATATATTTTAACGATATAAAACTAGAAAGGAGTCTCGGACGATGATGGTAACACGTTTGGTACAGAAATGGAAGAGATGAAAATAATATTCTTGAAATTTCATTGTCGTTTCTTTTCCTCGTTAGCGGATGTTCATTTGAAAAGAATTTTAAAATTTGTACCCTTGTTGTAAATAATAAACATAGAAGTGATAGTCATGTTATATTCTTTATTTATGTCTTTAATGTTAGACCTTAAGTGCCTTTATCGTATTATGATACAAGAAACTTTTTTATACATTCGAACTAATTGTAAGCTAAGAAAGCTAATTAGCTACTCCATATCATACTGCCAGGTATCTGTGTAAAAATACAATGTGATCTTTTTCTATTGAAACCTATAATAATAAAAAACGTTTTACGATAGTAAAGTACATATTTAATCTTGTAACATTCCTCGCTCCCTCGTATCTACGTTAAACACCGTTTATATTAATAAACACGTGAGATTTAACTACGTAAAGAAAATAATACTTTGTATAATTTTGTAAAATGATATGAACAATTGTTTAAATGTGACCTTCGTTGACCTCGAATGACCTTGAATCGTAAGTAGTTAATTAAATCTTAAAAGCTAATATCAGATACTAGTACGAAGAAAAGATAGCGGATTATGTAAAGAGATCGTGGTGACCTTTATTTGTCCTTGACGCGTATACTTGGAATAAAATCATTTATGTATTTGAAATACTGAAAGTATGTAGACGAAATATTTCAAGTGATAAAGTTACGCGGAATCCGTGTATAAGCTCAATTACCATTATACCAGAACCAAATATCGTTTAAACATACATAAATATACATTTAATGAAACTTTGTAATTTTACTTTTACGCAATTCGTTTAAATATCTGTTTAATTAGAAGCGACTGGTTTAACGACAAGCGAAGTGATCAAATGTCTGATCAAGGAATATATCGAGTGTGATGTAGTGGTGGAAGGTATATCGTGTATAGAGTATGGTATACATTTTGGTACCTTTCGCTATTTGCTGTTACGTTACAGAATGAGATTTGTCTTGTCAAATTGTCATTGCAAAGGGATCTCAATTGTCGATGCGTCGAGAAACGCACCGATACCGATAGACGATAGATAAACTCTATCTAGTGATCTAGCATCTAGTCCTACATAGACCAACGTATATAGACTTAATTGCTTCATAATCATATCAAACATGGCGCAAATGATGATACCCAGGATCGCGCTTTTATCTATTAGAAATAGTAACCGTGTAATACCACGAATTTCTGTGCCCATAAAATATCAACGAATATGCTTCCATACGAGTTGGATTCTCGACGGTATGCAGTTTATTCAGAAATAATTTATTAACACACTTGTTTGTGACAGAATTGAGGTTAACGTGCAATAATTTATTTCAAATAGTATAGTATACATTCCAATAATATTTATTTTAAAATATATCTTTACGTAGAAAATATGGAAAATATACGTTATTTTAATTGTCTATTAACTTCAATTGACGACGATATATTTACAGTATGATTATACAGATTGATTATGCAATCAAATATTTTACTAATTTGAAGCTATGTGTCATTGGTACTGTGCGATATATAACAATTTTTAATGTAAATTTTTTTCATTATTTATTTTCAGTAAAAGGGAAGGTGGTTTCGATGCCTTCCTTGTCGCCAACTATGGAAACTGGCACAATCGTCAAATGGTTCAAAAAAGAAGGTGACAAAATCGAACCGGGCGATGCAATCGCTGATATTCAAACCGACAAAGCTGTTATCACAATGGAAGTTGACGACGAAGGTGTCCTCGCGAAAATAATTGTAAGATTTGAAAGGTGTTTTACACAAACGAGATGCTTTTGATATACGTTAGCACATTATTCAAACAAAATTAATGTATATAATGCGCTTAAAGTATTTTCAGCTTTGCTATTAAATTTTATTGTGTATATATCGATCTATCGAGACGAAACGTTGTATACGTGTCAAATGTAAATTTTGCTTGATTAGGTGCCAGAAGGAACCAAAGACATTAAGGTTGGAACATTGATAGCCCTTACCGTCGAACCAGACGAAGATTGGAAGGCTGTAGAAATGCCGGATACCGCTTCAGCGGCACCTACTGTTTCTGCACCTTCCGTCTCGCCTGGTGCAACCGCCGCGAGCGTATCGGCTGAACCACCTCCTGGCCAGTAGGTTATTACGTACTTAACGTACTATATTTCAATTGGATGATCGGTAATATGGTATGTCGTCTACGTAAACTTGTAAACTTTTTAAGGAACAACATTAGTATGCCAGCTTTGTCGCCAACGATGACTACAGGCACGATAGTAAAATGGCTTAAAAAGGAAGGAGATGAAATAGAACCAGGAGATGCAGTGGCAGAGATACAAACAGATAAAGCTGTCATGACATTCGAATTTGAGGATGAAGCTGTGTTTGCAAAGATTTTAGTATGTAATTTTAACTAAACGTTACGCCATGCTGCTGGTAACTTCTATACTAAGAAAATTGATTTAATAGGTTCCCGAAGGTAGCCAAGTCGAAGTAGGACAATTAATTGCTGTTACAGTGGAAAAGGGAATGGACTGGAAGAACGTTGTTATTCCAACAGTTACAAAACCAGTTGCGGCATCTACTATGTCTACTCCCGTTGCGCCAACTGGGGGTGCAACCGATAAGAAACCTCCGCCAAGTGGACAGTACGTAGACAAAATATTATTATTTTTGCATTTTACGATATCAACGAATTATGCAAGATGAAATGGTTTCTTTGACAGAGTCTACGGTTTAGCAGTAAAACGATTATTAGAGGAGTATGGTCTGAGTTCGGGTTCCATCAAAGGAACTGGTCGACCTAATCGATTACTAAAGAGCGATGTGTTAACTTACATTCAAGCACATAACATACAAAAAGTTGTTCCAAAAACGGGTGCGTAACATCAATGTCGCTAGCAAATTACTAGAGTATCGTATTATTTGCTGATATTTTTATTTAACGATGCAGCATCACCACCAACACTGACAAAAGATGGAGAAGAACGTACCGCTACTCTTTCGAAAGGTCACGTAACCACTGGTCAACCTTCTGCGTACGAAGATATTCCAGTTTCCAACATACGTGGTGTTATTGCCAAAAGACTCGGAGAATCAAAGGTAATCATATTTGATAAAACGGTAGTGTATGTAATCAAAGTTTATTATATACGAATATACAAGCGACAACTCATTTAGCATAACAACTTTTTTTTTAGAGTACTATTCCACATTCTTACGCTTACATCGATATTAAAATAGACAAATTAAATGAAATTCGTAGCGAACTCAAGACAGAAAATATTAACGTTTCGATAAATGACTTCGTTACGAAGGCGGTCGCACACGCATTAGTTGAATGCCCGTCGATCAATACATTGTATCAGAATGGTCAGGTATGTATGAAAATCACCGTGAGATAAATTGACGAGAGACGCGTACTCGAATAATATATAGAAATGTAAGAAAATTGTATTCTTTTCTTTTTGTGACAGATAATACGTATGCCAAGATCCGACATTTCTGTCGCAGTTGCTACAGAGAATGGTCTTATTACACCAATCGTTTTTGACAGTACAGCTAAGAGTTTGACTGATATTTCAAAAACTATTCGAGAATTAGCCGATAAAGCTAGAAATGGTAAACTAAAACCAGAGGAATTTCAAGGGGGAACGTTCACGTAAGTGAATGAATGAATGAACGAAAGAGATAACGCTTGAACATACCAAGTTCTAACAATAAATAGTATTTAATCATTTCTGATGTTGTTTTTAGAATATCTAATCTGGGAATGTTTGGTATCAAACAGTTTAGCGCCATTATAAATCCTCCTCAAACAGCGATACTCGCTGTTGGCGGTGGTCGAGAGGAGTTAGGTGAATATATTAAAAAAGTATATGTAATAATTGCGTATATCGTAAAGATGCAGAAAACGCTAATTGATTGTTTTATAGACGTTGCACTACAAAAGACAACGAAAATGTCAGCCACGTTGTCATACGATAGACGAGCAATTACCGAAGACGAAGCTGCTGATTTCTTAGCTGTATTGAGAGCTATGTTAGAAGATCCGACTTTTCTCGTTGCTGGAAGATTACGTGCTCTCAGGTATGCACAGGACTGACCTTTGATTAAATCCTAATTCTAAAGTGACGTTTCACGAAAAAATGGCTTACCTTATAAAAGTTTTAAATTCTGTCTAGTTAATTAATTCATGGTATACCAATTTTAAAAATAAAACACATTTGTTAAGCCATTTTTCGAGTAAACAGATCAGCTACAAATAAGAGCATATGTGCAAAACCGAACCATAAAAGTGTTAGTAAGTTATGGAAAATATTGTTTAATATTAGATCCCCGGCCCTCTAAAAAATACAATTACCTATTAAAGTAATGCCGTAAAAAAAAAATTGTTCGACGTACCTACAAATTAAATGGCAATATTTTAATTTTTAATAATTAAATAAAACGTTTTGATAGAAATGTAAAAAAAAGAACAGTCATATGTAAATGTTACGACAGTTAACAATTTTAAGAATACGCTAGCGATTCATTTCGTATAAATGCAATATTTATATTTGTTGTATTAAAATGATTTACGGTTATTTGCCTTTTAGTTTGTTTAGTATGTGTTTTACATTTCCATCAAACTATTCAAGCGGAAATAAATTTCACTAGCCACGCTTGTTGGCTTGTGTCTATCGAGGTTATATCTTATCCGAATGAATATCGTGCTGGTATCATGCACGGAATATATAACGATTATTAATTATTGCAAAATTCCCAAGTATCGTTATATCGTTGTAATCATTATTAACTAAAGAAATTTTGGATATTTATTGCATATAATTTACTTATCTGTAAGTAAATAGGAAATTCGTATAGAACTAAATGTTCTGTTTGTATATTTATTTCCCACGTTATTTAGTTACCACTTTTGACTATATAAACATAGACTATATGTATACAGTCAGAGTGCCCCCACACTGTAGTAATTTCTAACATGCTATAGATAAAACGATTATATATGTATAATATATAAATTCGTGTATATATGTATAATTCACATAATAATATGTGTGTACATTTTTCGTATAAAAATAAAACAAGTGCCATATTTCGACGCCTTTTATGAATTTTTGTATCGCATAAAATTTGTACAAATATCATGTAAATAGCTGTATCGTTAATTTGATTTATTAGTAATATCATGCATGATTAGAAAACTCAGTGTGGTATTAATTACAGATATTTGTGGGGATAGTAAAGTGTGCAAGATCATAAATTAATCTTGTAAATAAAGTATTTATTGTTTAAAATGACGTGTGATGTTTCTTCTACACATATTCAAAAATAATACATAGCAAAATTGCAACCGTTTTATAGAATCTTGGAAGTATTGTCAATTGTTTTGTAATTATTGTTGATCGAAAGATCGTTACATTCGTTGCGCTTCCATTTCTTTACCAGTGAAAACAGTATTTAACGGTAAGGCTGTTGCCATAGAACCATGCGTAATGCGTACTGATTCGATAAGGCACAAATGTTATGGGTGTTTAAATCTGACGAATACTGTCATATTGCATATACCGAAACTTTGAAATAAACAGCAATCGTTAAGCGAACAATTATTTGACATTATAAACTGATTGTGAGAATTCGTATATCGATGCTCTCTAATAATTTAAAGTAAAATTAAATTACGTTTAGATCAAGTATGCATTACGTAATGAGGTGGAAGTGGTAAAATATTAATACGAAAATAATAGAAACGACGAAATACAATAGTATAATAGGACCTAACTTTTCTTATCACAGTTATGATTTTGCTCGTTATTACTGCTCAGGCCTTAACTAATTATGGACAACATTTAATTGCAGTATAAATTCAGTTACGTTTTATAAAAGATATTGTAAATACAAAGTTATGTAGATAGAACTTAGCGTACGGTACTCGTTAAAACTTGGCATTTGGTATGAGCAGTGTTAAGTTCTAAAATAGAAATCGAAAATTTCTGAAAATGTTGTGCATTGTAATACTCGATAAAATCTCTTATCTAATAAAAGCTAGCTCACTCTTAAAATCTTTAAAAAATGCATCCTAATGTGTGGTATGCCACATCATTTACAATACTTGGTTACTAATACGTACGCTTACAACATCGAGTTGCAATCGAGTTCAGCTTGTTATTATTACTAAAAGATTTCAAAAGTTTGTACACAGAAGTAGTCTTCTGCCGTTTGAATTCCACGGGTATAATACCGGTATAATAAAATTAAATAATAGATGTTGAAATAGCCGATATACATGTATATAAATGTATAAACTGTTTGATTAAAAACATATGGCTCAACGAGTTTATTCGTTAGGTTATAAAATGCTAAGTAAGAGAAAAATGTAATTTAGAAAATATAAAGGGTAAAGATGGAAAGTGAAATACATCGCGTATAGTTGAAATGTTGATTCGGTAAGATAATCAAATTAATTTGTACTATAATTAAATTGGAAATCTTATTTTCCACAGTGTTTGGATAACTGTGAAATATAAAGAAAGTTATTCGTACAAGATCCCTGATAGATGCCATGTGTACACGTATACCTTGCACTTTCAGTTGTTGAAGAAACTAAGTACAATATTTATAATAAAGATGTTGTATAAATCATATTTTGTTAGATAATAAATGGAAAATACACGTTAATTATATTATACGGAGCACCGAATATATCCGTTTAGCGGATAACACGACGATTACGACGTGTTATTTTTGCTCCTATATTCTATTGTGTAAATTGATTGTATAACTTGTTAAATGACACTCTTTTTATTAAAAAAGATAAATAATATATGAAAAGAAATACGGAGCCTAGAGGGCAGATATTGCACGCAAAATGATTAATGATAATTTAAATGAACGATAACTTTTTGTCGACACGAATAATTGAAACTAACGTATCGTATCGGTAATTCGTTTGTTACTACATCGGGTATTCCTAGCGTAAATTTGGTAGCCCATTGTTATCGATACGATAGATAGTGTCACATATAAAATATGTGAAATGACGGTACCACGTAGAATTATATTGGTTCGATGTGAGAAATATTGTCCGTTATGTAAAGTATATCGATGCGGTATCGGCGATAGTTGAAAAGTGAAATGCATAACGAAATAAAATAAAAATTTGATTTCTATTTTAAAGAATTACTTAATAGAATGCTTTGCGTAGAATTCTTTGCGCTGCTCGAATTAACGGTGTAAGGGTTGTTAATTCTGCACAGTTGTCTAGGAATGGATGAGAAAGTAACTCTTGGGCTGTTGCTCTTTCGTCTACTTCGACAACTAAACATCTTTCTAAGAAATTCCGAAACGTAGGACTTAACGTATCCCATCTAGGAATGGAAGGTTTACCGATAGCAGCGATCAAATATAAGGCCCTTAAAGGAGTTTCTTTCATGTAAGGTGGTTCACCTTCTATCATTTCGATAGCCATAATACCTAACGACCAAATGTCTACCTTTTTACCGTATTGTTTTCTCGTCACTACTTCCGGTGCCATCCAATAAGGAGTTCCAACCATAGTTTGTCGTTTCTCATCGCCGTCTATGTTGGCACAAAAACCAAAGTCTGTAACTTTCACAGCACCGTTCATACCAAGTAGGACATTATCCGATTTGATATCTCTGTGAATAATTCCTTTGGTATGTAAAAAATGAATCGCTTTTAAAACTTCCCTGCAAACTGCTGCGATCTGTGCTTCTTTCATTATAGTTTCCGTAACAACATCTGTAAGAGGTCCGCCTTCTAACAATTCCATAATCACCCAGAGATGTTCATCTATGAGATAGGCGTCGAGAAAGTTGACCAGATTCGGATGTTGAAACTCTTTGAGGATTTTAATTTCCGTCAGTATCAGCTCTTTTTTCGACTGTTTCGATAAATCTATATCCTTTACAGCGACTCTTTGATTAGTTTGCATATCGGTAGCTATAAATACGGTTCCCGAAGCACCAGCTCCGACCTCTTTGGTCCTTTCGAAACGTAGATTAGGATCTCCGCTCTGACATATAGTTCTAAGTTCGTCGTAAATCTGTCGATCCGTGAGCTTGATCGCGGCACAGTCGGTCTTTCTTCGAAGAACAGGACTCTCTTCGTGTCTACTGGGGCCCGTTTCATCTAGTACCAACGGATCGTCCTCGATCCGATAAGTGTTTAAGTCTTCGAGAATCTCTGTAAGAGTTTTCTCTTCTCTATCGTGGCATATTTGTGACGTTTGCGAGGTAGGAGTCTTGTAAATGGTTAGCTTAGGCGGGAGGTCTGGTAGCGTTTGTAATTGACTATCGGTAGAACTGGCAGAGGTAGAACTATCCGAGTCTCTACAAGACTGATACTTTTTTGTTAGAATTTTATCAATTTCCTGGGATTCTTCCTCGATGTAATCTTCGGTAACAAAAGACTTGAATACCTTTTCCTCTGGTTTTCGTTTGATCGAATAATTATAGAATTTGATAGCCTGCAAGGCAGCAGCAGGATGCTCGTCCTGTTCCGATTTCGATATTTGGGTGTTGAGGAGACGAGTCCAAGATTCGGGAAGACCCTCCAACTGTCCGGTCTCGGCATTTTTACTTACGTGAAATTTGTGAGAAACGTTTGTGGGTAAACCGATCTCGGCGGCAACTGCAACCGTGTCGTTGATCGGGTTTGTTTTTTTTCTCGAGAACAACTTTGTTATGTTGAGACTCATTTTAGCGCGCAGTATCGCGCCCTTGTTACGTTTTCGTTTCCGATGTATCGTGATTTTTGGTTGGCGAGAAGGCGAAAAATGGCAGAAGAAAGAAACAAACGGTTGCTTTTTAAACCATGGTTCTCATCGCAACGTGACTTGCCGTGAATCGTGACCTGTGACTTGTTACCTGACTGAACTTGGCTCGACTCGACTCGACTCCACTCGACCCGCTGTTATCTCCTGTCCTGTCTAACCGTTAACTGTGTCTGACAATAAGTTTATGATTTGGCTCTGATTGCTTTTGCTGCTTATTGTCTATCGCGATCGCGATTCGCGAATCGTGACAAGACATTTGGCTTGTGAGTGCGACTGTAGACAGTAGACCACAGTAGACTGTATGCACTGTATGCACTGTATGCTGTAGGGCTGTAGGCACTGTAGGCAGGGCAAGGGGCAAGGCAGGAGGTTCAAGCCCACATATTAAAAGTCGAGAGAAAGTTTGTAGCGCCGCGTGTGAAAAATTCAGCCAACTAGAGTAGCGGGTCTTTTAAATGACTCTAAATTATTTAAAAGAAAATAAATGAAGGAAAGTGCAGACAGAGTTTGAAGGATTTCCGTAATTTAAAAAATGATATTTTGTGCTACAAGTTTTGTAGCAGTTTTAATAGGTTAGCTTGGACCCCCTGGCTGTAGGAGCATGTAGGAGCACGTAGGAGCAGGCGTGTTACTTACTTGTGCGTCACTGATCAGCGTTCAGTGTATCGAATCGGTGGCGGGACATTTCGAAAATGTGGAGCGCTAGCGTGGTTTTAATCTCGTCTGTGTCGAGTCGAACACGTTAACGATTTCGACTGACATCAATTTCTATTATAATTACTGAGAATTAGATTGAATATATTGTATAGAATAGTTTACAGAAGGCACTGTCTGTAATAGAAATGAGTAATTACTTGAATGGTTATTTATGTAGAAATAATCTTTTCAGTAATCTTATCATTGATCGAGAATTCTGTTTCCTTTGAAAATGTATGCTATCAACTCGTACGATATATCGTACGAATACGTGCATTCGTACGAATTTTCCAATCTGCTTCAACAAACAGGATTCCTTTTCCTTACTTTTTTCTTTAGTTAACTAAAGCACCTTTTTGTTAGGGAAAATGGTTAGTTTGCAAGACGTAGAATGTAGCGGTAATAGAGTTGGGATAGATTGTTACCTATCTAGGTAACTAGTAACTATACATATAGGAATTTCTATGATTTGTTTAAACGAAAGAAAGAGATTGTTTCGCAGCTTGTCGAGGAACCCTCTTCTCGTCAATTGTATGTATCTTATCCGCGTTGTCTTTTCGTTTCTTTTGCAAATATACAGGATAACGTATTCGGAAACATATTCCATGTTATCGTACGATAACTTCATAACAGACAAAACGCAAAAGTTACTCGATTACGCGGGGAGATACAAGATGGAATACTATTTGTTCGAAAGTTGCATCGAGACGAGGATATAAGATGCAAGATGTAAGGATGGTATAAACTATACATGTATATACATGTAGGTAAAGCTCTCGTAATCTGTCGAGTTTTTGATGTTACGTGAAATTGGTATCGATTGCAATAAACGATGAAAGGTTGATTCAGCGAAAAGCAAAGCGATAAAATGCTGATGTAAAATATTTGTTTGAAAGAAGAAAAAACAAGGGGGGAAGAACGGATAATGCATCGAAAATCGAAAGCATGTATGTAGTACAAGTACATATTACTTTGGAAGAAAAGCGTTTCGATAAAGAAAGGAAGCTTTTATCTTTTATCCCGATGTACATGCTAGTGTACATAATGTATCGTTTCGCAAGGAATGTAAGAAACTGTAAGGAATTACCTAAAGCTAGAAAGACGCGATGACTCTGAAAACGATTAGCATCATCGTCATAATCATCAGTAGCAAAGTGTATGTTGGTCCGACAGCGATACAACACTCGATACGATTCAACATTTCTACGATGTCATTCTATACGTATACATGCATTAAGGCGATTAAGGAATCGAGAAACGTTCGAGACTCGAAACAACAACGCGCGTGCTGCCCTTTCTTATCGCGTAAAGAAACCATATTATCGTCATGTTTTCAACTTTCTGTCCCCCCACCGTCCACCACCACCACTCAGCTTATTATGCCCCACAGCAGAATTTTTCCTCCCCTTTCCCGATGCTACACACTAATATACTACAAGTTTCATCTGTCTCGTATAGGGTGTCGTTAAAATCTCATCAGTTTTCGTATCGTTTCTCCTGTGGTGATCCATCGCGACGATCGAATCGAACTTTGGTTATTCTCTTAACTACGAGTATTTTGCATGAAAATGAAAATTTGCACTTTGTTCTCCTATTGTTCCTGTCGCAAAAACACATCGTAAAACACAGTTTTACAGATTAAGGTAACAAGCACGCGCAACATACGAGCAGACATAGATACGTGTAACCGACATATTATATTTAATACAATAGAGGGTATTGTATTTAATCGCAATAACGTTTCGATTAAAAACCGTTTATTTCCATCTCTATTTTTCGTTTATTTTTGCTTTTAACGCAGCTCTTAAAAACTAAATAAGGCTGATACTTGTGATTGGGGTTATTTTTGACGAGTCGAAAGAATGGCCAAGTTATTTAATAAAAATACAAATAATGGGTAAATGTTGAATTAAATGGAAACTTCCTCAACACTGTGTACGTAAACAGTACATAGTTGTATTAAATCGACAAATCTCCCCACTTTTCCATTCTCGAACAAAGAGAGGGGATTGTTTGCTTCTCTCTGTCTCTCCGTTGGCGTCGCGCCCCTTTGCTGCTAATAAATAAAATATTAACCGATGGTTAATGCAAAGACATTATTCGAGAACGGACCGAGAAGCGGATACAAGTTTTTACCTGAATAATCACGGTTAATATTCGCATTTCTGACAGTGATACACCTGTAAGCTACCACGACTAGTCCTAGACCGTGTTAGATTTGATCGATATTTTTCGTTATTTCCTAGTGATTTTACTTATTCTCCTCATAAACGTTTAAACGAGAAATTTTCGTAATTAATTTTCGTAATTAATTTTATTTGGCAAAGTGGTAAATCGCGGGTCCGTAAGTTTCTGTGATGAGCCTTGTCGACTGTTCGAGGTTCGTTCCGAAGGATTAAATCTAATGCTTTTGAATCTTTGATCGACATCGAATTACTATGGTTCACGTGCGGCGTCAGGTGGTAAGTTGAAATCGTTTCTCGTATTAATACACGTACGCTATACATACATGTATGTAAAATAGCTAGCGAATCGACTGGAAAGTGGAAAATTACATTTTCATCAATTTAATTAGCTCTTTTCGCGTTGTTCGTTAATCTCGTACGACGATATTCTCTATCGTTGATTTCGATTTAAATAAACAAAGTGAAAGGAATGTTGGCTCACGAAAATAATTCATAAGATTCCGTAAAATTTAGTATTTTCCTTCCTAACGTAACCATTTCCCCTAAAATCTTGGAATTACAGTCCCGTCTGGTTCTCGTATTTTTTCTCTGTACTTGGCCGATGATGCAATATTCTTACGCTTAAGAATAATAATCCGGTAGCCAGCCATCGTTTCGTGGAAAAGTTGACGAAAGAAAATTCTTGTATACGATACCCTATACTCTACATTTCCCTTTTCTATTCCCTTTTCTAAACAAAATCCTAGCTGATACAAAACGATACAAGTTTGTCAATTAAAATAATCTCTCTTTTGTCTGCGAAATTTGTACTCGTGCCTCGTGTCTTGTTTTTGTCAACGTGATTTTTAGTCGCGTGCAACACCACGTGCTCGTACAAACTTATTTCCGCGTTATACCGCGTCATACGTGGCCTGCTACCACCGCTACCGATATCATTTTCAATTTAACAACGGCAAACGAGCTATTTCACCAAACTGTCGTCATTTATTTCGTAAAATTTCACTTTTGTGCGCGCACTTTTAGCCCCGACCGAATCAAAGGAAACTCTGTAAATCAGTTGTATAGAATTTCATTGAGCGAATGTTATTATCGCTTCCGTAAGCGATTTATCGTATTCAATCAACGATTTACGATAAACATAATATATAATGTGTTTATCGTAACACGTGCGATATCGTAACACGTAAGATTATTTTTGAATACTAGCACGTTATCGCTGAAACTTTTCTTATTTCTCTCGTACGAGTTGTTGTTCAACTTAACCAAATAACGCTTTCGTAACTCTGATATAAATTCTGTATCGTAATGTAATTTTCGCTCTCAACGGATTCCACGGACTTTCCTTTTCAATAATAATAATAGTAATAATAGTAATAATTAACAATAATAACAATAATAACAATAATAACAATGACATTTTACGTTTAACGTTAACCAACAGCTTTTCGATTCGATATATGTACATGTACATGTGTTATCATAGAAACATAGACAATTACATGTACATGTACATAATAAATAACTGATTCGCAACAAGCGTAACATGCACTGAAAGTTTACGCAGAAACGTCGATATGTATGCGCTTATCGATATTTTTCTTTTCCATCTATTTTCTGGTTACGATATGATAAATGTTGCACGATGATGGTTCACGTATAATATTACCAGGAAAAACATGCAATTCTAACGAAAATATTTCTACGTAGATTTTCGGCTGTGGAACTTTATTGAATCAGTTTCAAGCCAATGTTAGATGGAGTTCCTCTTTACAAATCAGAGATAAGAAAGTAATACAGCCGGAACGCTCTTTCAAGGTATAATTTTCTTCAATTTTCATCGCGTCAATATTTTCGATTTTTCTTTTCTAACAAACATTTCATTTGAAAGCAAGTTTATACATGTTGTTTCTATCGTAGTATGCAGATTTATCGGTTCGTCTAGCAGGTCCGGAACAATTACAACCCAAGCCAAACGTTAGCGATCTATCGTTTGGTAAATACTTTACCGATCACATGTTGAAAATATTTTATCACGAGGCTTTGGGAGGATGGCAGATGCCAGAAATTACGCCGCTCGAAAATCTAGTCCTTCATCCTGCCTCCAAAGTACTTCATTACGCTGTAGAGGTAAGACTCGTAACGTTTGAAAATAATAAGAAAGAGCAACGACCAGTAGAAATGTTATCGTTTCAGTTGTTCGAAGGGCTGAAAGCTTACAGAGGAGTAGACGGAAAAATACGAGTTTTCAGGCCAGAATTAAATATGGAACGTATGAATAATTCGGCGACAAGATCTGGCATGCCTACTTTTGCCGGAGACGAACTAATCAAATGTTGTTGTAGATTAATTAGTATAGATCAAGAATGGGTACCTCATTCTTCCGCTTCTAGTCTCTACATACGTCCAACTCTTATAGGTATAGATGTAAGTATTTGAAAGCGAGTCTTTTGATAAAAACTAAACTTTCAACAAGGGTTAAAAAGAATCGGTATGTCTGGTAGCGACATAGTTATTCCACGATAGTAAGAATAATCGTGTCGCTTATGTCACAGACGTCACGACACATAGACACACACACACATACACACACGCGTGCGCGCGCGCGCGCGCGCGAGCACATAGATATACACGAAACAAAAGCTAAGCGATATGTTTCTCAATAGCTAACGATTAATACACGATAAACAGGAGGAGCGTGATGCTCTCTTGTTGGGGCAGGGCCATAAGAAATAAGAACAAGATACACACAGCCAAATCAAAAGTTACATTGTGATCGCGATACACATGCACTCTATCGCTCCATCGCTATAGATATGAATGTAAAGCGGTCAAAACAAAGACAAGATGATGTAAATTTGAAAATAATTAACAGAGGATACAACATCTTAAATAACTCGTATGCATTTTGTCATTTAACGATCGAGGATCGTCGATATACGATACAATCGATCGAATGGAATCGTTTCCTCTTCTCTATGCTTGTTCTTTCGTCATGTTCGAATAAATAGCGATATAATATTCAAAGTATCGAAAGTAACATTTGATAACATTTGATACCGCATTGTTTCCATTGAATTGTTTATTTTTATGCAGCCGATGCTTGGTGTGGCATCCTCGGACTCTGCTTTGCTATATGTTATTTTATCACCCGTGGGTTCCTACTTCAAACAAACGGATAAACACGTTGGTGTATCTTTGCTAGCAAATCCTCAGTACACGAGAGCATGGCCAGGTGGTTGTGGTAACTACAAGTTAGGTAGCAATTACGGTCCCACTATTTACGTGCAAAGGGAAGCAGTAGAAAAGGGTTTGCAACAAGTGTTGTGGCTTTACGGTGAAGATAACCAAGTAACCGAAGTCGGCACTATGAATATCTTTATGTTCTACGTAAACGACGATGGAGGTACTCGATCAAGCCTTTATAATCGCTTTTATTAACTTTTATTCGCATTTCCCTCTTGTATATTATATTATTATACATTATTATACTGATCCAACTCCAAGTCTTTGTAAATACTTTTTTTCTACCATTTTTAGACAAAGAATTAATAACGCCACCTCTATCGAACGGATTAATTCTTCCTGGAATTACAAGAAAATCGATTTTAGCGGTAGCTAGAGAATGGAATCAATTCAAAGTTACAGAACGAACGTTCTGTATGGACGAAGTGTGTCAGTTGCTTTCCGAAAATAGAGTATGATCATTTGCCTTTTCGCGTATATATTTTTTAAATATTATTTCTCTAATTCTAATTTCGCTTTAGTTGTTGGAGCTATTCGGAGCAGGAACAGCCTGCATAGTGAGTCCGATATCGTACATTGAATTCTTGGATCGACCGTTACACATACCTACCTTGGAACACTCGGAACCTGTTTATAAAAAGTTTTTTAAATATTTAACAGACATACAGTATGGTGTTATACCGGACCATCCGTGGGCGATACCTATCGAATGAAAATAGAACCAATTAATCAGTTTATTTATTACATAGTTGCCATTAACTGAGCGAATAGATGCCGAACGATTTACGAACATTTATTCGATGGCAAACGATGCATCGTGATTTTTATACCGCTGTTTTTATACGTAAAACATAGATTTCTATTTATTTTTAGTTTTAATATTTAAGAAAAGAAAATTCGTTTGATTGTCAGTGATCAAACTCAGGAATTAATATAGTTTACCATAGTTGGCAAAATAATTGTACAATGTTAAGTTTTTGAAACTTTTGTAACAATTTGTATATAAATGTACAAACATGCGTGGTGCGTGCGTGCGCGGGTGTGTGCGTCTAGTTTTTCTACGTGTTTGTTCATGTACGAATACGTATTGTTTGTTGAAAGTACTCTTGGGGAAAAAGAGTACGATTCTGTATACTTATATGATACATATAGTTTCTTTTCTTTTTTATTATATAGTATTCGCTATTTTATTTGATTCCTACGAATCATTGTACAAATTAGATAAATAATGCGACAAAGATATGGGGTAATGATCGCGAAATATACTCACTAGATGGTGAATGATTTAGTCCCAGTGACGATAGTTTCCATCCTTTCTCTAACATGGCGCCACTGGCTAAAGGATCGATAATTATTGTTGCATTCAATAACTATACATAAAAATGATAAATTCGATAGCGTAATAACATGTTGCAGTGTTATAAAGTAAAGAATCGTAATAATTATGCATTTATGAGATATTAAAAATAATTTATTTAAAGATATGGATCGCGCCATCTTACAGAAACGGTGGAAACTATTTTCATTACAAACTTGGGCATTTTCCCACCGATGGCGCCACTAGCACTAAACCGTTCGCCATCTAGCGACAAAAGTGACAACCATCTTCGCTATAAACTTGGACGTTTTGGAGACGAGAGTTCGGACCGAAGCTTCCAAAATTGGATCGTCGTTGTTTTCACTCGGAAGTGCTCAAAAGTACCGATACCATTTGTTGTTGTTTATTTTATAGTGCATGGGAATTTTCGCCCGTATTGCACTTGTCGTATAAGTACATTTTCTTTTTTCTTTTACATGCTTTGTATAAAATATATAAATATTTCCATAACGTATACGTACATCTAGATATTCTTATATAAAATTATACAAAATATAAACTACTTTATTAATATTACACGTTTCTTTGTTTCTTATACACATATATATATATATCCTTATCTAATAACCTTAGATACCTAATAACACGAGGTATAAAAATAAATGTAAACGGTATTAAAAGTATGGAGCAACGAATGTTATAAGAATGTAAGATTCGATATAAGCCGATGTATGGTTAGCGTATACATTGTACTAATATACAATGACGTATTGTAAATAAAAGAAATCAAGCAATGAACTTAACTTCTTAATATCGGAACTCGCGCTCTCCATAAGAATGCCATGCAGGACGTAGCTGCCGAGAAAGAAACAGCGTTTGGTGCATAATTCGATGCGTACGGTGCAGCCCACTCGATATTTACATTTAGTCATTTAGGTTAGTTCATTTTCAGAAGGGAGTGTAGAAAAAGGAGGACGGGACTGGCAAGGACTGCCCAGGGACTGCCTACACCCTACACCAATTTCTCGGTAGAGAAATATCTGACCGAATGAATATTCATGGCGTGGATAATCTCCGTATATGGGAACCGTAGAAATCATGTAAACATAGCCATCGATAAGATGTATTAATTTTCGTAGAGTATAGAGTATTTGGATAAAGTAACGCAGCGGATATAAATTTCAAGTAAATTTGTTTGGTATCGTTTCGAATAGCAAAGAAACATCGAACGAATAATGTGATCGAATCGGGTCTGTTTATTCAATGTTTGTGTAAACGCACCGTAAGATTCGTTGGCATGCGCAGCAAAGCTCGGCTGGTGTAATAAAAGGAATTGGTTGTAAAAAGGAGCGTGAGCGTAAGCGTAACGCGCAGCTCTGGCCGAGAGATGACGCGAGTGTATTCCAGAGTAGGTCGCGCCTCTATCGGCGAAGCAAAGGATCAATTCAAACAAACGGTGCGCCACTGGCGAGGGGGATCCAGAACCATTTCGAAAGTAAAAATACTGCGCGACCCGGGATTTTGTTTGTACGGTTCGGTGAGGGTAAAAAAGCCGAGGGCCAGGCCGTTGGTGTAGTCGGGGTAACGCGGTGTCGCGCGTAAAATGACGTAGAGTGTGCGTGGATAGGGTGTGCCGCGCGCGGTACGAGAGGTTGTGTGAAGCGGAAACGGTGTCGCGGTAGTGTAGGGTCGGCGCTGCTCGTAGCTATCGGTAGCGTACACGGGAAATTGGCCGTGGCTTCGCCAATGGATGCCAGGCAGGAGGAGACGCCATTTTGATATACGGGCGCACGTCAAGCAAGCGTTCAGCTCTAAGGGAAACGGCAGTGACGAGAAGTCGGTTCTGCAGCCGCGTCCGGTCGAATAAGTTGTTACGGTCCGGTTGAACGGGCATCGTGTGTAATACGTGTGGCGTGACGCAAACGTATCCCGGAGCGAACGTTTCGTTGACAAGTGACAGGTGAATCGATCGCGGGCCCGCGAGGAAAGTCGCGTTGCGGCCCCCGTGTGCCCGTGTGCCCGTGTAAACGCGGTGGTTCGGCTCTCTCTCGCGGCGGTCGATCGGTAGTGACTACACTCTGTGCGTGATACCCGGTATACGTATACGTATACGTATACCTATAACGTATATACGTATATACATGTACGTCTAGCGCTAACGAGGATTCGGATTTTTCCCCACGCGTGCCGAAGCGAGTGTTCTCAGCTCGGTGCCTGTCGAGTGTCGACGAGGGACACGCACGGCACGCTAGTAATAGTGACTCTCGTGTATATTGGTGCGCCGATCCGATCCGATCCAATCCGATCCGATCCGATCCGATTCGATTCGATTCGATTCGATTCGATTGTCTCGGGGTGGCGGTGTGTGTAAGCCAACAGCAAGCAGCAGCCACAGACAGGAACCGACTAAAGGAAAAACCAAGCCGCCGTTTCGTTTTCGCGCGCGCGACAGAGAGGCCACCGGCCCGACACTTCGGGCCAGGACAAGACGACCCGATGTCGGGAGCGGGTCGCGACCCCGTGTCGACCCGCGGTCGTCCTCGTCCTCGTCCTCGTCCTCGTCCTCTGCTATCCACCTTCTCGTTCTTCTCTCTCGTCGCACCAGGACGCTCCTGGCGTAAATGTGCTTTCGTGAGCGCCCATGTGCTGCCAAGCCTATTTCTCTGCCTGCTGCCCCTACGTGCCCTGTAAACCCAGAGCACACCCCGATTAGCACGCCCACGCACTCTATCGCTCGCGAATATGGCCAAGATCCTCAACAAGGACCCCGTCACCTACGAGAGGGAGAGGGAAAACTTCCTGAAGGACCTCCGTCACTTTCATGAGACCAGAGGGTAAGAACATTTCGCTAGTTGGCTATCTCCAACTCGAACTCTCTTTCTATCTCGGTGAGAGCGTGTGCGTATACGTAGACGTATACGCGTGTCTGCGTTCTCTGTGTTTTCTCTGTGGTTGTCCGACTGTCTACAATCGTACAATCGTACAATCGTACAATCGTACAATCGTAAAATCGTACAATCTTGCAGTCGTATTGTCTTACATTCACGGTTCTCTCTTGCTCTTATCCACAATAATTTATTCCTTTTTTTCCTCTCTATTCGTTTGCATCGTTTTCTGTTCGTTGTCGATCGCGTTCGCGATGTGTGCACGTTTCGAAAGTAAATCGTATCGGCAGTCTTTGGTTAGAATGCGGACAGAGTTGAGGTTATGTGCGTTCTCGTCTAAACTTTTCCAGTCGAGCCTTTATGTTACGTTATTTGTTTACGCGAGTTCTGTATTCTGTTCTGTCGGCTCGACGCCGATCGGACGCCTATCTTATTGCGATTGAGGTTATGCATAGAAAGCAGTGAAACGATGTTACGATAGCTCGCTGATTTTTATCCTCTGTTTGACGATTCCTGCGTCTCCGAGTTGTTACGTTTGTTGTAAACGTTCGCGCTCTCTGTCTCTGTGTCGGATCGACGCGACGATCGGATATCGATGGACGATTAGAGATCGTTTCAAAGTATTAAACGAACAAAGATAGTTTCAGGCAAAGATGCTGCTCGACGTTACGTCATTGTCGTCTGTTTAATACTAGATTCGAAAACGGAAACAAAGCGTTGCTCGATCGTAACGAATGATCTTAACCTCGGTGAGCACCTATCGCGTAATTGAAATACAGTTGAACTTTGGTTGGCCATGTTTTTATTACTCACGGGGTAAATGATGTTTTCGATTACATTTTCCGCGACTTTACAAACCTAAAACATTTGACCGCCGAAGAAAACGATACGGAAATATGTATACGTACGAGAAGCGGCTAGGGATTAGAATATTTTTAACTTGCTTAATTACCACTGATAATCGAGCTTATTTGTTGTATGTTAATGTCAAACATTGGCGAAACGAATTTCGTTTAAAACAATATTGTTTATAAATTCTTTCAACGTGATCTAAGCATAGATGAATTTATGCGATACCTTGTCATTTATTTGATCCTCAACTAGAAAGTATCTATTTACATCTAACCCACGTATGACGAGCTCTTTCTAATTATACGTTTTTCAATTTTCAGGACTTCGTTCAAGAAATGCCCAAAAATTAATGGAAAAGATATAGATCTGTACTTGCTGTACGTGGTTGTAACTGCCCACGGAGGATGGATAAAGGTAAGTCGATTTTTTCAATGTTTATTCAACTTGCTTTTCGCTGGATAAATATGCACGCATCATCCAGGATGCATATTTCGAGTGTAATCCGTGCGCTAGCAAAAATTGGGAGGGACGACCGCTGATGCAACGTATAAATGCACCTTTCTTACCTACTCGTATGCATACATTGTTTATACACGCGTTTGCTTGATTTATCACAGGACTTGTCACGGCCAATTCTCTTTCTTGTATCGTTCAAACATCTGTAAAACGTTAATTTCGGTTTAAAATAACGTGAAATATGCACCAGCATGTTTTTATCTGAAACTTTTAACGCTAGTGGAAGACGCGCGAGTCAGTAGACATTGCGTACAGAATTTGAATTGTTAATGTTCGATGGAGATTATCGGCTAGCCATCGAAGCGTGCTGCATTACGTTACATTTAGTTTGTTCCTGGTCGTTTGCGTCACTCGCCAGTTACTTTATATTGTATTCGGAACACGTTCGGCTTGTATTTTTCGCTCGTAAAGTCAAGGCAGTCGAAGCCGGTGTTCCGTTAAAAATATTTCATTAGAAACGTGAATTTTCTGTTCGAACGGTCGACAATGTTATCGGCCACGACGAAAGTGGTCTCCGCGAAGAGAAACCAAGGATACCACGCGCGTATACTTTTTCATCCATCAGCTTTTTCTTTGACAATCACGGAAGGAACGTACGTATTCGTTCCAATGAAACCAACAATCTTTTTCCCGGTACACAAATCACGTTAGATCGAGTATTTTCGTAAACGACAAATTGTACATATTATACAGAATACTATGCTATTCGATGAAATAGATATCTGAATTCTCGTTTGATTTCGATCGATGAACTTAATTTTTTGTAAATGCAATCGATCGACGATCGGTGCCGACTTTTCATTAGTTTTTCGTGTTTCTGGCCCACTCTGCACGAGGACAATACGGAAGTTGAGGCAAGGTCAGGGTCACTTGAGGCACTGTTCGAGGGGTGGGAGATAGATCATGAACCGAAGGTGGGAAGAAGGTGCGCGCGGGAAAAAGGGGAGGGAGGCAAGAGAACAGAGAAGCGAGAAAGGGAAGACGCGGGGAGAGAGAGAGAGAGAGAGAGAGAGAGAGAGAGAGAGAAAACACACGATTGAATATGACGAGAGGAGGAGATGTGGAGGTAGTGCTGGCCGAGGGCTTCCCCTCAACAAGTGTGATCGAAACTTGCTACTCGCTAGGCTACCTATATAACATACAGCCGGGTCGCGACTACGCTCAGAATGCATCGCGGACCGCGCGGTTCTTCGATTCGAACAAGTTTACGTTAGTTTTTACTGGACGCTCGCCGTGGAAACGTGGAAAAGCAACTTTGCTCGCTTCGACGTTACGAGGAACACTTGTAACAGGAAGTTAGGTAGATTATTGCTTCTGGGATAAGAGTCCAATTTAAAAAGTAATCTCTAACGAGCATTTTCAGTAGGATCGCGTGGAACAATGCACATGCTTCGAAAGATATTAGTTTTTACTTGAATTTCCACTCGTGTAGCGCATCCTATGACTAAATCAAAGAGGGGAAAAAGTCGCGTTGGACGGATGAAAACGCGTGCCCGGTTAACGTTAAACATCAATTTGTTTACGAAACGAAGGCTCGTGCCACGAAAACAATTACACTGCGCATTTTCAATTTATTTTTTCAAGAGGAATCACCGGGTAACAGTGCGGCCAACTGTTGGCACTTGAAACGAGAACACTCTTAATTTAACAAACGCACTGCTTTCGATAGCACCGCAGTGGATCTTGTTTACATCTGCGTCGATCGTGCTACAAAATGATTCGAAAATACATCCTGTCAGTTTCCTGTCAGTTTCTTATTTTATCCTACTCGTTGTCGGTCCTAAAGCGGACCACGCGAACATTACAATTACGTTCGAGACATGCTCTTCAAATTGCTTCTTTTTTTATTTTATTTTATTTTATTTTATTTAGTTTTTTATTCTTGACGAGGTTACGCGACGCGCTCGTTAAAAAAGTTGATCGTGTCTTGGCGTGGCAAAGTCATTAAAACATGCTGCCAAGTGTTAAGTATCTCTCCGAGTCGAAAAAGTTGATTAATATTCAACTGGGTTGGTTGGCAAAAGGGCGAGGAAACTGATCTCGCGCGCGTCTCTGCATCACCATGTCACGAGGCAAAGTCACTCCACTTAAGGAGCAGTCGCCGCGAAGTGAAAGTGTACAAGTAGAAATTATCGGCGAACCGACGCGACGCAGGATGTTCTCGTAGCAGTTAAACGATTGGCTAACTCGTAACGCGCTCCCCCCGTTGCCAGATACCGATCTCGAATTTTTTCACGCGCTCCAACGAGAAATTCTATTTTGGCAGAAAAAAATGAAGCGTCGTTACGTATCGCTGTGTTACAGAAGTAAAAAAGTATTCAAGGTACATATAGGTTTCGCCTGGTCATACATATGTCGCGTCGCGGTTCGCTGTTGCATACCAAACGCGCCGAGTTCGTCGGTCTTGCACAGTAGTTCGCCGCTAATCTAAATATTTTATCTTTCGGCTCCAATTTCGAAACCGACGCCGACGCCGACGCTGACGCCGACGCCGACGCTGACGCTGACCCGCCGACCCGCCGACCCGCCGACCCGCCGACCCGCCGGTCAGCTAGAAAATTAATCCACTCGAGAGTCGCTGTTTGATTTACCGTACCGGGTATAACCGAAAGCGTCTTCCAGGACATTCCGTGAGGCGATGCGAAATGCGATACCACTTTATTCGCACGTGTTAAACGATTATCTATTTCTATTAAACGTATTGTATAGTTAGCAAATAAAATAATCTAGATCGAGACCGACAGGGATTTCGGTTCGTAGTCGTTGAGTCGGTAAAGTTGCACTGGCTCCCAGAGCGACAGCGACTCTTTGTGTTTATCTGAGAGAAATGAACGCGTAAAATGGTCGAATCCCGTCCAATATCGAGTCTCGAACCAGTTGAAAACATTGGCGTAAACCGAGGAAGAAAATAAACGACGAAGCGTCGCGTTTTCTCGGGGTAACGTCTCGTCAAAGAACCAGTGGCGGAACGTCCGCGCTCCTACCGGTTCCGTCAAGAAAAAGAAACGATGGGTTGAGGGTGGGAGGGTAGAAGGGACCATCGCGAACGAGAGAAGCTCTCTGGAAAAGGACCATGATCGCGAAACGCAGAGAGTGGCAGATACAGAAAGTAGGTTCGTTCCATTCTTGCGAGAAGAAGAATTTTAAATAGAAATTGCTATGCGTTCAGTGAAAAAACGCTTTGAAAAATGATTTCTGTACAAGTAGCAACTGTGTGTCGCGTGTACTTTGAGATTTTTAGGTTAGCACCTATACATATACGTATGTTACGTTCTTGACATTGAAAAGGAAACGAATGATATTCTTCTTATACCTCGCGTTAGACGAATAATCGTGTACTAAAGATCGGTTTCCTGAAGAGTTGAAATCGAGCATCCCTAACGGAGAGAAAGAGGCCGAGGGAAAGCGTGTACGGTTCGCGCTAGTGTCCGGCTCGTTCAAGGGCGCGAGTGGTATACGAAGAGTATTCGACTTGGACTGTCGTCGAATGAGCACGCACCGTAGTCTGGCATTGGTCTGCTCGCTATACGCAGTGCGAGTAGCGTGCGAGGAATCTGCGAGCAAGTCGGTAATGCTGAGTCAGTCAGGTGCCGCGGCGCCTTGCATCGTTTCGAAGTGGTCAGAGCCGCGCGTCTAACAGAGAAGGACGAATAGTGTCCCGGAGGTAAGTAAAGAGTCGGATGAAACGAAAAACGAACGAGTATGTACAGCGAAAAAGAAGCTGGTAGAGGTGGAGGTGGAGGAGGAGGAGGAGGAGGAGGAGAGGGGCGGCGAGAGAAAAGAGAAGCAGGAAATATAAAAAAGAGAATGAAACCGAGAAAGATGGAACTCGGTTAGAAGCGAAGAGGTGGGGCGGGGGTTCGCTCGTTGGCTCCCCGGTGATGAGGCACGGTCGATATGGCAACGCCGCGCCCTGCCACACGCATACCGGCATCGCCGCCCGTCCAAGCATCGAGCAGTCGGCAACGTCGCTCCGGCACCATGCGGGGGAGAGGGCAACCGGGCTCTCACACATCGAACGACGAGGAGAGCGACCTCATGCCCTGCACACATGTGCACCCGGGGACGCCGAAGAGACTGAGATGCCTGGCTGGTCGCTTGCTGGCTCGGTCTGCTTGCTTGCTTTCTTGCTTGCCTTTGACTGTCCCACGCACGCGCTTCACCGACGAGCGAGCACCCCCGTGTCCAAATCGGCCAAGTACTTTTCACTCGGAGATTCTTTCGTTGTGGAAAAAATAGGCATTCGCTTCTCGCTTCTCGCTTCTCGCTTCTCGCTTCTCGCTTCTCGTTTCTCGCTTCTCGCTTCTCACTTCTCACTTCTCACTCCTACCTTCCCCACCGAGTCTGCTGGCTTGTTTTGTCTTTTTAAAGGAAATTCTTTGTTTGTCGGAAACGGATTCATAGAATTTGTGTATTTCTTTTCTCGGTGATACGTTGGCTTTGCGTTACCGAAAATCGGATTTAACTACAAGGTATTATTTTAACTAGATGCAATGTCTTTCGACGAATCGTTTACAAATACTCTGAAAGTGACGAATCTAGAAGAATTCGATGTGGGAGTTCGATATTGTATTTCGTTTACGTTGGCACGTATTACGTTCCTCGTACGTCGCGTAAAAGAGAAACGCTGTAACACGAAATTTCAACGTAGCGCAGCAAACGAATGTTCGTATTTCGCTGCAAAATATTTCTTTGACTTGCAAAAAAGCATAAAAAAAAGGTACGCGTAAGCCTTTGTCGTAGGAAAGCCATAACGTAACCGAAAATCACGTTTCGAAAACTCTTTCGAGCGTCGCATCGGATCGCTACCGAGCCAGGGCAGTATCGTCTCGATGATTCGCCTTTCGTACTGGAAACATTCCTCTTTTTACTTCGTCCCTCGATCGTAGGTAACGACA